GACAATTATCTATGGAAATCAGTTAAAAGAATAATAATTTAACGCAAAATTATTGGATAAATAATTTATCAAAATTTTTGCAACATGAAAACTTTAATGAAGGAAAATCTCTGGAAAAACTTGATGGAAAATTCTAAAACCCTCAGTAATTACTCGTTTTTGTTGATAGATTAATATTAGAAACGATTAATTTTTTCTACGAAACGTAAATAAGACAAAATTTTAGATTTTTCAAAGTGCGTCTAAACGAACTGCGCACTTTGTTGTTGTAATTTTTGAAAAAATTATTTTAATTACTTAAGCAAAGCATTTAGTCAGATACTTTTATTATATTTATAACCTAATTGGTCATAGCTATAAACACATAAAATAGTTTTTGTCTTAATAGTGTTTATTAAAGGAAAATTTGAAAAAAATTAAGTGCGTCTAAACGAACTGCGCGCACCTTATGTTAGCAATAAGTATGGAGTTTAATCAAGTATTGATCTATTTAAGACTCAGCATATTAATCATTCTAGAAAATTTACTTTGTGTCATGGAGCAACAGAATTAAAGTCCTTTTAAGGTGACTTGATAAAAGCAGACATTCCCATAGCAATTTTTTTAAACTGTTTTGCGTAATTATCGTAGATTGCAGTTCCCCGTAATAGCTTTTTTGAACTCAACGTAAAAATATTCTTGTAAACAAGATTAATTTATGTAAATTTCATGAATAAATTGATTTGAATGATTTTTATAGGCGCATGAAAAGTTGCATCTACTCAGTTTTATAATATGGGAAGGAGTCATGTCTTGTTGTGTACAACCGATTATATTACACAATGATGATGCTCTGTTTAATCTTTACACATGTTTTTAAATGTCATTTACTTGAAATTCGGCTATTTTTATATTGTAATTTACATTATGGAGAGCTGTTGATGAAACATAAAATGTCAAAACCTTCGTTTAATTGCGTCTGATAAATAATGCTGTGGTTTAATGGAACTGTTGCTTTGTAAATCGCTAATACTGAAAGCATGGTCACTTTTAAGCTCCTCTGTACCATTTTTTTGGGAGGTATTATCATTGAAAGTAAATTTTAAGCTGTGTATGTATTTAAAAAAATGCAATGCAGCATGTGGCTGGAAGGTAATCTGAAAATTTGCATCAAGTCTTATGAAATATTTTGCAGACCGACCTTGATTACATCAATTTAAAAGTTTTATTACCAATCATTAATTAGTTTGATCTCCAGAAGCTTGAAGAATTGATCAAAAATTTAAACAACTTGGTCACTCGAGTTGGTGATCAAACTTCTCCTTCGAACTACATCCTAGCTGGTATTCATCAACTGCAACATTATCTTCTAATTTGTCTCCATGTATAGTAAAACTCAAATTAAAATAGCTTAGTCTAATTTTATAGCTCATTTGTAATGCCAACAATTTAACAGCTTTTCAAATCTCAATGCAGCATGCTGCACAGTCATTGTTATTCAAAGTTCCGTATTAAAGGTAATTTACTGATTATTGTCAATAATCCAAGCCATAAATACAGCAATTCAATTTTATATTATTTTCTAATACGTCAATTTCTCAGTTGATTTTAATTTTATTTAAAAAAGACACAACAGCGTGAATAAATTGTGATGCAAATATCCATATCCACAAAACAATTTTAGCATTTCGAGTCATAACATCTCGATAAAAATCATATGTGAATGAATCATCATCAATCACCTGACACAATCGATCATTTCTTCACTTTTATTTCTTTCTCATTTCTTCATTCAGATGATTCCATTTGTCTTATTCAATAATACATAGTAAAATTATTATTATAAGCAAAAGTGTTAATTTCTGAGCTCAGGCGTGTCATTATTGCATGAGTATCATCGCTGCTTTGCCCATTATTTCATTTAAAGACACTACTTCGTCACACTTTTGTTTCTACTTTAAGGTAGTGTCTATTGAGAGTCACATATGAATGAGTTTATATTAATCGATTTAAATGAATGAATTGGTGGATGAATGATGAAGAAATCAACTGTCATTGTGTGGACGCTTGGAACTGAGATTCTCTCTCCATTAAGTACTCAAACCTTGTCCCAAAAGAAAACAATGAAATAGAATAATTAGAAGAAGTAAAGATAAGATGAATGATTAAAATAAATTTTTTATAAGGTCTAACATTGTTAAGAAAAATGATCTGCTATAATTCAAAATTCGACAATATTTTTCCTTCATCTTTGATCTTGGCTTATTACCTGTGAAGTGATCTCAACGTACATTAATGTATATATGAGAAATAAGTACATACATCACAACAATAATTGTAATTTAAATCTAAATGAAATTTACAATTTTAGGATGAAAAGGCAGTTTTTCTTTATTTATTTCTTCTACTTCTCAAAGTCTTTTCACTAAGCTAGTGTCGTAATTTATTTTACCTATGTTGTTATACGGTTCATTTGGTAATCGAAGATATAGAAAAAGAAAAAAAATAACAAAACAAGTAAATAACCAAGTTAAAAGCACATTCTTTTAAAATGAAATGAAATTTCGTTAATAATGTTAAACTACAATTTTTACTCAATTTTCAAATTGATTTACATGATTGATTTTTTTGTTGCAGTCAGTCTCAAAACGAGATCTCTTTTGTAATGAATAATTTTTTTTTATCTTCTATGGTATTTTACTTCTTTTCATGATCATAAGCATTCCATGCATGCATACAGCATTAAATTATTTCATGTTTTATATTGGCTTTTCTCAAGCTTGCATTTTCAGCCATCAACAACAACAACTATAAAATTTATATACTCGAAAGGGAAGTAAAGAAATTAAAAATTAAAGAAAGCTTGAAAATGGAAATTATGAAGGTTATGAGACGAATGAACGAAGATATGAGATGAGAGTAAATTAGTATTTTTATGCTCAAAAGTATGTCTACCAATGTCATAAAAAAAAGTTTTTTTTTGTGCATGCATTCGACTGATATGTCTGACGACTTGCTGCAACTTCGCATAACTTTTTTTTTGTTGAAAGTGAAAATCTTTTTTTGTTACCTTCAATGATGAAAACTTGTATCACAATGATGACTTTTTTTCGCGCAATATATGGAATAGGTGTTTTGTGGTGATGATGATGATGAGTATGGTGAGAGATAGGAAGAAAAGTATGTGCAGTGTTGTTATCTGGGCATTTACCTGAGTCAGGTTCTCAAGGATTGAGGTTGAAATCTTGCAGAATTGATGATTCTTAATAAGCATAATATCGAAAAGATAAGATCTTGGCTGAATCTTGTTCTTATGGCTTACAAACCACCTTTTAAAGAGTATCTTTAGCAAATTGCTAGGTATGGAACATTGATTCTCAAGTTTCTTCAATTAATGCCACAGCAAATTGCTTTTATGAATTCGGCGGTACTTCTACAAACCTAGCTAAGTACTAGTATTAGATTTCCAAGTCAAAATAATTTTCTATGAACTTAAATTGACACAACCCGAATTTTCAAACAGATTGCGGCAAAATTTTATTCCACTTCGATCTCGAACTGACATGATTTTCGGATTAAATCGTACTTTTGTTGCAAAAAATTTTCCAAATAAAATATAATTTTTGCGATAAAGTTTCAAAATTACTGTTGCACATTTGAATACCACAATACGCAGATTAAGAACTAATGTTACCGATGTCTGGTTCCTCAAAACTTTCAACAATCTATCCTACAAATTGCAACCAATATTTCAATTCTGTTTAAATGCTGCTCATAAAAATGATAATAGCAAAAAGAAAAGATATTGAAAGCTAGTTTGAAATTCCCAAGCGTCATAAATAAATCAACATCAAAAGTATGTGTATATAAATCATATATTAAGTAATTAAGTGAAATAATTGTTGTGACTGTTGCTTTTTTTTCTTGCTGATCTACATTAATTTTATGCATGTTTTCCTCTCTATCATGTACAACAACATTCTTTTGTGTCACTTGCGCTTATTTGATTATGAAAGCATTTTTTTTTATTCTTTTATTATTGTTTTCCTGTATAATCACCGACAACTAGTTTGTTTTGTTGATACCTCTCTCATGTAAGGGTTCGTTAATAAATGATGTCTAATTTTTAAAGAGAATAAGGAGGTTCTGATGAAATTATAGCCCCTTCGAACAAAATGATATTTTTTTAAAAGGAAGTGAGTTTAAATTCACAGTGTTTATTGGACGTAATTTATAAACAACCCCTAATGCATGTTCGGATAGTAAATAATCAGCCGCAAATTAATGCAGACTAATCTTGCTCTAAACACTTTTGTGTAAAAAGCGTGCTTAAGAAAAAGATCTTAATGCTGAATTGTACAAAATGGAAATTATTAGATCATAAAAATTAAATTGGTGAAATTTATTATTTATTGCACGATGTCGATGTGATAAATAAATGGAAAATTGAAAGAGTCTCAATTAATAGATCAATAAACTTCCCTCAATACATATCGGGCATGAATGTTATTGTACCCCACAAATTGTATACATATATTTTTTTTTGCTTCGAGACAGCACGGAGACTTTCTTATTTAGCAGTGAAAAATAACAATTTTTTTTATTGTTGTTGCTGTGCGCTTCACTTTTACTTTATATTGTGTATTTGCGATATTTCATTAAACTTTCCATCATCATCGTCACCATAAAGAGCCTCTCGTGCTTTTTTCCCGCTTTACTTGATTTTTTGACAGTAAAACTCTCTGCTGTGGTCTTCTTCTTCCCTCTCTTCGCGACTGCCTAATTTCATAATTGAAAAGAAAAAAAAAGTCGCAGAAAAAATAAATGGAAATTTGCTAAAGATAAAGCTCGCACACAAAACCAGACACAAAATGAAATAATTTAAATTCGTAAAATTGGTACAGTCAAAAAATAGGCTTAGCCATGTGCGTACGTATTCATAAAGACTTGATTAATGCTGATAATTATACGGTATTAGGAAAAATTGGAAGTGAAAAAATTATAATAACTTGCCGTTTTAGATATAATGACGGACAGCAGCATGTCAACAACAAGCTCGAACGACTTAAACTCGCATCATGGTATTCACCAAGCGAAACGGCTACGAACGATAAAGCTGAATCGCCCACATACGGGTAAAAACCATGCAAATCTCACAATTGGCCATCCATTAATGTCATCATTTGGATTTACGTTGCGCGGTGGACGAGAGTTTGGAACAGGATTTTTTATATCAAATGTTATGAAGGGCAGTGAAGCGGATATAAAAGGACTAAAATCTGGCGATCAAATAATTCGCGTAGGCAACAGTACAGGAATGTATCGTGTTGACGATGCTGTGCATAAAGAATTATCGCAATTTATTGCAAGTCAAAACCGTTTAATTCTTAAAGTTAGAGGTGAGTAACTTAATACATTTTATTCTAAATGACATCTTCCTTATTTAACAAAAATAGTGTGGGTTGTTCGTAAATGATGTACATTGGAAATTGGGGTTTCTGAACTCTTAAGATTTTGTCACAAAATTGTTGTAAAAAGTTTGACTCAATAAAGTAATTTAGAGAAGATTTATTCAGATTATCCAATTTTAAATGTCCATCACTTAAGGATAAACCCCCAAAGAATTCGTTGTTTTAAATACAGAAACAAAAAGACATGAAAAAGCAATTTTATATTCCTTCCTGTCGCATTAAGAGTCGCTCGAATTGAATGACAAGATACATTAGAAATGTGAGAACATTTTTACATAATTCAATATAATGTCTACTAATGATAATCCATTAATGTAATTATGAATTGTTGAGTGATTGAAAAATTTATTATTGAAACGTGCTAATGTTCGATACCTCACCATAAAGACATTGCTACCGATCTTTCCATTTATGGCATTATTAGCTGTTGAATGGCACAAAGCAATTTTTCTTATACGTTTTATCGTGCAATGAAGCTTACTTGTTTTATTGGATGTGTGTTTGAGTACGGGTATTCATAAATGATCACCAAGTGTTTGGCTGAGAGGGAGTTCTGAGTCTGTACACAACTTCTTATAGATAAAAGGGAAGGGGTCTTTAGAATTCAATTTTGAAATTAGTTTTTCATTTTGGACAATTAAACATCATTAACGAATGATGCCATTGTCTAAAGAGAGAAAAATTATCGAAAGTTGGAGTTATGATAATCGGTAATTGTATTTAATTAAAAGACTTTTTGATTGTATAATTATAGGGCTATTATTTAATACAATTTTTATTAAGTACATAAACTACCTTGTTTCCTCATCTTCGTGTCATCTTTCTTCTTATTCAACTTCAACTTAATTCACCTGTAATTTAAGATTGATTAAAAACCTATTGTCGGTTCCATAACTAGTCGAGTAAAAAGTTTTTAATGTCAATTGGTAGAAAACATTGCGCAATGATGTGTAATGTGTTAAGCAATTTCTGTTTCTATCTCACTCTTTCTAATTTAGTGTTTAGTGTCATTATTTTCTAATATAATAATATTTCGACATAATCATTCTTTTTTTTTTGCCACTACACTACGTACTATGTGTTGCATTATTTTATACAATCGCGACAATAATTTTCGAGTGTACGGTGTAAATTGACATACAAAACAAGTAAAGAAATTTCTGTGAATTGACATATTTTGCGGTGTGCCGAATTTTTAATGGATTTCAATTTATTAAAATGAATTAATGGTGCTTTGTATGGAATTGCAACCATTCCAGTTTGTGCTAATTGAAAACTTTATTCAAGCATTTATGAATTTTTTATTTGAGCAGAAATTTTTGGGCCGGTTTGTGGAGCATGTTGACATTGGGAATATTTGTTTTGTTGAAATATGAAGAAAGGTTGACAAGTCTCTTCTGACGACTATATGTTGGAACTAAATTGATCCGTTCTTACTTATAGTTGTTTGAGATAAATAATGTATTGGTGAGACTATATTGTGGACTGTTAGACCTTAGCACGAGCGACTAGATAAGCTATACCTTACCTAACGGTTTTTATGCTTTTGTTTGGTTGTTGACAGATTCTTTTGCATCCTCTACATTTTTCCAATATTAACAACTTCTTAAACTAAATCTTGAGACACCAACGCAATCTATTACAATCCAATGTTCTCTTAAAATCAAACCTATTTTGATCTTCCTCAAGACAATGCATCCATATTCCCTGAAACTCAATAAAAAGAATTCAAAAGTCGAAGCTTCATGCTTAAATTTGACAATTTTATGTTTTCAAAAAAATACACATCCGTAAAACTTTGACTCTTTAATTATATTAAACTTAATGACTTTACGGTAATATCCATGCGTGTAAAACCTTCCGGCAAATGTACAACAAATAACAATGTTGATTGCCATTTCAATTTGCGAATTTTATTGGGATCACTCATATTTCAGGTCATTTTGATCTTGAAAATAATTGAATTAAAACAGAATTGAATCATAGAAATGAAAAAAATTTAAATCCCTCGCAGCATATCCGTAGAGTATATAAAATTACTAGGAATTTTTATGAACTAGACGAAATGAGCATAATTAACCCATATTTTTTGCTGTGAAAATACGCCAAAAATGTTCATACTCGACTAGTTAGTGCTTAGAAACTGGTGTGTTGTGTGATTGTTATTCTATTGTTACTTTTTTATTTTTATTAAATAATCTCTCATTGCACCAATGTCTCCTTTTGTCTTTCGCTGTGTAATGCCCAAGTTACAAATTATTGTGACATTGTTTTGCAGTAAGCTAAACTGCTCGATGACTGCAACAATTCGAAATATTTTTTGGTGTGTAAATTTTGGCTTTGCGCACGTACATTATGTGTCTCGGTTTGGTGGTTACCAAAAGTTTTTTTTTTTTCTATTTTTAATTGTCATCAATTCTGTTTGTGTTTCATTGAACAAATGTAAAGGTCCATCCATTGATGTGAGTTGATTACTTTTTATTGTTTCAAAATCTAGATTCAGAAGTTGATTGTGCTTCATATTGTTCGTCATATTGAATTCGTTCACTTTTATGAGTGGTTCCTCTTAGCTCTTCCATTTAAGAGAGGACTGTCTGCTATTGAAGAAGTCTGTTGTCTTTAAATGACGTCTATTGCATTACTTTTTATGTTTTGTAGCTGTGGTTGGTAAAATATTCAGTTTTAAAGGAGAGTGATCATTTTCTTATAGACATCATATCCACACGAGTCCAACCCATTGTTTATTAAGGAAAAATCCATTAGTCGCTAATTTATTTACCTCGACTTCTTTGAAAAATGCTTTAAAAAGAGAGATTATTGTGTTATTGGTAAATATTTAATTTGAGCTAATTTTTGAGCGATCGAATCATCGCAAGCAATTTACTACTTTATTGTGTATGGGGACCGAACGAAGGCCATATGTGTGCTTGAAGATGCATGGGAAAGTTTCAAGTTCCAAGAAGAAACAAGTTGTTGAGTTGTTGTTTGTACACATTTAGATTAACAGTCGCCGCTTAACTTAAAATGGCACATTGAGTTTAACTTTTAAATGCGCTTCGCAACGCCTTACATCATATGGATAGTGAAATACTAATAAATATATATAATAGACTTCAAGGAATTAAGATTATGAAGACGAGAAACTAGTTTATTAACTGTTTATGCCTTTAGAACTTTTGCCATATATGTATATGTATCTAATGCCTGCAACATGTTAATGAATATGATTTATGGCTACGATAATCTAAGAATGTTAACTCATTCCACATCCTCTCAGCATTTTTTGCATAACAAGATGTGATGTTAAATTTATTAAGTCAGTTATTGAAAGGTTGGAGAATATCAATGAGATATAAAATCAATACATGTAGCGTTATTGAATATACTCCTTAATGAAAATATCAGAGCATTAGTAGAACTTCCCGCGGTCTTAATTATTATTCAATTTTTATGTTGGGAGTCATTAAGATATGATGTCCTGCATTTGACTGGTTGATGATGTCTATGACACTACATATTGAGATGGAAGGAAGATAAAAGGGTTTAAAAAATACAAATATCACTAATGAACAACCCCTTAACATTCTTACCACACAACTAGTCATTAAATCTAGTTTACAATTTTAATTGTTAAAATCCGCCTTCAAAAACTTTTCAACTAGCCGTTGCAAGTCACTCAATAGAAGCATACACATTAATAACTCAATCTTATTAGAAGATTTCGCGAGGTATCTAACCCAACCTTGATATTTTACTAAACAAAACTCAAACAAACAAGACCGTGCCGAACTGAAATAGTTTAGATGCGATAAGTAAAGTTCCATTAAGGGGAGTCGTTTATTGAAGACGTCTATGATTTGATGAGGAGGGGGTTCAAAGCACTTACTAGAAATTTATTGTGATTTATTAGGTTTATAGATTATTTCTTTGTTTTTTAAAGGGTCTGAAGCTCTGTAGGAAGCTTCATATAAAATAAATTATGTGTCTGAATAAGTAAGACATCTAATAATCTATTTATTAATGGAAGTAATAATAAACGACCCCCAAAGAGTTATTTTATTCAAAATTCCCATTTAATGATACACCCCACTAATGCATGACCCCCAAAAAGTGTCTAAATAGAAAAGACAATTACTTCCATCATATATCACAATTTGTAACATTTTCCATCAATCTCTTGCGTCGGTTTTAATAAGTACCATTAAAATCACGTTTTGGCATTGGGTAGCTATAAAATGTTCGCATAAAGACATTCAATTCATCACATCTTTTTTTATCCGATTCTATCAATCTTAATTGCTTTTTTCCCCTTCTCTGTCTCTCTCACTCTCTTTGTTTTCGCCATATCACGTTTTGGGTCCGAATAAATTGGAATTAAGTTCTTGGCATTCAATTAATAATTTTTTTTAATTTTAATTTTTTCCTCAGGTGTTGGAATTCTTCCCGTCAAAGAGTAAGTAAATTAATAAATGTGAAATGCCCAAAAAAATAATAATTTTTTTTTTCACTCATTAGCAAAGCCTCTGATCCATTAACTTGGCATGTTGTTCCTTCTCAAAACTCATTACCTTTTACACAAGATGAATCACAGACATCAAGAGACGTGCGAATTATACTTAATGTTGCACCACATACAAAGCTTGGCTGCGGGTAATGAAGAAAGATTCAAGAAAACATTAATTAATTGGTTAAAACTTTTAATCCATATTTATTACAGAATTTGTAAAGGACCAGATTGGAAACCGGGAATTTTCGTGCAATTTACAAAAGAAAATGGAATTGCAAAAGAGTCAGGCCTTCAGCCAGGCGATCAGATAGTTAGTTGTAATGGAATAGACTTTAGAGATATATTATTTAGTGAAGCTGTCGCAGTCATGAAATCATCGTCAGTTCTGGAATTATTTATTCAACCTGGTGCCGGTTTAGATCTTTTTCCGAGTGAATCTAGTGGCTATAATTCAAGTGCAAGTAGCGTAACAGGAGATCAAAGTCCGTGTTGGAATGAAGCAGCTAAGAGACTGAGTATTGTACGAGAGGAATCGACAAATTCAAATGATCGAATGACTGGAACATTTAAATTAAGATCTAAAATTAAAGATAAGCCATTACATGTGGAAGTACCGAAAGTTCCTGCCAGTTATATGAAAAATCAAAACTCAAATCTCAATAGTAATAATAATAGTAATAACACTGCTAATACGACCATCATAAAATTGACAGAAAATGGGCCTACACTTATTAACAATACAATGATACCAGGTCTCACAAAAGGCTACAATGAAACAAGTATTGGGAGTAATAACAGCAATAATGAAAACGAAACGACACCAAAACTTGATCCGTCAAGAAAAATAGCAGACATATGTTTCGTATCAAGGCAGAATGAGACGAAAATTGTTACAGTCGAAGTGCATCAAAGTACGCAAAATGGAGGTCAATTGCAAGCAGTTAATGGAAAGATTAATAGTGCTGCGGCTTTAGTTAATGAAATTAGCCGAGAAGAACATGATTCTAATTCATCCTCGACGAGCAGTTCGTCCCTTAGTAGTGCCATTAGTGATGAGCTTAAGCGACGTGCTGAGGTAAAAAAAGTAATAATAATTCATCGGTTTTTTGAAATTCAAAACTTCCAAGAATTATGTTATTAATTTCAAAATTGTAAAATCCGTTAAATCATCAAAAGCGACATCATTCAAGTTAATTAATTTGCTTGTCACTTCTTATTTAAATATTTTCAGAAAAAGTTAAGAGAACAGCAACAGAATCATGTCGTCGACAGCAATCAAAATAACAACAACAACATTAATAATAATGCCAGCATCAACAGTAATACTCAACCGCCATCATCAACAGCCACAACTCATCAAGAGCAACTACCTCAAAAGTCTGCACCGTCAAATAACATTCATGAAATTCTCATGGATGAATTTAAGAAAGCACACAAGAAAATGTTCAAAAATGGATTTGTTGAGAATGAGTATCAGCAGCGAATGACCGATGATGACAGAAGGGTTACACAAACGACGGCAGCATTAATGAGCAAGCTTGGCAATGTTGAAGTGAGTCAATAGGAAAGAACAATTAGTATATGTCTCTAATTTAGTTATTGCATAATTTAAAAATAATCACATTTACCGCAACTCGTGACGACTAGCTTGCCCTCATATTCATACCTACCTATTCGGATTCTCAAAAATTGATAAGAAAGCAGAATAGAATATTTTTCATAGTGGTACAATATGTTGTGGTTGAATGACATCTCTTTAAATATTTCATACCTAGTTTTATGGACCGAGACGCACAGAAAATACGTTGGATGAGACTTTTTAAATTCGCCAAAAAAAAAAAGCTTTCGCAATAAGCAGCACACAAAAAGTATTGCATTAAGCTACAAGAGCTTTTTCTAAGCGATAAAAGCTACCTGATATTTTATTTGTTTTATTCCCACAGCTGTTTGATGAGAGAATCACTTTGCTTGCTCAATACAGCCACAAAATTTCTCTTCAAAAATATGAAATAATATTTTTCACACAATTTTCTATCGAGTCTGTTCAGTCAGACAAGTAACACTGTCGAAACAACAGGTGCAATAAATATAAATAAATAATAATTGCACACATATTAAAAAGTTTGTAATAGTCCTATTGTTATAGCTCTGTGTGACTTCAAAGTGTGACAAAATCTAAATGAGCTATTAATTTAGGCAACAAGCAAAAAGAGAGAGACTTTAAGCATTGCAATCAATTAAAAATACAAAAACAAAAGTGGGAAAACATGAAGAACTTGTCAAAGCCGATCATTTCAATCTGCACATACGAGGTATAAATGCTTGACATTTTTGTACATAATGAAAATCAGTTGTCATTGATGGACATAGTAAATCAATTACTGATATCGTGTCTCGTTATCAATTACATGATGTCTATAAAGCCATAATATGAGTGTGATAAAGCATTAATTAAATCGAGACATAAATCCGTGTTTGTTTTGATGTGATTTCTAGCGCTGGTTATTCGGTAAACATGCAATTAATGTTATCAGTTTGTACATATTGACGCAAACGGAGAGAATGATTCCTTCTGTAGCTTTCAATGAAGGTTTTAGGAGCCGTTCACTTATTACGTTACACAAAAAAATGACTTTTTTCACACTTTCACACCCCCTCCCCCCCATGTTACAATGTGTTACAACTCACAACCCCCCTCCCCTGAACGTTCATAATTTATTTTATTTTGATAATTTTTCATAAATCATTAAAAAGGTGGAAAATTTAAAAAAATGTTTTTGGTGAATTTTTCAAACCCCCGTACCCCCACTCCCTCCTTCAATACGAACGTAATAAGTGTATCCGTTGTATTTTAGTTCAATTTTTTAAGTTGTAGTTCAAATTCAAATCCCAAAAATCCGTTAAATTTTAATTCAAATTTAAACAGTTCTTGTCAATTAAATTTGAAGCCTGTGCTTCCACTTCTCATCATTTGATGTAGCATTGACTTAGACTGAGTGAATTGAAGTGCAATCCATTAAGATTTATTACTCCTAATATTATTCTTTTATGGGCCATAAACGCTTTTTAAGCCTTAGTCATTTATTTAGTGGCGAAATTAAACGTCATAATAATTTTTTTGCACAGCAATGAAAGTTCCAAGCGTTAGATTTATTATCGAAAAATGTTGATTCTGTACAAGCTTAAGTAATTGCTTCGTGATATTTTTGTTGGTTGAACGATATCATGATTTTTGGAAGTAAGAAATCATTAGTGGAACGTAAAAATCAGCAACGCGATGAAACATTTCGTGCCTAACTCACAGAAATACAAAATAAATGCAACTAACGTTGTATAGAAGTAGATCAGCTGAGGAGTATTTCGATTGTTACACAGTTGTGCTCATTCAACGATTAAACTGCTTATTAATAATAGCTACAAAGGAAATCATGAAAAAAAATTGATATTTCTTCTAATTTTCTGTTAATATGATAAATGAAAATCGTGTTCTTCCTATAATAATCAATAAGGCATAGTGGAAGTCATGACAAAGTTCTACAACTTCTCATGCAAATTTCGTGACTGGAGACTTAAAAACTATTTAAAACACGAGTCCTGCACTTTCGTGGATAATTACTTTTTGACCGTAGACGATTTCTTGGGAAATTAATTGAATTTTTTTTGCACACTTTATGCTGTTATGAATTTGCGAATTATGATGAACGACACCGGCTGTATATCATGTCTACAATAGCTAAGAGATGAAAGTTACTCAACAGTGCAATGAAATCATGTTGCAGACAATGTCTGTGCTGGTTTTAATTGCTAATCCTTGCATCTTAATGAAAACTTGGTGTGTGCCATTTGTGGATTAGCTCACTGCTGTAAACTTATAAACATGTGAAGTTTTCAACGGACAAAAAATATTTATAATTTTAACAGTCAAAAAATGTTTGAAAAACTTTCAAAAAGTTCTTGAAATCTTCAAAATAATGTTTAACGGTATTTTGCAAGTGTCTTATCAAACCCAGTAAATTTCTCAAATGCTCCACAGCTCTCAATCCATAATTAATACCTGAATCATTCACCAAATGCAGTTATAAATGCGCATACACATTACCAATTATCAGCAGATTTACTTTTTTTTCTACTAATTAGTTCAACGTTTGCTTCTTTATCTAATCTACTAATTTTATCGAGCTTTTACCTGCTTAAATTCCATCCAAAACTAAAAAGATATAGCTGTTCCTTAATAATCATTGATTAGCAATGAAATTTCTTTTTCTGCTGGTCTTCAAATTTTATATTAAAATCAATTAATCAATCAAAGGCTTTTGAACATTTTCCGCAATTAATTAAAAACTTTTACTACTGCCAACATTGTTTGAATTATGCTGAAAAGTGATAGTAAAATTATGAGCATTAACATGAAGTAATGAATGCAAATATTTCCAGACAAGAAGTTTCACTTTTGTTGCCCTAAGTGCTGTAAAATCATGTTTTGCAATGTAATTTTATTATTTTTTGAGTGAGGAAGAGCTTGTTATAGACGAGTTGATGGGAAATAATGTTAACATTTTAGCATTCAATTCAATTGTTTTAATTAACACATTTTTAATTTTATTAATTTCTTTGAATTTTACTTTTATTCGTCAGGAACGTCAATTGGAGCTGAAGAAGAACGGAACCCCAAGAATCATCACAAATGGCACAGAGAAGAAGAAACCAGCTCCATTGCCACCTCCTGTAAGCTATTTGCTTTAATTGCTTTAATTTAACAGTGATGTCATGTGATGGAAATTTCATCATGTCATGATAGAATGACTAGCTATATGTGCAAAAATCTCGATATCTTTATTGTCTGTGCTTTTCTGAGTAGAATCATAAACAAAATCAACTTCCCTTCCCGTAAACATCGTAATTAAAACAATTAAAGTTGGCTGTTATGCAGCAGTTCCGACTAAAAATTGAACACGTAGGCTTCAATTCAATTCAATTGGAACTTATTCAGGTCATTTAAATCTCTAGATTAATCTATGGATTTATTTAAATCTTACGATTAAATTTAAAATTTATTTTTTATCACAAGAATTCAAACAAATCCCTTGACAAAGCACATATCATAGTCGTCTACATCCAATGATAATATTTCCATTATCAATTCCTATAAAGCTTCATTACTAAAATTCCTTTAACTTGCAGAAGAAATTCGATAAGCAAATCTCAGCACCGATTGTAAAATTCAATGAGGCAAAAGAGCCGTGGACACCGCGACCCGACTATGATTCGCCTGAGCGCACATTCAATAGACTACAGACTGAACAGCAGTATCAACAACATTCACAAAAAGGTACAATGAGTAGAATAACATTACAAGAATTAGCAAAGTCGAAAGGTGACGTAGCTGAAATGGAATCGATTGAGTCATTCAAATTAAATTCACCGGCATCAAAAATTCCTGCACCACCTCCCATGTACTTTCAGGCGCAGACATTTGAGCCGACGACATTGAAGAAAGTGCAACAGAAACCAGTTTCTGTTATTGTTAGCTCGTATAATTGCAATAAGAAGGAACCAGGAAAACTTGATTTTGTTGATAATACAAATATTTTTGATGAGAATGCAAATGTTGATATGTCAACGAGACTAAAATATGAACTTGAAAAGACTTTATCGCGATCTAATTTACGTAGATCCTTAGTAAGTGATTAATGACTAGTTGTGGATATTTTTGTGCATTTTCTCGTGGCTGTAAGGTTAAGTGATTAATATCTTTGGCTTTTTTGCTGTGTAAACATGTGTAGGAGCTCGATTCAAGCCTTCATTCATTTTTACCACGTTTTGTAACGTTTATTTTTCAAATACTTTTTAATCGTTTAATTTGCAATTTTCACGAATTATAAATTTTGAGCCTGCCCTGAGAAAATGCATATTGATCATGAGTGTCTTAATGCTAATTATTGTGAATTTTTCTATATTTTTTAGGATAATATTTTAAAGCCAGATTCAGAGCCATCATATGAAACGATTAATGATCGTCACATTGCTCAAATGCCGAAGAAGCATGAACCATCGACTCTGAATGGAATCCTGAAGAATGGAACAAACAAAATGAACAGCAACACCATACCTAAAAACATATCATTCGATGATAATTTAAAATGAAAATGAAATTATTGCAGAAATTATTTTTCTTTTGATCTTTTTTTTATTATTATTTCATCTACAATTAATTAATTAATCTTAATTGATATACTTTCTTATTAATTATACAAAAAATAATAATTTGCATTAAAATCTTTAATTTATAATTCATTCCATTGTATATTAATATCTATGCATAGTAAGTCACAATTATTACTATGTAATTAGTGAAGTTTAAAATAATTTCATATTTTTTTGAAGCTTAATGTAACTTAATCAATAAGTTTAAAAAATTTCTTAAAAATAAAAAATTATTTTTGTGCAAAAATAGTCGAATTAAGCTTTTAATTCTTATTTTTATATAGACGGTCATTCAGAAATGACGTTTAAAATTAGCGACCCATCGCGTCTAGTCGTGCCGATGCTGATAATTCTCAGTTTTGTTCTACATTAAAATCAATTGTTTATAAACATCAGATAAGTACTTAATTAATTTTATTGAGTTGATAACCTTTATGCCTTCATATGTCCACTATCAAAATATTTGCTTGTTATTCATTGAGCGCTTGTCACGATGAGATTATGAGGACATTCATTCTTTCGTAGTTTTTGGGAGCATTTGTCATTTGGGGAATTCGTTTATTTAATTAAGTGAATATTTTTTTAATCAAAATTGGTAAAATGAAAGTCGTTAAAGAAGTTCGTGAAGTTCAAAAAATTCAAATTTTTGTCACAATTCCATTTCACTTTAGATCAAATCATCAAAAAGTTAATTTTATTTCAGTTCATTTAAAAAGTTAAACTAAGATCAGTTCATTCAAATTTTTGAAAACCGTTGAATTTCAAAAAAAGAATAAAAGTTAATTGTTCATTATTAGAACGTCTACGTAAAGCAACAAAACAGACTTGCTAATCGTTAAACATTATTTTCAATAATATTCCAAATAGTCATAATAAACACAGACTTAAAATCACTTAATCAAGTAACAAAATCTAAAATGTCCGTGAAATTTGACTTCGTTCTGGGTTTTGTGATCGAATGTAGAGGAATTTTTGAAATTCCCTTTGAATTCCTTCATGCATGATCATGTATAGGAATGGTTTGTAGATAATAGCTGCTCCACAAAGTAAATGACATAGGAAGAGCGTGCATAACATAGGAACTTTATATTCCTCATTAAGCATCTCTATGTTGTGCAAGCAAAACAAAGCTGGTATCCACAGGATTATATAAACGAATGCCATTACTGTCAGCATTTTTTCATAAATAAATCCACTCATAAGTCTTGTACAGTTGATGCTTTTATGAATGATCCAAAAAATGATGTAAATTGACAAAATTGCCATTGGAAGTTTGATTTGGAATATCTTGTCTAACTCATCAAGTCCTTTTTCTGCTTCCAAACTTGGATATGATTTTGCACACACTGTAATGACACTGCTATCTGTCGAATGTGAATCATAAGTACGAAATAGAACTGATTGTGCAAATGCCGGAAGTGAGGTGACTATATAAAGGAATCCAATGATTAAGGCTGATAGCAAGAGTCGAATATTAAATTGCAGAATGATTAAAGCTGTTACGATTGTAAAGATTGACAAAATGGGTCCAAAATACTCAAAAAATGTTACTACTTTGCACATTGTGTCTCCAAATATAAATTCACCAACAAACATGTGAGACGTCAAGCTTATTACTGTCCCAAATATGAAGAAAATATCAGCTACTGCAATATTTGCTAGGAACAAGTTAAAGGATGTTTGAATTTTCCACTTGACGATAATAATTTGCAGCACTAAAATATTTCCAAAGAATCCAACAAGAATCAAGATAAAAAGGTATATTCCAGCTATAATCCTGAATATTGGATTCTTTTCAAAATCCAGTTCGGTAAAGTCAGCAGCATTTTCAAATGAAATATTTGAAAAATCACTATAATCACTGTAATAGTCTATACTCATCTTCACTTGTGCCTTTTATAAGAGGAACTGACCAGCATGAGAAAATTTTTGTTTGAAACTGTCACTCAAAAAAATATTGAGCAGAATAAGTCTTATCAGTCGCATTCTCTTTACTTCTAATTTATGTCAAAGTTGACATACTGGACATGGATTAAGTCGGTACTTGAGAATGAGTATGCTTTTTGTGCTGCACATTTGACTAAAACGCATTGTAAAGTGCTATTAATTTCAACGGTTTTCTAATATTTGAATTTATCTTTATCAACTGGAAGAGTTCAAACTGGTTCAAAGTTATAACGGTTTTCAAAATTTTAAATTATTTTTTTAGTTCAAATAAGTTCAAAATTTTGGTCCAAATCTTAGAATAGTTCAAAAAATTATTTGAATTCGTGAAACTCGTTACTTTTTGAACTAACCTAATTCATATTTTGCACTATGATTCAGATTCGGAAAAAATGTCCAAAAATTCCTTGTGCACAATATTTTTCCGACACATTAGAAAATTGAAAGTTTTTGTTAATTTCTCTTGATTTGAAACTTTTAACATCTTCTACATAATGTTTTCGTTCATTGCTCAAAAAATCAGTCCTTAATATAAAGGATAAACATGATTTTTTACCAAAAGTTTGTAAAAGTTTATCAAAAAATATTGTGCATGATCAAATTTTGTATGAAAATTTATGTAAACTTTGATCGCAAATATCACGAAAACGGCATCAAACGGCATGTCCTCAGTAATATGGGAGATAGATTTAAGCTTAATTAATTAATTTGTATAGGTTTCAGAGAGGTCTTTGGAAGACTTTTCAACTTATGAATAGTTTAAGTTGTGTAAAAATACTCAGATTTCAATTCCATTTTTAAGGCTTAATAACCAGATTTCTATTGAGTTGGTTGTTTTAATATGTAAAGCTAAGCTTAAATTAGCTAACAACTGCTTCCAAGACATCCAAATAACAACTTAAAGTAGAAAAAATCATATTTTTTTTTTCATACACAAATTGTAAACAAATTTTGGGTGAGATTAAATTAATGATTTCTGGAGTTAGACATCAAATTGGGACGAGATATTTTCATAGGATATGCCTCAAGTTAATATCTTTAATCTGGCATTTAAAAGACATAGTTTAATTAACATGAAATTTTTGAATTTTTGAACATTTTTTTCGATTCTGAATCATTGTGTTTTGGAAGACGTTTAGTTTTCGAATTTTAAAAAAACGTTAAATTATTAAATTATATATAAAGTCGTGATGCTCCAAGAATCTTATTAGAACAGCACTATTATACTATCAAAGCATTAGTCCTTCTAAACTTGTACTGCAAATAAGTTTTATGTTCAGTTCCAGACTACATTTGATGCTGAAAAGTTTAATAAATAAGAATAAAGTAGCACAAGTTTGTTTTTATCATACATTTATTATTTCCATTTAACTTGTTGAAATTAAAAAGTGTTGATACAAAAAAAAAGTTGTTTGAACCAATCCATAATCTAGGTAATTCCTTTGTCAATCAATATGCGACAAAATGATAATTTTTTTGGAAATTTCTTTAAGAAATAAAATGACTTTTACACATATCCAAAATTGTTATTTTTTATGATTATTGAAATATTTTTTTGCGTCTCGTTAATTTTGTTGATTTATCCCCCATTTTTTTTTTTTCGAATATCCTTTTATTAATTATATTGCATTTTATTCTATATTAGTGATACATAATCGAAAGTAAAGTGTCGGAAATTGATACCAAAAAAAAAGTTAAATTCTTGATTCATTCATAGTTTTTTGTGACTTATCGAGAAGTTGTTTAGGCTGTTTGCGATGCTAAATTAAGGATTATCATAATAATTTTCAGATACATGAATGTATGATGACGAAAATTTACAAAAATATTATTTTTTTTTATATCTCAAAACTTAATTTTTAATTCAAAAGCAATCATCATATTGTTGAAAATTTTTCTTTGAGATAGAAAATCATCAAATTTTGAAAAAAGAAAGGTCCACAGGAATAAATTTACAGATGATCTTAATGCTCTCTTAATAGTTTTTTTTTTTTCTTGTTTAATATTATTACAATGAAATAAATCTTAGTCAAACGAAGGAGAAGTGGAAAGATATTATCCAGTTCAATTTACTCTTTAGCTGGAACTTCGATGACACGTGGTTTGTCAATAATGCGTGCTGTACGATTTCCTTTTTCAACAATACCAATAATCCATGCTTGATATCCTTCTTGTTTCTCAATATCTTTACAATATGCAGCAGCTTGTTCCCTTGGCAAGCAAATCAACAATCCACCAGATGTTTCAGCTGAATGTCCTTGAAGCAATTGGAACATGTTACCGCAAGCTTTTGCAACAGCTGCCATTTTTGCGATAACTGGCAAATTATGAATAACAAATGATACTTCGTTCTTTTGATGTGATGCCAATGTTTGAGCATGTCCTAGAAGACCGAACCCAGTTATATCAGTTGCTCCATGAGCATTGTACTTGTGCATTAAGCGTGAAGCTGTACGATTCAATCGTGCCATTGAATCCATAGCTCGATGATATGCTTTACGAACATCCTCTTCTGATACGACGAGCTTAATTCGATTCCAACGTTCAGGTTGTTCAAGCCATTGATGAGCATTTACAGCAACTTGAGTTCCTAATGGCTTCGTCAGGACTAAAACATCTCCAACAACGGCATTATCAGGAACAATGTAGTCGTTTGGATTGCAAACTGTTGATGCGACGCCTTAAATAATTAAAATTATCGATTAAAATACTTTTTCAATTTTTAATTCGTGTGAATGTGATTATCTTACCTCCAATTGTACACCATGGATTAACAACACTCTGACCGCCAGTAACTGATGTTCCAGCTTCCAAAGCAGAATCCTGCAAACAATAAATTGTTTGGATTAGAAATTGATGATAAAAATTGCGAAATAATTGTACCTTAAATCCTCTCATAATTAGTGGAATAACAACATCTCGTTCCTTCTCAGTCATTTTCGTGCTTACGGCAAGTAACATGAGCATATTGTCGCACTCGATAACACCCATTGCATAAAGATCACTTAGGACATTAGCACAAGCGATTTTACCCATCATGTATGGATCGTCGACGATTGGATAGAAGAAATCAGTTGTTTGTACTAAACAAAGTCCTCCATGACGAAGAGGAGTCACTGAACAATCAAGACCGATTCCAATACGGGGAATTGTCATATGCATAAATTGATCATCATGGGATGTATAGTCTTGTTGTAATGATCCGACTAATTTATTTAAAACATCTTGTGGGACTTTACATCCTCGTCCTTTAAGATCAGCAAAGCGCGTAAGACGAAAATTTGCATCTAAATCGTGAGCTGTTGGATCGAATTGTCTTCGCAATAAATCGCCTCCCATTTCGAGCTTCATGCCCAATGAGTCATGAGAATAATCACCCATTTGTATCTTGGTATAATAGGATACAAAAAGTTAACAAAATAAAATGAAATTTACCGGCGATAGTTTCAAAATATGAATATGAAGAAAAAGAACGCAGGGAATCACCCAGAACTAAGTCTCAGATACAGCGCTTCTATTTTTTCTTTATATGACTAAATATGGCGGCCCTGGATATCTTCCAGTGGCTTACACACTTTGTTAATTTTATTCTCACAAATTTTCACCTTATTTTACTGTTTTTCACTTTGCAAACTATTGCAACACAATTAATAGCTTCTTAACAACCAATTGCCGTACAATTTACTTTTATAAACTTGTTAATTATACTAGTATTTGTCGGTTTTTATTTTTTTCAAAAATTGCGCTCCTTAGAGTTCAACACAGCAAAACGATTATGAATAAAAAATTGATTCTGTGTGTAGAATGCAATCTTAATTATTCGCAAAATCACTTATGGCTAAATAATTCTAGCTGATATATCCCTTTCTACTTTATTATACTGTGAAACTAGTCAAAGTAATTAGGAATAAACACAATTCATGCTTCAAATATGGAGTTAAAAATGGCTTCATTAACGGTAGCTATAAATTTGAAATTTGAACAGCCAGCCTTCCTTAAATATTTTTCAGCTTCCTTCCCTTCAGTTCATCTAAATCATTATAAACAACCCAAATCAGCCAACTGATAACTTTTTTGTGACTTTTAAACCATTAATTAAACCATAATAAATAAGCAGATGTCATGAGTGTGTTCAGAAATGAACGAGTTTTCTAGAAAATCCTTCACACTCATTTAACGTTATTTTGAAATTCAAATTTTGAACTTGGAAGTTTTGAACTTAAGAATCCCTGCAAATCAGTTGTTTACCTTCTAAAATCGAGCCGCAGCACCAAAATTTAATTAAGCTTTGAAACAATGGAAGAAGATGGCTGTCCTCGTTGTAAAACCACCAAGTATCGTAATCCATCACTCAAATTGATGGTAAATATCTGTGGACATACACTTTGCGAGAATTGTGTTGAACTCCTTTTTATTAAAGGTATAATTTGAACATGTTTACACCCAAAAAGAGAAATTTTAAACATTTAATCTCTTTATAGGCGCAAATACCTGTCCAGAATGTAACATCCCACTAAGAAGAAACAATTTCAGAGTTCAACTATTTGATCCACATGTTGAAAAGGAACTAGACATACGAAAAAGGATCTTAAAAGACTTTAACAAAAAGGTATAGTGGGATGTTTGTTTATCAACTCAATCAATTGACTAAAATTGTGAAATAATTTCTAGGAAGAAGATTTTGCAACTTTAGAGGAACATAATGCCTATTTAGAGGAAATTGAGGATATTATATTCAATTTATGTCATGACATTGATATCTTAGAGACAAACAAAAGAATTGAGCAGTATAAAAAGGAAAATCGTGAATCTATTGTTAAAAACAGACAGAAGATTAGTAAAGAAGAATTTGAGCTTGAAGTTATACTTGAAAATGAAAAGGAAATATCGGAAGTTAGAAATAAAGAGCTTACCGTAATTCAGGAAAATGCTAAAAAGAAAAAGACACTTGAGAAGGAAAAATTAATAGATGAATTGATGTTTAGTTCCGGAGATGCAAAATCTATTGTCCAAACGTATGCTGAGAAAATGGAAGAAGACAAAAAAGAATTAGATTTAGCACCACCACCTCCAAAACTTACGAAATTCTCTACAGGAATCAGATTCTCTTCGAGTATACAACAACAGTACCTGCCAGTTCCAAAAATCGATGAAGGTCCAATATTCATATACGAAGAACCTGAAATTGAACTTTATGGTCCAAATATCCCAAGATATGAGGAAATAAGTGAGAAGAACTACCTTAAACATATTCGTCAAGAGAATCAAACTGAACGAGCTGGTGGATTTCAAAGTAAAATTGCTTGTTACCGAGCAATTACAGAAGCGATGCAAGGACTCTATCCATTTTAAGTACCAGTTTGTTATCGTTTATTGAAATAAAATAAAATTAATTTATATAATAATCAAATATTATTTGTGTGCTATGATTTGTACGTATATTATTGACTTTTTACACGCTTTTTACAACTCAATCTCCTTAGAGTTGATTGCATCATAGAAATCTCTCAAACTTTTAAAGCAATTCTTATTACCCTGATCATCATTTCCTATTAGAACTGAAGACCATCCTGCATTCATAGCACCTTCATAGTCTGTTGATATTTCGTTTCCTATATGCAGTGATTCTGATGGGTAAATCATATCCCATTTCTGTGCTAATGATTTTTCTAAAGCAAGTTCAAAGATCTTCCGATCAGGTTTCTCGATATTAGCCTCATATGACGTGATTATAAAATCAAAATTATTATGCAAATTCATATCTCTGAGTAAATGATGCAGCCTTGGGTCAAAATTAGATATAATTCCAACTAGTTTTCCGTGATGTTTCAATGACTTAATTGTTTCATCACATCCGTCGTATTTGTTCCAGCACTTCTTAGTCTCGTACAATTTAATTAAAGTGTCAGCTACTTTATTAAACTCTTCTGGCTTTCTTTTTTCTCGATGAGCATCCGATAAGACATTTTGCACTAAAGTACTCCACCATGATTCAAATCCAATCGATTGTCGTCCAAAATTTGGAAATTTCACTTTCGATTCCTTAAAATGTTTTTTAAAGCTTGGATAAATTTTAGTCTCATCAAAATCCTCTCTTTTATGACCCGATTCCACTGCAACCTTCAAATATTGCTGATGTACGGGTATTTTAAAATACAGCAAAGTGTTTGTACAATCAAACGTGACTAGCTTGAATCTCTTTAAATTTCTCGACAGCATCTTCTTCTTCAAAGATCTGCGATGTTATGAACAACAACCAGCCAAAGCTGATTTTCGTTTACCAACATTGTATATCAGCTGATGAAAGATTTTCCTGCTGAAAATGTCATTTTTATGATTTTATATTTTTGAGCTTTGTGGGTGGGAAATTGATAGTTTTGGATGTTACTGATGCTATTTTGACCTCTTTGGCATTGAAAAATTCTTTTAAATGAAATAAATTACAGAAATCATTAAAATTATTCCTATATTCATACCAAAAAGTCCCAAATGACACCAAAACAAAGGAATCTCATTCCATCCATAAGCTCATTTGGAATGTCAAAACCTCACAAATTCTCAATCACAGAGTCTCAACAAGGATTTTAAGGATATAATTCATGAAAATTGCACAACAATTTGTTTAATTCAACTATCATAATCCATCATTTTCTATCATATCCAACATCAATCACATGAGATTTAAATTTAAGGATGCCGCATATAAAAGGCTTCCTCCTCAGTCCATCCCACGCATGAGTGAAAAAAGGACGAGAAAGGAAGGGAAATCGCGTGAAAATCTCTGTGAAAATTTTTAATTAAACGTTGATTTTCAATAGTTTAATTATTAAAAAGGAGTGACTTGTGATCCTGACGATACAGTTAAATGAATTATCAAACATTCCAGACGTTTTTCATTGATTTAATGTGAAAAATCTGTATTTTTCACAAAATCCTTTACAATCATGTTAAATGAGGATTTATTTGCGGATTTTTATTCGATGTTCATTCACAGCTATGATAATTCGTGAGTTTAAAGCTTAATTAACAGGAATATCATTAAATTTTACCTTTAAATGTTCAATTTCAGGAAGAAAAATAAGGAAAAAGGAAAAGACAAAGGAAAAGTAAGTTGAAAAATTTTCATGGAGGACCGATCGATAAATGTGGGTTGCGTTCTGGGTGGGAGAGAATGTGTACATTTTCTCTGCTTTGGAATGGTGTTGTTTTGCCATGTGGCCGGTAAATTTTCATCGTGGTATGAGTTACCATGTGACTAGTGGGTGAATATCATCATCTTGAAAGTGGGCCGTTGGGGGTGGGATACAGATAGGCGCGTGTTTCTCGCGGTTTCTAGTCGTTTATAAAAATATTGTTTATCAAGAATGAGACAGAACTTGACCCTTAATCTAATTAATTTTTTAAATTCCTTAGAATTCATTAGAAAATCATGAAGAAGCCATTGCATCGCCAATTGCGTTTGAAATTTCGTCCAATGCATCAAAATTTGCTGCATTCTCTGCTATTCGTTCGTTAGTACTTGAACATGAGACGAAATATAACACGATTTATAAGCTAGAGAACAAATTAAAATCAATTGAACATCCGGTGCGCAGTAAAAGCGAAGACGATGCTGGTGATTGTAAAATCATCGATGCATTAATAAGGAATGAGACGAAAATAAATGTTCCATATGTGAGTATTGCTGCCACCTCCCTTTTTTTTGACCTACTTTTCATGCTCTGCATTATTATAGATCGTATCAGCAGGAATTCAAACGCTCTTTGATATAATTTCGGAAACCAAACATCAACATCCTGTAATATGTTCAAAAGCTTTGGCATCCTTATTCGATATTTTTCAAGGTATGAAAAATAATTTAATTTATGTCACATATGTTATTTATTGCATACATAAAATGCTGTATTTTTCAGGACACGATCCAGAAAGTTTTAAATCAGAGCCAGATGCTTTATTTCAGTCATTATATGACTTATTACTAGATTTAGCTACTTGGAATGGTGCCAGTCCTCAAAAATCATCAGACTATAGTGATGAGAAGAAGAATTGGAGTGCAATAAGTTGTTCTGTATTACTTGCTCTATGTGTAGCACGTGGGGACACTGGAAAAATTATAAAAGCAATAACATCAATACTCATGTCACCTAATGCTGTTCTTAGTCAATCTATTAAACTTCCAGAGATATTAATTAAACTTCAAAAGAGTGTTGAATGTGCAGCTCTTGGTCGTCCTGAAAAACCAACATTTTTCGAGTATGGAATTCCGCAAAACAGCTTAGTTGATGAATTTCATATTAAGAACATTACTGTTGATAATTCAGTGTCATCATCAATCGCATCTGATGGTAAATTTCTTTATATCCTTCATGGAAAGTCTCTTTATAAAATTGGATCTGGATATAACAGCACCACAAAAGGTTTAATCTACAAAATGAATAAAGATTTTACCAAAGATAAACGTGGATGGATTGGATATTGTCGAGATAAGCTTTATTACAAGAAAATGTCAAAAAGAAATGCCGATAATTTTGTAGTGATTGATCGTGATTCTCTTACATTCCAAAGTCCCCTTTTAATGTCATCGAAAGCTTTCAAAAAGGAAACAGTCAACTATACTCTCTATTCAGATGGAGAAACAATCAATGCGATTAGTGCTGTTAAGGATGATAACTTTGTTATCAAGGAAATTGTATCAAGCAGTGATTTTTCATTCGATTTAACTTTGAATCTCGCAAAAAGAACTTTCCGTACTTATGGATATACTCCATTCGAGGAGGAAATATTGAACAATTCACAGCTGCAAAAAATTCAAACGTCCTTTAACTTTTTCGTCCCAGCACTGCCTGACGACTCAGAAATCAGTGGAATCGTATCAGGAAAGGAATTTGGATTAGTCATGACATCTAACAATAAAGTTTATTACTATGGAAAAGGTGCAAGCTTAGGCTTGAAATCGCTCATAAAAAGTCCTTCCTTAAAACTCAGTGAATTAACAATTTCAAAAGTATCAAAAATTATTCAAACTTCTCTTGGCCATGATGGTTTGCATACGTTACTATTAAGTGATGATGGAAGTGTATTCTTTGCTGGAACCGTAAGACGTGGAGAAGATGGTGAGATCTCAAAGAGACGTCTGTTAAAGCCAACAAAGCCCAAGAGAATTTCACGACTTGACAATCATTTCATAATTCATGTATCATCAAATAATGGAACGTCTGCATTTGTAACAAAGACTGGAAAAATTATTATGTTTGGTAAGGATACAAGCTTTTGTGACTCTCACGGAATAGTTCAGCAACTTCATGAACAACATATTATTAAAGTAGCACTAGGAAAGGCACATACAGTAGCATTAAATTCTAAAGGTCAAATATTCACATTTGGAGTCAACAACAAGGGTCAGTGTGGAAGAACCTTTACAAATAAGGATCGAGTTTCAAACGATGACTATTTCTGCATAAAAAGTGAAAATAAAAACTCAAATCAATTTTTATGTGACATTGATGACCATGAAGTTATAGAAGAGCAATGCAAAATTTGTAAAATATGCTATGAATGTACTGGATATAACAAGATGTGTGCAGCAGCTACAAAAATTGCAATGAAAAGCCGTTTACCAGGTAGCAATTGTTTTTGTGGTCATGGAAACTCGGGATGTATTAAATGTGGTGCTTGTACGATATGTATCTCAAAACAAGAAAATGACATTAATAATGAACATGTCGTTGGCTCACCGGATAAACAAAAACGATTGAAAAAGGAAGTAAAAATCAATATTGATGAATTTAATTTCCCAAATGAATCAGAACGTGTAGCTCCGTTGCCTCCAGCAAAAGTATCAATTCCTTCAAATAGTCCAGTAATACAGATATCTTGTGGTTTACATCATACAGTCGTACTTACATCAACTGGAGAGGTTTTTACATTTGGAAGTAACCAATATGGGCAGTTGGGTACGGGTGACTTGCAATCTGTCACTGGACCAGTACAAGTCAAAATTCCATGCATGGCTAGTCAAGTTTCTGCTGGAAGTAATCATACTGTAATTTTATCAAACAAAGGAATCGTGTACACATTTGGCAACTATCAGAAAGGTCAGTTGGGAAGACTGCCAAGTGAAACTAACATAGTAAACTCTACTCCAGCCCAATCTATGACAGCTAGCATGAAAAACGATCCATTTGTTAACCTTAATGACTTTCAGTCTCTAGAAAATACTAGTAATATTTTGGCACAGCGTCAAAGATTTTTATGGAACTGTATTCCAGCGCCAATAACAAATATTGGCCCCAATTTTCGTAAAAAAGCTTGTTGGATATCGGCAAGTGGTGATCAAACCTTTATAAAAATAGATGAATCTTTAGTCAATGCAAATTCATTGACAAAAATTAGTGTAGCTGCAGATAGAAATACGATAATATTCATATCAAATAACGAGGGTGTGCCAGGATGTATAACAATAAATAAGCAGGATGGGAAGTGTAAGACTCATATAAATAATCAATATGTTTTTAATAATTATTACTACGAGGGAAGTTATGACGACGTAAGTCTTGATCAACAATCAGGTTCCTCATTGAGTGAGAAATCATTACGTGATTCAGGAGATTTTCATCAATTTTCATCCTCTGCATCATCATCACCATCGTCATCAATCACTGCAATAAGTAATACAATTTTTACCATCGATCCACTCTACGATGTTTTATGGTGTTTCGATGTGATGAACAAAAAGATTCTCTGCTTTAATATTCTCGCAAGCAAAATTAATGGAAGTGCAAGTGCAATTTGTAAATCAGATATGGCATTACCAAATAGAAATGTTGTTAATGTCACTCGAGTTCATGCCTGCTTAAATGTTTTAGCATGTTTAGATACACTCGCTTGTGCTCAAAATACACTTGACTCATGCTTTGAATTTGACACAAAAGTACGAGGAACAGCTAAAGTTCCTCCAATTGAACCGCCAAAGGACTGTAAAGAGACTAAGAAAATTTGTAGATTTGAAAATTTCGGTGGTGGTTGGGGCTATTTTGGACATAGCGTTGAAGCAATTAGATTTATGTGTGATACAGATATACTTATGGATGGGATTGGAATGTATGGTGGACGAGGTGAATACACGTGTAAAATTAAAATTTTCGATATTGGTGCCGATGGAGGTGCACTTGAAAAAGATGGATTATTAATTTTTGAATTGGACGATATACCTTATTACTGTCCGGCTAGAACAATTCATAACATCACTTTCCAAAAGGCAGTGAATATTGTAGCAGGAAAATGGTATCTGCTGTGGATAAAAGTATCAGGTCCATCTAGTGATTGTGGATCAAATGGACAAAACATTGTTGTTGGAGATGATCAAGTTGTATTCACCTTCAAATCATCTAAAAAGTCTAATAACGGAACTGACATTAATTCTGGTCAAATACCTTCAATTTTGTATCGAGTTGTTACGCATGATAGGAAAATTTCAGATATAACTGGCAAGAATGAAGTTGTGTGTAAGATTAGCAAGCAATTTATCAATACGATATCTCCCGAGAGTTTTGAAAACCTTGTCAAGTTATTGAGCTGGTCATGGAGTCAATTTAAAGTTAAAATCAATGAAATGGTCGAGAAGATATCTTCGAACGATGAACTTTTATTGAATCGTTATGTTTACACGTGTCAAGTGTGCTTACGACTATTAAAGAAATACATCAATGAAATCTATCCATCCGAATCCTTTAAATTTAATGAAAATGAAAAAGCCATAGCATCGCGTTCTGGTCATCAACAAACGACAGAAGCAATTAAAATAAATCCATTACCACAATCATCAACCTCAATAACTTCAGAAGTAAGCTCACAGCATGTCATGAGAAAGAGTAATGTAGAAAAAATTCAATTGGCTGAAAGTATTGGAAACGTTCGAGCTTTATTGATTCAAATATTGTGTGATGATCTATCAAACTCGTATGGAAGTAAAAGTAAGTTCAAATGCCTTATTTATGAATAGATAATTGAATTAATTTAAATTTAAATCCTTTAGCATCTATATTGATATTCAACATAATGGAAGAATGCAATAACACTTTTGTAAGTTGCTTCAATGCATTCTATCCAACATCATACTTGAAATGGGATTGTTTGTGCGATTTATTGTCTCAAATGGACAAAGGCGTTCTTCATTCTCGTCTACTGAGTGGTGTGCTTGCTGGTCTTTGTGATCCTACAGTTAATTTAAAAGCAACCTTCTCCATCATGTCACCATACTCTGAACAAAAGAATATAACTAGTCCAAGTGATAATTCTGGATATCCAATTCTACAAACATCCGATAATTATCATTATCCAATACTCGTAGAACAAATGATGTATCGAATGCAGAAGGAAAAAGCTAATCCAATTTATTCGACATGGAATTTCAAGGAAATTTTAACTCGATTACTCGACATTATTTCACGTCCTATAAAATTAAAGATTGAGGGAATTTACAGCAATACAAAATTGGATTATCTCTCGAATGAGTACTTACGAAAAACTAGTTGCTACAATTTAATATCAAATTGTTGCTTTCTGTTGTCTAAAATCCTTGCTGAAATCGTATATCAAAGTTGTACGGCTGATGTAAGTTAGAATTAGACACAAATGTTGCATATAAATTAACATAATTTTCATTTCTATATTTCTAGACTGACACAACAATAATATCACCTTATGCATTGCAATCAACAGGTGTCCGATTCAAAAAGTGTGATTACAGTAAAACATGGAATACAGGTCATTTTGCAAGTGATGCAATTTGCTTTACTGTAGATCGTTCAGGAATAGTATTAGCTGGATGTTGTGTTTATTACGGATCAGGCAGCTATGAGTATCAATTGGAATTATTGCATGACACACTCGATTCTAAAACTCAAATGCAACATAAATGGGAAACACTTGAGACATCATATGGAACCTTTGATCAAGAGAATGTTCATCGAAATATGGTTCAGTTGAAATTTGAACGTCCTGTGCCATTAAGGGAAAACACTTGCTATGCTGTTCGATTTTGTTCGCAAGGAGGTCGAACTTGTTCTGGTGATTCAGGATATCCACATGTGAGAGGTCCATGTGGGACAATATTTCGCTTTTATCCATGTGATTTAAGTTTTAATGGCACGACACCTGTTCGAGGTCAGATCCCAAGTCTACTTTATTATAGTGTGCCTATAAGTTATCAAGCAAGTAAACTGAAAAATAATAAGGAAATCTTTGCTCGGGATATAGCTTTAGAATTCGCCTCAGATATTGTCCATAGAAGTCGTGAACTATTGATTCTAGCAAGAAATGCCTTCTTATATGCTCTATCATCATCCAGTGATAAAAGTTCATCAAACTCATCAAATACAGCACAAGCTTTTGATTCTGAACATAACATCACGCCAATTGAAGAACATTTTGACGTTTCATGGATGACTGCTCCTCAACCTTCATCGACAACATCAACAATAAAGCCAAGCACCTTTGTTCCGTATTATGCAAATACTTCGCCTGCAGCAGCATCAAGCACTAAAGAGAGTAACATCAATGCAGCAACAAAGGATATTACTAAGAGGATTGAAACATTCTCTAGAGGATTAATTGAAACATTAAAGCTTGATAAGAAATTCGATAGAGGTACAATAGATTGTGTTGAAGTTGATAACGCGGCTGAAATCACCCCAAATGATTATTTAGATGAAGGCAGTAGCGGAAGTTCAAAGAAAAATCGCAATGATTTAAGCGAGTCACAGATTAATGGAAATACAAAGAAGACAAATCAATTAACAAAGAGTGATAGTGATGAAAGTCTCGGGGAGCGTGATAGACTTAATGAAATGTTTACAACGGAAGAGTCGAGTTTATTTCATACTTTACTTCCATTAACTGTCGCACACATAAGCCGTCTAATTTGCAGTGACCCGAAAGTTTCCGTTGAAATTCTGAATTTAGTTAAAATGATTTTGCCGCACATCTCGTCATGGAATCAAATTTGCAATAAAAGCATCTCCTCGCCAGCTCATCAAAGTAATGTGGTGGATAAGACATTAATGCAAAATTATGAGTTATGCACAACTAGCAATTGTTATGCAGTCTTAGAGAGTGATCATCCATACAAAGGAACATCAATCTACTCATATAAAGTAGAATTTCCAGCATCTGTTAAATGGATGTCACTTGAATTTGACCCACAATGTGGAACTGCGCAACCAGAAGACTGTCTAAAAGTGTTAATTCCAACAAACCTCGATAGTTTGTATTCCACAAATGTTAGCGACGAAAAGGGAAAAATGAAAGTGCAAAAGAAGTTTTCAGCAAATGACCGAGAAAATCTCTCGCCAAATGATCAGCAGATCTTGATAAAGAAATTTAATACAGAGAGTGGATGGTCAACAAATGCTATAATAGTGCCTGGAAATGAAATAATGTTGTCACTCGAGACAGCATCAAATTATTTAGCAGATCATAAGCTTAATCGTTATGGCTTTAAATGTATTTTAATTGGATATGAGAATATTGATAACACAAAGACATTTAATAACTCGCTAATCAATTTAGAATCAGAATTTACATATTTGGGTGGAATGTGTAGTGCAAATTTAATGCGAAAAGATTTGATATTTTCAGGTAATTTTAAAAAACCACTTTTATTAGAACTGGATTGAATGCTAATGACTTTTTTTCTATATTCACAATACAGATGAAAAGACAGACGATTTTTGGGCAACAGAAAATACCTTAAAGAAACATTCGGTGCTATTATCAAAAGGATTATCAATACAAAATGGGACATTGACCATAAACAATATACTGGAATATGACATTTCTATCGAGTAAGTACATTAAGTTTCTTTATTCAAATTATCACATAAAATAAATATTCACAATATGAATGGCAAGTAGCAGGAGATCAATTGAATTTAAAAGTCTGTTTTTATGAGACCTGAATTTTCAATTTGCATCACAATGTGTGTCTGCCGATAAGTTCGCGGTTCTGGCATAATCAAATCGAGTTGCTTCTCTCTCCTTCTATGTCTCATATAACAGAATATAGCTGGTATCATTATGACAAGAAAAACAATCACGGCTGTCGCGATTAAAAGATACAGAAACCATTTTGAGTCGTCTCTGCATCTCTCATTTAAATATGAAATTGAATTAAAGTTCTCATCCTCATTCTCTAATCTCACATAAATTGCATGTGCGTTGTCATTGAAGAATTTACTTTCATAAATCTTGTTGACGCTTTCACAATTTTGTGGACTTCTAAAGTATAATTTGCTTAATTGCAATTGAATACTAGGACCAAAGGACATGTCGTCTATAGGATGTATGAAGTTAATTTGATTATTATGCAGTGCAAAATATACATTTCCTGTTCTTGTTCTTGGTACGTTTGTATTTATTGTTATACCTGTTTTTGGATGGAAATGTCAAATGATGATGAAATTAGATATGCAGGAATTAAAGCATATAAATTACCTTTAAATGCATTTCTATGCATCATTTCAACAGTATTATTTTCAAAAGTTGCACGATCTGCAATATCCATCATAAATGCTTCACTTTCAATAAATCCAAATGTAGAGTCCAAGATTCTCATACGCTCAACTTCCTTCACATCAAATGCACTTGACATTAACATTGTGAAGTGGGAGTTTAAAATGACAATATTTTTTATGTGACAGTCGTAAAATGTCTTTGACACTGTGTTTCTTAAGAACGACGTGTTGAGAATTTCAAGTGTGTCTATGGACAGCTTCCTAAATGCTTGTGTATCCACTTGACCAATCGCTGAGTTGTGAATTTTAAATGCTGTGATCTCACCAAAAATGCCAGTCAATGCAAACATGTGAATTCGTGTAATATTTGAGTCTTTAATCATAAAGTCATCAAGCACACCTTTAAAGAAGTGAGCCGGTAGTGCCGGAAGACTACAATTATTAATTTCTATTCTTATTGACGGTCGACTTCGTGATGAATTGAAGGAAAATTCACTAATAATTAACTTGCTAATGCTTTCAAATTGTAATAAATTTATTTGTGCTAAATCCCGCAATGAGTCAGCTGGGACCATAAAATGCTCACAATCGCGCACTGTAATGTATCGATGATTGCCATTTAATTGTGGCAATTTCATAAACTGAAAATACACAAATGTATGCAAAAATAAATATTTTTTTTTTTTCAAAAATAGCACATGCGAAGCTTCTTGTTACAAAGCTGAGCACTTCACGCCTGTATGAGAATTATTTATCGATACATTGATTGCCGAATGCTTATTTTTTCAATATCAAACACAAAAGAATTCCCATACGCGCGTAAACGCATTGATTTCACACAAAAAATTAAGAACTGATAAGGAAATTTACTTCTGATGAATATTGGCAATTGCATACAGCTCCACCCCGCTGATATTCACAATCAACATCCACATATTCATCTATTGTTTGACAATAGACAAACGAAAGTAAAGCAATTGCGCTCGAAAGTGTAAAGTGAACTGATTTCATAATAAATGAAAATTGAACAAATTTTCACGAGGCACTAGGGAAAAATTTCCACTTCCACCCGCGCTCTTGTTTTGCTGAACACTGACTAATAGTCCAAATAATTATTTTCCTCTTATCGCCACACACAGTCAAAATAGTATGTTCTCGCTCAGTGATCGTTGTCGTCGTTACAACTATGAATGTGTGAATCGTGAAGATTTTTTTTTTCGTAGTTATCTTCCGAAACATGTGTACAAGCTAGCAATAATAATAAAAATGAAGTGAATTCATGGTGACGACATCATCTAAGGTAAATAATCGGAACGACGTGTGACGATAAGATATTTATTTTAATAACACATGTATGTGAAATGAAAATGGATTTCGAGTGATTTTTTTTCTTGCCTTCATTCAAGCTAAGCTTTGAAGAAAAAAAATGATTCTATTATGAGAAATGATTATTATGTGTGAGCTATTTTGTTTATTGCCTTTCTGCTGACACTTTTTGTTTTCTTTTTGTCACACTTCACATTTTCTTCATATTCTTCTCTTCTCTTGTGTGTCATCAGCATATGTAGTGCTACTCTCCGTCTGAATTATCAGTCGGACAAGTTTAAAGATCTTTAGTTTGTGTGAATTATTTACAGCGATTATTTTCGCACTTTTATAATCTGTTTGAGAATTTTAAAAGGCTATGTTTTGAAAGTATTAACTGGAAATTGTTTTGGTTTAAGCTAATAGGTCAGAAAGTTATCAAATCACAATAATTAACGAGTTTGATTAGGGGCCGTTCACTTATGACGTCCGGGGGGGGGGGGGGGGGGGGTGAGCAAGAAAAGAACAATAGAAATTCCTGGAAATCCATTGTTCTCTTTTGAAAAATGACCGTTATTTTCGGTCGTCATAAGTGAACGATGACTTTTTTAAATACTGAAAAATTAAATCTGATACAGGGGTAATTAATTTTGTCAAACAATTTGTCAAGAATCGAACCCAAGTTCTTACAATTTTTTGTCTTAATCTAAGAATGTTTGCTAAATAGCAATTTAAACTATTGTAATTTCTATCTAATGATTGATAGATTAGCTTCTAGTGGGAATCGAACCTGCGTCCTCAAAAGGAGATGATTTCAGATTTCTAACCACTTGATCAAAGAGTATTTAATCTCACAATAGTAGATTTGTATGTATGTGGCTTAATACCTTAAATAGAGTAAAGCTTTGACAGTTCAACTATTAACCAGTTCTTAAAAACATTTGATGTTGTCGATGACACTTCTTTAACTCTATTAGTGACTTTATTTTGCTAGTCAAACATTGCCTTTACTAGCTTAGCGAATATCAATTTTTTGATCTTATATTTTTTTAAAAAAAATAAAACTTTTCGCTCAAAAAAGATCCAAAAAAATTGAATAAAATTGAATTTCTGGCACATGTTATCACCTCTTGATTTAAATTAACTTTATTGCGATTTATAAGTAAGTAAATTTGTCATAGATTATTCATAATTAAGATTCAGTTTGTTTAAATTGTGCCTTATGTGCATTGTGACAAATGGATATGAAATTATTAGTTTAAGGGTGTGAGGCAATAAATGATTAATTTCTGAAAGTTTCTATTTTGATCATTTTATTTGTTTTAAGGATTTAGCAGATCTCAATTTTCAATTAAAATCATGCAAAAATGATCAGTTCCGAAAAATAAATATTGTGCTTAATCATCAAAGTTCATTGTCCATTAATTACGAGAACTATGTAAAATACAGCTTGAAAAGGTTAAGGTTATCACACATAAATTAAAATTACATCTCGCAAGTGCTAGAATTACAGGCATAATAAGAAACAACATAATTAATTATCTGTATATACTTCCCTATCACAACATAAATTCATATCAATTACCTTCAAAATTTCAACATGTCAAACTGATAATAAAGCTGCTACGCTCAAATTTCTGTGCTTGAGTAATTAATAATGATCGTGTGGGTCAAGGTAGTAGAATTCAATGCAACGACAACAAAAAATTGGCAACAAACTTTATTTTCTTTCATACTTAATAGCCATTTATTTTCTCATCTTGAATTAATAAATATTTCGTTCCCCCTCTTTAAAGAATAACGACTTTAAGTTCAGATTTTATTTACACAATGGATGATTGAAAAGAAAAACAAAAGTTTTTTTTACAAAATTTTCATTAGAATTTGAGAACATTTTCTTTTTTTATTAAAAATCAATGAAAAAAAAAATAGTTTACAGCAGTTTTTGTTTACGATTCCTTTACGTTTTCCTACACACAATGCGTTTTATATTTTATTTGAAATTGAATTGGTTTTATATACAGAAAAAAAGAGACTTGAAAAGAAATTCTTTTTATTGTATTTATCTTTTTTTGATGATCTCTTGCAGCTGTTAATTAATTTAAATTTCTTTTCCGCGTAAGAATAGAAATTATAGTTCTTTTTACTATAAATCACGACTAATGAACCTCTTTTTTTAGCGATTATCGTACAGTCTTTCCAATTTTGATTCTCATATTCGTTTCTTTTGTCTAAAAAAAAGTTCATGTGTATATATGCAAAATAACACAACGTGTTACTAATGTAACTCGACATTTCCAAGGGAAAAAAAATTGCCCGGAAATAAAAAATATTTTTTTTTTCTTTTTGAAGCACTTTCTATTTTGGTATGTACAATAATTTTTTTTTGTCGAATAAAATAAAATTACATAAAAAAAATGTCAATGAACTTTGCATGTTCATTCTAATAACTCATCGATTTTAACTGTTGCATTTGATCCGCCAGAATGATTCGAACTAGTTGAATTTTCCATTGACTCGTCACTCCAATCCTCAATATTATCTTGTGTCACTCGCACTGGCACTTTATGTGATGTTGATGGCACTGTATATTCGGGTATTTTGCGATTCGTATTTGGAGATCGTGTTATGCGATTAATTTGGTTTGCATTGCTTGGACCAGCTTCCATTCGATTGACAATGTCTGGAAGATTTTTCGATGTGGACGGTTGATCAATTGTTTGACTAATTGCATAGGGAGTTGCTACTAACGGTTTGAATGAGCCTAATTGATAGTTTAAACAAAAAATAAACGTTAATAAGTGAAAATGTCCAAGTTAAAAAAAAGTTTCTTTTTCTCACCCAATGAAGGTGTTGAGTTTGCAGCTGCAACATCATGAATAATTGGCTCCGAATAAACATTGTTGTTATTGACATTTGAATTACTATCTAATGGATTTGAGTAATTATTTGCTAACAAAAGTGGCATCATTGTTTGTTGCTGTGTTAACATTGTGGGCTCTGCATAAATATGCTCCGAATGCTGTTTCGAAAACCCTCTGTTTGCGGACGGTGTTGAATTTGATGTTTGAGGTAGGGCGGGTTCTGAATAAAGATCGTCAATTACAAGAGGTTGTTGATTATGTTGTGGTATGTTTGAAACAGTTGTGCTTCTTAATGTTGTTGTTGTTACTGGTGCAAGATGCTTATAAAGAATGTCAGTAAATGCAACAAAGTCTTCACCACAATTTTCACATTCACCGATTGTTTGCACAATGTCTCCAATTATTTTGACTTTCTCGTATTCATTTAGATGCTCGTGTAGGAGTCGTTGAGTATTGTTGTTTACCATCTCATACTTATCTTCCGGTTGCTTTTGTTTCATTATGTCTAACGTTTGTTTTATGATTATGCGATCATGATTGGAAAATGACTTTGTTGAGCGCAACGATGCCTCATATGATGGTGGTCCCTCGGATTGATTTAAATGCAATAAGTCTGTTTGATGATGATTATGGTGGAAGTTATTACTTGTGTTATAATTTTCGTCACGTCTCGGTTTTCTCTTGTTGAAAAGAATGCAAACAAAACAGGGCAGTATAATGATTAATGCACAACAAATAATTGTATAAATGTTCACATATTCCATCCAGTCAATTTCATCGGATAATATCTTTGGGTCCACAAACTTGGCATCAATTTTTTCAACTTTCACCTTTTTACAATTAAATCTCTTGCCTTTGTTCGACTTGCTACACTTTTCCTCATAATAATGCTCGAATTTGATTGTCTCTCCATTTAGACATTTTAAAAGTTCATCATTGCTTCTTAATGTGCAAAAACTTTCTGACTCTAAATCCTTTAAGCTTACAAAAGACTCGTCAAATCGTCCTTGGAGCCATTGTGGGAATTTGCAACTACAATTATCATGAAAAATTAACTGCTTGTACGGACATTTACTACTAATTCTTTTAAAGCTATCTTCTTCCACTGTCGTAAACTTATTATGATAAAATAAACATGTCACATTTGAGCTACCGTCCAGAATCATACTATCAAACATTCCAAATGTATTGTTCATGACTGTAATATTATTTACATCGACTGCTCTCAGCCAATTTGATCCCATTTTATTGATCGTATTGTGTGCTATGTAAACAATTGCACCGATAAATTCTATTGAATCCTCCTCAATTGTGTCTTGAACTCTGTGGATTAGAATCGATGTTAAACTGATAATTTGTTAACAAAGTTTGTTACTTACAAGTTTTTCTCAAATATAAAGGAAGTTGTTCCTATGGTATGAATTGCTCTGGATTCAATTTTGCCTATTTTACAGTTTGTCACAGCCAAATTGCGAAGGATTGTCTGGAAAGTGCAAACATTGTGTTAAAAGATTTAAATAAAATCAAAGAACTGGATAATTAAGCATCTAAGTCAATTGATTGTTTGATAGGATACAACAGAAAATTAACAAGTGAATTTATTTGACTTACCCCTTCGCGAAATATATCTTTCTCGATTGATTGAATCTTGACATTATTCATCACAAGCGAATCAATTTCATTCATTGCAAATGCCTTTGATTTTATTGATTCAACATCGGAATTTTCAATTCTTAATTCTGTCAAATAAGCTCCATACATCGGTAGCAATTCAGATACATGACATCGATTGATGAAAAGATTAAATACTCTATTTTTGTTCTCGACTACATTTGTTCTAAGAAAACCTTCTTTCAGGTTCAAGTCGGCGATGTCATTGAACGTGGCATTGTATGACGTCGAGCCGAATACTTCCTTTTCAACTGTCACCTTCCAAATATTTTCCACAAATAAAACTATCTCAGACACATCATCTAATGACTTTTCAAGCAGCGTAACACGCTTAATATTTTTAAAGCTAATTTCTGGAAGAGTTCCTCTGATTCCAACTAGTGATTGTCTCGCAAGCACCACTTGATTATTGCTGTTTTTAAAATCACTCTTAATGCCCTGAATTGATAAGGAATTGACATTGTTTCTGCTTCCGAAAAAACCTTCACGAAGTTCAAGCTTTGAATTATCACCAAGCGATATGTTGATACCATTGGCTCTTAATGGAAGTATCAGTCTATCATCAAGTTTATATTCCTAGAAAGAATTGTATGGCAATTATTTAACAACAGAACTAGACGATCTTTCAATTTATTTAAAGCAATTTGGTGCCGCTTTAAAAAGTATAGCTCTTCAAAATATGAGCAATGCATTTATTAAAGTAAAATGATTTAATTGAATTTAATATTCAATTAGAAATAAATAAAAATAGTTATACTGTTGTCTCAATTGCACTTTATTGTACGTAATGGAGAATCTAGATGATACAGTAAATAGCCAAAAGGGCATTTAATTTTAATTTTCAATTGAGCATGAAAAATCTTCTCGCTGGATGTTAATAAATAATTTTTAAGAGGATTTTAATGCAGTTCTGAATATATATATATATTTCATTTGGATGTATTTCATAATTTTTTGTAGTTCAGATTTTAATGAATCTTTTTCATATTCGATTGCTGTATGGATGAATATTTAAATAAGGAGATTGAGTGGGAATTCGAGTTTATTGTCTGAATTCAGTGGTTGTTATACTTTTTGCAACGGTTCTTTGAAGTATTCTGAGTTAAGTTAGAGCTTAATCATGTAAAACTTGAGAGTTTACTTCTGGTCTTAGGCTGTCTTAAGATAAATTAACAAATGAAATTTAAGCTAAACTCAGGAATAAAAATAGGTTTGTTCCTCGACAATCAAAAAAACATAGAACATTTAGATCAACTGTTGATTAAATTTAGGAATCCTAAAATTAAGATACAATACAACATTGTTTGAATGTCTAAGAATCTTTCGAGATTCTCTAAATAAGGTGTCTACATGACAAACCCCTACTATCATATCAGAATTCTGGTAATTGAATCAAATTAAACAATTACTCATTTTTGAAAATCAAACATCAATCAAATTATTATAATTTATAACATTCAGCACAGCTGAATCATATAATACAACTGCAAAAATTGTCGTACATGAACAATTCTTGTTATACAAATATCATAATCTCCTGATATACATTTCAAGTTTATGTTATCATTTCATTGAATCACTTTACTAAGAACTTCAAACTTAAATTGGTGAAAATTAAATTTGGCGATGCGATGACAACATCCAAATTTAGAAACCACCGTGAATTGAAGACGATACTTTATAAAATGAAATATACAGCCCGATAAGTGACTATCACAAAAAGCAATTAGTTGCGAATATGGATAAATAAATTAATAAAATTCTACACAAGATAAAATTGTTTCTAAGCTTTGCAGACCCCTGCATTCATTTCATTGGCACATGTTCGTTCGGCAAAGTGTACTCTAATATTAATTTTTTTTTCGTTCATGTGGGAAGTAAAAAATGCGAACAAAATTTTTGCGATAAAAAAAATATAATAAATATAAATAAAAGGCAATAAATGTATTCGCTCAAATGTTGACTTTAAAATAAGCAGCACGCAAAAATAAAATAAATGCTCAGTGATAAGAGCTAGCTGGATGACTCACCTTATCTTCATTAAAATCACAGTGAATTTTCTCGATGCCAGTTTCATTTCCACACCGACATAATGATGTGCAAATATCGACTTTTGGATCTGCTGCCGCTGCCTTAGATGCATTTAACAGCAACGTTATTTGTATAAAGACGAGCAAACAGAATGAGATTTTTCTCGTTATGCACATTATTATGGAATTTCATTTGTTTCTCATTTCTTTTGTTCTTTGATGCCACTTATTTTATTTATATTTTCTTTTTTTACTACAGAAGGAAAAACTCTTTCTGACTGCACTTCTTCTTCTTCTCCAAAATTGTTTATTTTAGATGCCGAAATAGTAACACATTTCACATTTTTATTTAAAGACGTCTATATCGTTTTAAATTTCTTATTTCTTTCACTCAAAATATAATTCTCGTCTTTCAATCCCTTGCTTCTTAATGTTTGTACATAGACGTATCACATCGATACACACAGTTCTGCTGCTCTCATATAAATTAATTTATATCTCCAATTTCCACCGTCTAATTGTGTCTTGTTATTTCAACTCTGTAAAATTTATTGGATATTTTAATTCCTCTTGTGTGTTATTACTACCCATTTAATTCTTCTTTCATTTCTTGCTTCCTTTTATAAATTTCTTTTCACTTCAATTTTTATAAATCGAAGAGTCGTTCATTAATGACGTCTGCTGTCCTTTCAAATGGATGAGTTTTTTGTTAATGTTCTGTTGTGATGTCAATTATTTGGAATTTCATGACAAGGAGTGAAAAGAGTTCATTGACAATTAATTCCCTCCCCCCCACCCTTCCCCACCATATCAACTCATTTAAAAGTATTCTGCAAAATTTATAACAATCTATACTTGAGTTGTATGAGAACCCCCCAATAATAGTTTGTAGACATCATTAATGAACACCTTATAAGCTATGCTATGCACTCTTCTCACAAACAAAAAAAAAATTTTTTATTATTGTCAAGTCGCGCGAGTTCACTTTATATGTTGTTAATTTCTACCGAAAAAAAAAACGAAGCATTATGTGTGATAGCAATGAAATAAAAATTTATATGGGTAGAAATATTCTAATGAAGGAACAATTGTAGATTGAGCAATGTCGAATGGGAATTGAATGAGGAATGGAATTTTGATAGAGGATTTTTGTGTGGTTGACCTGAGATTAAGTGAGACTATTTTTGTAGCATACTAATTGATTTTCGATAATCTTTGCTTCCGTTTGAGCTGTTGTCAGTTTGAGTTTGAGATTTATTAATATTTGAAGTATTTTGACATTTTTTTGAAATTTGTTAAACAGATTAAAAGGAAAATATTTTTTGATTTTAAGTTGACGTGACTTATACTTAGATTTTTAAACGGAATAGCTTTAATACATCTTCATACACTTTATTCTGTCAATTCTGATCTAAGTCAATTTAATTTTTAATTATTTTTTTGCCCCTACTTTTCAATATTTGGGAAATGAATTAGAGTTTTAGGTTGTAAATGCATTTAAAAGTCAAATTCAATTTTAGAGCAAAACTTACACCCCTACTCAAATTTTGCAACAAAAAAAAAGCCGAAAAATTATCACAAAACCCAACAAAAGATCTTTTTGTCTTCTGACAGTCCCTCTCCAGGGGTCTACTAGCCTCAATATGCTTCTCGGAAGAATACTTTCGTTCTGATAATAGCATTTCTCGTCAATAAGGTCATCAAATGAAATGCTTATGCCTTAAAGTATTTAAACTATAAACATATGCTATGATTTGCTTACATTGCATTATCGCTTACTGTGTAGACTGCATAGCGTCATGAATAAATGAATGCTCTACTATTTCAAGTTTTCTTGTCTTTGCCAATGCATTTTAATTAATATGACTTGTTCTCAAGGGTGAGAATGGCGTTTAAACAATAGATCTATTGGATCGTAGCTAACGTGCTCAATTTTGAGATCGTTTTGTAATTCAAACTTGATCCTTTTAAATTCAATTGTTTTTTTTAGAAAGTTTCGAAATATTTGATTATTATCATGTTGATTTTATTGATACCCTTATAAATCCTCTTTAACTGTCAATGCGTGACCATACTTTTGATATTTTTAGTCACTTAAAAACAGTTTTTCAGCATTGATGTTTAAAATCAAATAAATTTTTTATGGTCACATGTTGTGAAAATATTTTTTTAAGAGTTTTTAATCACTTATGCACAACGAATGAGCTTATTACTCAACACTTAATCAGTCACGTAATTCGTAAAAAATTAAATTAATGCATAACAATGAACTTTTCACATTTTTCTTGAGTCATTTCACATCAACACAATTCCCATACGACGATTATCGTATGCGCTTTTTTAAAAACGTTTATTTCCTGTAGCTGCTTGATACTTTTGTTTTATTATTCTTCCCATATATTAGTACGAATCCCAAACTAAATTCTTATGTGTCTCACATCAAAAAAAACCATATTTAAAGGAAGAGCACTTATACAATTCTTTGCAACTTACTGGACTGTATTGATTAACAAAAAGAAAGAGATCTGAATGAAATTGGAAGCAAGAATACACACAAAAAAGTATATGAAGATAACCGATCGACCACATATAACAATTAATGGGGCATTCTTTTTTTTTGTTTTGAAGATTGATTGTATTGGTTTCACACAAATATCTCTAACGTGCATTTTCTTTCTCACTTAAGCAGTATTGAGAACTGGTTTTCATTATTATTGTTATGAAATACTTATTCCTGTGTGTATACTTCCAGCTGATGTTTAATTAATTGCGCAATTAAGCGCAAAACGAAACATGTCATTGCAAGAAATTTTTCTTTTCTCATCGCTGAATTTATTGAGGGTTGGGTGTTCTAATGGAATTCCGATTTTTGCGAGTGACTTACATGGAATTTGAGTTTGAAGAGATTAATAGATTGAGATATTTTAATGATTTAGGTTTTGTTGATGCAAGAATTTAATAAGATTCAAGTATCAATAACAATTAAGATCCAGACAATTTTGTTTTGATCTTAGATTCGAATTATTGATCAAAATTAATAAATCTTATCACAATCATAACTGAATTGACAGAAGAACTGCCATAGATTAAGAACAGAATGATAAAATCTCAAAATATTGCGATTTCAGAAGATTTGTACAACATTTATTCAAAAATTTGCAATATTTCAAAATAAAAAGACGGGAAGTTAAAGAATCATGAGAATAGGGTGTTGATTTTGACTTTAAAAAGAATCACAGAGAGTTTTTCAGCTTATCATTCAGAATTAGACACATTTCGACTCAGATGCAATTGATTATTAGAATTTATAGCACAAAATAATTGAATCTTACTTTTCAGATTCAAAGCGTCAATAATACTTAAACATTTATAAATGCAATAGAAGCTATTTTTTAACTAGCTAGAGATTTAAATTACTAAATTTAACCAAAAAGATCCAGAGAATAATGATTTTAAGAAACCAAAATAGTCTGTTGGCAAACCAAACATCATTCAAATGATTCTCATTTTTTTTCGAAGATCAGAATTGATTGAAGTAATTAGTGATGTTCGTCATTGCATATTAAAAACAGCACATACACTCACGGTATATGACTTTGAAACGCCCAAGTCATTTCAATATACGAACTTTTCCTCATCTGCTTAACATAATAATGAGAAACACGACACAGTAGTACAACTTAAAATCGAGTTATGCAAATATAAAGCTAGTGTAATGTATCCATTATAATACGCAGTTGAAAAAAGAGTTTGATATGGAAAAGAAATATTATTTAATTACAACAACAATGAATCTACAGACATTTCTACACTTGTCCATCGGTTTCAACTTGTCGCTTCACTCTTCTTCATCATTTCTCTTTTCGTCGTGTCTTTATAATGCTTCTTTCTTTTCAATTTTTTGTTTATGTTATTTTATGCCCTCACTGTATATATATCCATCTCTCTGTCAGCCACTCCATCCGTTCTTTTGTACTTTCTCGATTTTAATTTGAATGAAAATATAAAAAAAAAATAAAATAAAAATATAAAAAGAACTCCTCATCCATAAAAGAGGTGTGGAAATGAGATGGAGAATAAATATGCATTAAATTGCAATGCAATGCACTTGAAACTTTTTTTTAAAAATATTATAATTTCTGTTATTTCATTCCGATTGCTCATACGATACGTGCATGTATAAAGATACTGTGTGTCGATTTATTGCTTTTATCACTTACTATGACTAATTTTTCTTTTCCTTGTATTTTATTTCTTTTTATCACACATCAATTAAGACACTCACAAAAAATTAATTTTTTTTTCACTCTTTGCTGATAATCTACTGACTCATATGGCTAGATCATCATAGACATATGTGAAGAAGAAATTGCATGAGAATTATTTATAAAGAAATATAACTCGACGCGTCTCCGGTCTCGAATACGTATTTATAATTTATTTAGATTTTTTTTGCGGCTCTTTGTGAACAGCAGCTAAGAATGTCTCTATTTTAATATTAAAAGTAAAAAATTTCGTCTCTTTCTGCTTTCACACTTAACGTAACGAAAAATAAGAAAAATTTATAAGAAAAAAAAATAAGTAAAAATTACGATCGTTATTTTCTCGTAACTGTTGATCGTTGACAAGTTGAATCACTACTGAAAGCTGAATTTCTCTCTCACAATTTCATGCTGCTGGTTCTTTTGTGTACACTCGACTGTTTAATGGTATAGAAAAAAAATCTGTACATGTATATATATCTACATGCTTAAACATGTACAAATTTATCGTGTATTGCTTATGGTTATTGTAGTTGTAATGCGATGCGGCTATGAGCCTTTTCACCAAACTATTCAGTTTTATTTATGTGTATGCACACTTATCGTTCATAAAAATAACATGATTTTTGTGTATACTGGCATTGAAAATGATCTTTTATGAATGTAATCGTGGTGTTGTTGTATGGTCTGTAACAAAGTGTAATTTTTTGTTGTTTTTTGAGAAACCAGAATCATCTGAGAAAGACTTTTTTTGTTTTTGTGAGAGAACCGACTCTGAATAAATATTAAAAAGGAAGAAATAAACATAAAGAATTTAACTTGTTTGAGCTTAAAAGAATAGTTAAGATAAGGATAATTTAATTTATTGATTTAAATGCTCAAAGGGACGGAAATTCATTTTGTTTATGTGATACTTTGGAGTTTGGCATTCACAGATGAAGGGAATTATTGGTTGTGAGATTTTAAATTTCAATATTATTCGACTTTGGTGATGTAATGACTGTCAAATGGATTGAACAATTTATTTTACAAAGATTAAAGCTTTATCGAGGAACTGGTGAATTGTAATACATACTTAGCTTACACTAAAATAATCTTGTATTTATGAATCACTATCTCAAATTCTTTATCCTAACATCACGTAAGATATTCCGTTCATGGTGGGATCTTTAACCTAAATTACTACCTGTTGCTTCAAAAAGGAATACTTAAAACTTATCTTGTATCAATAATGATTCTTAAACCAGCTACAAACTATAAGTTACCTTGGATAGTCTTGAACTCTGAGCTGGAATCTGTTCGAATTTCTATATAGAATTAAATCAACTCAACTTACTCACTTTTTCCATACAAAATTTTAAAACTGAACTTAAGCTCAAGACCTAAATCTATCAATAATAGCTTGTTTGCTGTCAGTGATCTCAGTCCACAGCATAGAACAGCTCAATCAATTCCAAGAACTCACAAAAAAATCAGCAAAAAACAATTTTTACAAAATAAACAATTCCAAATTCTAGCTAAAATACTTAATTTAAACAAAAGTCCCTTCCTCATCCAAGGTTCTATAGTTCACACATTCATCTGTGTATATTGCAGATCAAATATTACAAAAACAATCAATGAAATTGAGAGATTTATTTAGTCATCCCTAAATATTTTATTATGTTTGTTTAACACAATTTTCGGTCTCTATGCATTAATAATCTCACGCTGCATATACGATCGTTTATTCTCATTCATCAGTGTTAATTTGTGCTCTTTCCTTCATTGCCAAACGAGAACGTTGACGATGTTCAAACTTATAAAAATCATGTCAAAATATAGAGAAGGGAAGAGGAGAAATTCTCGAGATTGAATACAGCTAAGAATGCACATATTTTCTGTTTTTTGAAGCTTAGAAACATGACTTTATTGTGTCTCATTTCATTCATGCACTCAATGTAGTAGAGATAATGGCTTTTCATGTAAAAATAGTAAATATTTGAATGGAATATCATTCAGTAATGAAATTATTTTCAAGAGGGTACCAAAACATCTCTTTTCTTTAAAAAGTCATGCACGGCTTAGTCGAAATATTAATTTTTGGATAGTTTAGGGTCGTTCAGATATTATGTAGCCAACAAAATTCGCATTTTTGAGGTTAATTCTTAAATTCAGTGCTTTATTTTTAATTGCATTTTATTGCATTTTTTGACGACATAATGTCCGGTAATAATTCACATTTTACACTTTTGTATTTGTATACATATGAACTAGTATTATGTAGGATCAAACTTCTAATCTTCATATCTAGGTTTCAAATAAACTAAGGCTCTCATTTCGATCTTCTGTAGGCGTGACGTGATACTTTTCAGGTCCGTTCTAACAATATTCCATTCGTGGGTAATTTTGTAGCTCTCGTTCCTATTTGTCAAGCTGCATTTCAAGTTCCTGACCCGTTCCTTAATCCAACGATGCCCAAATGCCCAATTATGGCTTGATCTCGTACATTAAGCAGTCGAAGTATCTAAACTTCCGAAAAAGAACAAATTTGGAAATGGCTGGATTCAAGGCACTTAACTGCTTTACATCTTGAACAGTTAAACAATTTCGTGAATCCATCTAGAAATGCACTTAAATTAAACTAGGATCTTAAAAATATGGTTTCTCAAGTGATGCTACATGACAAACTGGTTTTGTTGCCGCATTTGATTGTAGGGCCTATAAACAGCTTTCTTTATCGTCACTCAATATTTAAATGACTCCCTTCTCGAGTGAGAAGAAAGAAACGAAGACAGAAGAGAGAAAAAAAAATTTCATTGATTAATGAATAGCACAAAGAAAGATACACACTTTTGAGCATTGTTGATTTATGATAATGTTCATAAATTAATAAACATCTAATTTTCTCTTCTTATTTAAATATCTCTTTACAGTAGCGAGCAATCACATGAGAAGCAGTTTTTGAAAGATTTTGTTTTTGTGGCGCCAGATTCAGCGGGTGGAAGACTCGCATCATGGATACAGCCTGAATCACGTCTCGATCCGAACCGTTGTGAATTGAAATTATTTCAAGATCCAATACAGAGCGGGTGGCCAACAAAGTTTCAAATTGAGACCCGTGATCAATATGGAGAAATTGTTTATGTTCCGAACATTAAAATTCAATTGAAAGTCGCATTAAGTTCAAATTTCTCGAACGAGAAGCGATACAGTAAGATGTGTAAGGAACAAAATATTCATATGCCTTTGGGAAAGGTTAGTTATGAGCCCGTGATTAAAGAGAAGGAAAAGATATGCTTAAAATCAATAACAGCAATGAAAGCATATGCACAGTATTCATTTGAGGAACTGAGAATGTATACGCCGGTTCAGAATAAGACATCAGATTTAATGACAGCAAAAGACTCGGGTGATCAAACGTATACAGTAATGTGGACACCAGAAACAGCTGGGAATTATGTCATTAATATCATAATTGACGGCGTTCATGTTAATGAAAATTACAACGTGACAGTTGTTAATGCGAATGTTCCTCCGCCTGTGAAAGAGCATGCATTAAAGAAAATTCAACCGCAATATAAATATCGTAAATATTATGCAGAATATACATCTGGCCTGCGAATCCGTTTACATCCGACACTCCAAGCTGATGTTATCGGTGTCATAAAGGTTAATGATGTCATTTCGTTTATTGATGAGGTTGAAAACGGAGACGGAATTTGGGTGAAGTTATCGACAGATTCAATAAGAAAGTATTGTTCATCGACATGGTATCCGTCTGAAGCATGGTGTTTATCTTACAATAAACATTTCGATAAACGACTTTTGTTTTCACTTATTGAATCCAACAGCGAATCAACAAATCCAACGGATGACATGAATAATGTAAAATTCTTTGATGACAGTGAATACTATAGCTTAGAAGAATCAAGTGACTTACAAGTCACAAGCAGTAATTTTGAGGATGCAAAACTTGATGATGAAGATGAAAAGCCGCCAACATTCGAAGATGCTATTGTTGAGGCTAACGTAGAAAAGACTAATCAATCAAATTTGACAGACGTGATTGCTGGTGTTGTGGAAGGAGGCGCTAACAAATTGCAAGCTTTTCAGAAATGGTTTAAACGTGATTCCATTAGTGACACGACGGCTACTATAAGGAAGAGAATTGGATCAATACCAGAAGTTTATAACAATAATACGCTGGATTTAAAGAACCTTAATACGAACAATGTTGCTGATAAATTGTCAAATGACATAAATATCTTGTCTCCAGTTCAAGACAATTTCATTCCAACAAATAAAATAACGAAAATGACAGAGAGTCAGACATTAGCATTCAAAAACACCAATCCATTCCATTGTGATCAGAATGTTAATAAGAATATCAAGAATTTAGAGTACGAGGAAATTAATACACCAAAACAGGCATTATCACCATCTGTTGCGGAAACAATTCGTGCAATTTTCGCTGCATTCTTATGGCATGAAGGCTTAGTTCATGATGCAATTGCATGTGCATCGTTCCTCAAATTTCATCCATCAATACCAAAGAATAACATTCATGCTATGGATCAAACATTCTACGAACAAAAGCATCACGAAAGACTCACGAAGGAGGAAAAAATTCAGCAACGACATTCCGTTGAAATAACCAATACAAGTAATTATTTGAATGCGCGACCTTCAACTTTAGAGGCATTGACGAAAAGTGGCTACTGTTGTGTACATTATCGTAAGCAACGTGGGAAACATAGTGACATGAATGCGAGTGATGAATTTGGATTGCATGGATGTCCGCCTGCATTAAAATGTTTGGTATTCGTATGGGATGAATTGAATAAAGATTTTCAAGGTTTTGTCAGCAAGTTGACGAGCGAGAAAGAAAGCAAAGAAGTGACAAATACAATGCCAAAGATGACAACAGCAAGTGCAGCAGCAATTGTGAATCCGAATGATGTCAATGAAATCGAGTTCCAAAAGAATAAGTTGAAAACGAAAAAGTTTGCAGAAGAAGGAAATACAGCTATCGGTGCAGCTAGTGGCGGTGCTGATAATACAGTCTGGTGTGAATTATGTGATGCTGACATTAATCCAGGAAATCAACAAAATCCATATCAACAGAATGCTTTTACACAACACTTGAAAGCAAATCATCCAGGATGCGGTGAATCAGCACGTGGTAGAGGCTATAATTCTAACGGTGTATATTGCGAAGGTTGGGCTGGTCAGTGTGGTGAAGAAGGTGTCGGTGCTACTAGCTGGTATCTAATGTGTGAAGCATGTCATGATAAATATTTGATCCCGAATAAAAAGAGTCTCAATGTCAATGAAGCATTACTTGCTCGGGCTAACGAACCGAAATTCATTCAGCCCCCGACAGTCGTAACAGCTGTAGCAACAAACATTAATCCGTCATTAACGACTACAACATTTGGCACGAAAAAGTCTAAAATGAATTCAAACATGAGCATGGAGTTCTTTGATACAATGAAAGACAACGCATTGTTTTTGTTGGACCTGAATTCTCACAACGGTGGTCTGCTGAATAAATCAGCTGGAAATAATTTGATGCCATTGAAAAACAAGACGAATGTAAGGCACAGCAGTGCAGATTTTGTTATTCAGCCTAATACAAGCAACTTTAGTCATCGTCTATCATCAAATGTTGGAGCTGATGAGAATTTAAGAAGAGCATCTCTACAGAAACAAGGCTCCATTACAAATTATTTTACCAAGAAATTTCCAAACAATGGCGTTAATGGAACAAATGAAACTGTTCCGGATCTTTTATGGACACCCCCAGAAAGTATCACATGCCTTGAAATGCTTAATGCAAAACTTAGCGAATCCGAGTCTTATAATGTATTCAGTTTAGATAATGAAAAGAACTTTTATGATCCAAATATGATGGCTGGTCATCATCAGCAAAATAATTCACAAGAAAATAATGTCAGGCATCATGAGAATAAATTTCATCGAAGCTTCTCAATGGTCCAAGGCTGGGGAATCTATTCAATGAATCCAATTGAGAAAGATACGTCAAATCATGAGTGCATTGCCGGTGGAAATCAAGTTCATCAAAATAATGAGAATCGTGTAATCATGAGAAGGAAGAAGGCTTGTTTATGTGATTCAGGTGAGTTTAAGATTTAATTTTTTTGTTCGATTTTTTAATGAGTAATTAATTTAACAGCAAATGAAGCAAGTCTATTGAACTTTCCATCTAAGAATCTGAAGAAATTAGTTCCTGACCATATTCTTAATCCAACACTTAAGGGATTCAGTGAAGTGTCATCATCTCATGATATAGAAAGTGAGTCTTTTTTTCACTCCCATAAAATAAAACATTGTGTCCAATACAATTTTCTCTTTTAATCCACAGAAATGGAAAGTGCATTGGAACTGAAAAAATTCACCGATAATGCATTTTATGACATCGTTCAACACCAAAATACGGAAGAGCCAACAAAGGAATTTTCATTTTTAAGTCGACCGACAATCAGCTTTATTTTCGAGAAGCATGATCTCGATAAGCTTCGTTATTTGCTGAGAAAGAATCTGCGAAAAGCCATATGTAGTGTTTACGGACTTCAAGCATTAAACTGGCTTCTGAGAACTGTCACACAAACAATGTGTGTTCATGACATTATGTGGTGGTTTATCTCATCATTAGTTCAGACGAAAAATGATAATGAGAATGTGCTAAAGTTGGAAGACTCTGATGTTAGTTACGATCATCCCGTTGCCATTTCGAATGTTGACGATCGGATACAAAATATGTTATCGCAAAATCTTCATATGCTATTACAAAGCATCGCCGACATTACTCTTGCATTACCATCGGGCTCTGCTTTACAACGATTGGCAATTCAATGCTTTGGCATTAAATTTCGTCCGACTGATCATCAATTTCTACATAACTCGCATGTCTTTGGAAATATCTCCAAGATTTTATCAAAGAGTGAAGAATTTAATGAAGAGAATCTGCTCTTTTCAACGGCAATAGCCGAGACTAATGAGAATCAATTGAATGAGAGTCATGTAAGAGCGTCCAAAGATAAAGTCATTGTCTATAATAATGTCGACATAACCGATGTATTTGAGTTTATAATTTCATCACGACAAGCAATGGTGGGAGCTTTAACTGACAATTCCACCGAGACATTCTGGGAGAGTGATGATGAAGATCGAAATAAGCCAAAAATAATTGAGATATCAATGATAAAACCTCACTATGTTTGTAAATCAATCAACATTCATATAGATAATTGCAGGGATTTAGCAGTAAGTCATTATTCACTTGATTGTTATTTATAGCCATACATACTCATTTTCTTAATTCACAGCATAAAATAACAAGCTTCACTGTCTACAGTGGTGCATCACTTGGCGAGCTTAATTTATTAGAGACGATAGAAACAGAATCAAATATTGGCACTTGGTATTCAGTTCTTATTAAAGATGAATCAAATACACACTTTCGTATTGAGCTGCGCGGCGTAGAAAACAATATTCGAATACGTCAAATCAAGCTGCTTGGTTATTCAAACGATGCTAAGGTCAATCAAGATGCTATATCCATGATGAAAAAACAAACGAATGCTCATCACATCCAACAGAAATATTGTGAGCTTGAGACACTCAGAGTCTTTCGTGTTTTAACGAATCAAGTTTTTGGTAAGTTGATTATTAATCCAGAGAGGCCGTCGAGCAACCAAAACTTTGCAGCATCGATGGTTGAATCTCATATTGATTCACCCGGTGACTCACTTGATTTGAGAGAGCATATGGTTGGCATTTTGTTCAGTCGGAGTAAACTAACACATTTGCAGAAGCAGGTGAGTGCTTTGACTCTTTTAATAATTATGGGGTTTATTCGTAAATTACGTTCGTCGCAACATTTGATTTTTTAAGCTTTAGATATGGCTTAGAAGATCCTCAGGCTGCTCTGAAGTATATAAGCAGTCAGTAATTGTTGGACAAAATATACGAACAACCCCCCAAAATGAAGAAAAATGTGAAAATTTCTTACAACTTAATAATTTCCATAATTATTCATTTTCACACACAGATTATCGTTCACATTGTGCATTCAATTCAGAAAGAGACACAGAAATCGCGTGAGGAATGGGAATATCACGTCAATACAATCAGTTCAAGTATGACATTTAAAAGTACAATGAGTACGAGTGAGGCAATTATGCCTAAATCAAATGACGTTTATTGTTTCGAAATGTTGAGTATGGTGTCTGCACTATCAGGCAGTTCCGTCGGTCGAGCATATCTGTCACATCAAATTGATTTAATTAAAGATTTATTAATTTTATTACACACCGGAAGTGAAAGAGTTCAGCGGCAAGTTACTTTACTTTTAAGAAGAATTTTACCCGAAATATCACCAGAAACCTTATGTAGCATCTTAGAAATACAGTTTAATCCACACAAAGATATCAATGGCCTTTTACAGAATCCTAAACAATTAAATCCACCATTTAATATGGGAATCATTGACATCCTTCTTGCCATTATTGCAAAATCCTTGCAGATTCAAGTAAAATTTAAGAATGGCTCAAATCCGTTGAGTAATAAAAATCTTACAGTAAAGTTATGCGATTATATTGTGCCTGCATCTTCACAATCGGTTGTAACACAAAGACTCATTCCACCGTATCAACATCAAATTAGTGGTGGAACTGACATTGCCTCAAATATGTCAAATTCTTCGCGTGATTGCGACTCAGTCGATAAGAGTGCAATGAGCTACAGAGAAGATCCGAGGAAGCGATGGTTCTTGTGTGGAACTGCATCAACAAAATTAGCTGAAAATATTATTTGTCTCATTAAGGATATGATTAGTGGAAAATTATCAGAGAAATGGTCGAACGTCACGAAGACAGCAGTTGCTGAGTGCATTATTAATCTTGCACACTTGGATGAGTTTCATCGACAACCAGAAACTTGTTTAAAAACACCAACAATATGGTTGGCACTAGCAAGCTTGTGTGTCCTCAATGAAGATCATGTCTTGAAGTTATCATCAGGACAATGGAGTAAGACAGGCGATAAAAGACCATTGTGCATTAACCATGACGATAGTGTAACAAATGCAGTGATTGAGTGTATGGAATGTGGAACTTTGTGCTGTGATTGTGATCGTTTCCTTCATTTGAATCGAAAGACATGGTCACATCACAGAACAGTTTGTAAGGAAGAAGAGGAATCAATCAAAGTTGAACTGCATGAAAGTTGTGGACGAATTAAACTCTTTTGGCTTCTGGGACTTGCTGATAGTAAAACATTAAAAGGAATAATTGAGTTTAGAGATGGTCACAACATCATCATTTGTGATACACAAAATGCAATCGGTCGATGTCGTTTTTGTGGCGTTTATGGCAATTCAGGTTTATTGGCGGTTGGTAATGTCTGCGTTGAGCAGCAATGTCAAGAATATTCCGCAAATGCATGCTCGAAAATTCATGCTTGTGGTCACTTTTGTGGTGGCATTATAAATGAAAACAATTGTCTGCCATGCCTACACCAAAAATGTCAATCGGCATCAAGCTATGATCCAAAGAAACCAAAGTTAACACAAGACGGTGATGATATGTGTATGATTTGTTTCACTGAAGCTTTATCTTGCGCACCTTCAATCCAAATGTTATGTGGTCATGTGTTCCATTATCATTGTTCTCGTACAATCCTCCAAAAGCGTTGGCACGGAGCACGAATCAGTTTCGCCTTTTCACAATGTCCAATCTGTAAAAATGACATCTATCATGAGTCATTGAAAGACTTATTGGAACCAATAAATGCATTGAAAGAAGATGTAAAAAGGAAGGCTATTATGAGATTGAAATATGAGGGAATCGATAAAGAAATGATTGACGATCAGAAAAACCTCGCAACATATGCCATGGAACGATATGCTTATTATGTATGCTGTAAATGTCAAAAGGTAACGAGTAATTGAATCAGATTAAATAACCTTTTATATTATAACAATACATTACTATTTTAAAATAGGCATATTATGGAGGTGAAGCACGTTGTGACGTTGAATTGGGTGAAAATTTCAATCCAGAAGAGCTTGTGTGTGGCGGTTGCTCTGACATTGCGAAAGCACAGGTAAGATAAAATTCAATTTTTCATCATTTTAACCTTTAACCTCTTTTCTATTCCAAATAGATGTGTCCAAAACATGGTATGGATTTTTTGGAATATAAGTGCCGATATTGCTGTTCAGTTGCTGTATTCTTTTGCTTTGGTACTACGCACTTTTGTGATACCTGCCACGATGATTTCCAGCGACTTACAAACATTCCCAAAATGAAACTTCCAAAATGTCCGGCTGGTCCGAAAGCAACTCAACTGATGGGTGAGGAATGTCCTCTTCATATTGTACATCCACCAACTGGTGAGGAGTTTGCATTAGGTTGTGGCATTTGTCGAAATTTTCACACTTTCTGAGCGGAAGAGTTTTCTTTGAATTAATTTTTGTTTTGTGCATGTTGTGTAGGTGATGAGAGAAAAATGTGTTTCCTTTAAGTTTATTTATTTGTCTAGTCAATGATGATCTCCAAAGATGAAGTATAATTTCAATGCAATTATTATTTTAAATTAGATGAAATAATTATTTTTTTGAGCAACCGTTATATAAATATTTGAATTTTTGAAAACCTTACAATTTCTTTTCAATTGAAATTGTATGGTTTTGAGATAATTGAATTCTTTCAACGTTTTTTTTTGGAAATCAGAAAATCCGTTTAAATAAAATTCAAATTTTGTGTTTCAAAAACCTTACAATTGTTTTGTAAATTTGTATGGTTTTGATAATTTCAAATTTTTTCTTAACGGTTTTTGTGGCAATTTTAATTCTAGTCGTTTATTTTTTGTGATGTTCCAAACACTTAAGTTGTTATTTATTACTATAATTTATTTATTAAAAAATTTAATTGAATGTATTTTATTATATTAATTAGATAAGAATTGATAATTTAAATTAAAATAATTCTCTCTTTGCTGTTATAAGACTCAATTTGATATTCTGAAAATGAAATTGATAGCAAAAGGACTTTAACTATTCAGACTTTATTTGTTAAAAAACTGTTTTCCAATAAAAGAAAATGATCAATAAACATGAAAAAGAAAAAAAAAAACTATCGAAAAAGTAAGCAAATGCTTTGAGAACTTCCTTCCTGTAATTTATTTTTCAGCATTATTGGCAATGTCATGAAATATGACAGCAGCGGAACTAGAAGGTCGTCGATTTTAATATATTAGACATGCGAAATTTTTGTTGGATATATTTTCTTTATTTTCGTTCATTAATTTGCAAAGTTATGTTATTATAACATCGTTATTTACATCGTCTAAGCAAAAAGGCACTAAGTCTTAATTAGTCAAAAATATATTATTATAATGCATAGTTAATAAATATTTTATTATTAATAATTATGTGACAATTTCAAAAATGTTATAATTTCTTTGGAATGAGAAACTTGAAATGTAAAAAAAAAGTATTATTTCACTTCTATCGACTTCTTATGGTATGAATTATGTTGCTCACAATATAATATATTTAAAAATGTCTTCAATAAGCTGATTCCATTTTTGGATCACTCAATGACAGCATAGATAGGTCATGATAACTATTCAATACGAGAAGATATCATCACATTGAGAAAAACTATAATTTATTCTGAATATAGTGTACAGCACATAATTTCTGTAGAAATCAATTTTTTGTCGAGATTTCGATTGAGTTTTCAACAAATATAAAATGCTTACTCACTCAATTTAGTCAAGTGATCAACGAAAACTTTAAGTATGGACAAAAAATACTTAATTTTGAGTATTAAAATTAGTGTTACGCCACCTTATTCTCGAAAAACTTCGAAATTGCTTCGAAACTAATGTCGAAAATTTCGAAATTTAACCCGAAAATTTGAAATCAAAATCAATGATTTTAGCTACTTTTAATCATGATTTGTCCTAATCAACATAATCTTTGTAATGTTTTATAACTTTTAAATAGTTTACACCACAACAATGAGCTCAAATAAGCAATTTATAAAGGAAATAATAATTTATGAATTCATTTACTAACACATTTACATGTTTTGTTTACTTTTGATATTTTTGTCGTGAAATTTTTTAAATTACAAATTTTTACTTTTATCCCCTTTTATCAAAACATTTTCAGCTCAAAAACATTTGAAAAATCTAAAAGATAATTTACTTCAATGAACATAATAGTTTAAAGCTTTGAAATAAGTAAAATTAAAGGTTTTTTTGTAACGGTTAAAATAAATTTAAAATTTTCAAAAAAATCGGTATAAACTCTGAAACTGCAATTTTTGAGGTATCGTAACACTGATTAAAATATAATTTCCAGACTACCGCCATTCCGAAAAAGACCGTTATTTTTTGAAAAATGGACAAAAAAAATTGGTATGATTCAAAAAAAAAATGACCGTTTGAATTCAAAAACAAAATTACAGTTAAAATCATGGAAAACCAAATTAGATTATTTATTTAAACTTTGATGCAAACAGCTCCTTTCGATTTAAAAAACGTTTCTGATGAGACAAATTCAATCTAAAATTTAAAAAATTCTTTAAAAAGTCTTCAAATATCAAAATGCAGTGATTAAAACTAGTTGAAATTTCTTTCACTGCTGCTTTAAAGGATGATTTAATTTGGGATGCGGAGTGGTTTCTATCAACTGAATCACATTATCTATAAATAAATTCAATTTTGTAGCAAAATGAAAGAAATATTGGAGAAGGTTTTAAAGGCATTCGAAATAATGCTTTTCCATCCTTTCGTTTGTTTTCACAATTAAAGACTGCGCACTTGCTCATTTTTGTATTTATTAAGTACTTTTTTAAGTGACTTTATTGTTTAATATGTCTCAAGGAATTTATTTGTTTAAATTATGCATAAAGGAAAAAAAATATATGAACTATTTCGAAAACTTCGAAATTAATTTCGAGGTTTTCGAAAATGGAATGGCGGTAGTCTGATAATTTCGATCTTAAAAGAGATTCGTTGGATTAAAATTTTAAAATTTCAGTTCTTGTTTAACAAAATTTGAAATTTTGAAAATCGTTAAATTTTGAATCTTTGATAACCGCTAATTTTCATGATCACGAATTTTTTGATTCAACAAAAAATTACATTTCATATCATGGAATGATCCAAAAATGCTGAAACAACATCATAAGACAATAATTTCACTAGTTTATATCAAAAATATCTCAACTTTCAAATTTCTCAATTCCACCAATCTATCATTATTATTGCTGAGTAAAGTAAGCTCGTCATCATTATGTCTATTATTATCTTCAGTATCTAGTATATAAATAAACTCTTTGCAGGTCCTAATAATGCGAGTTATATATAAAAAATAGTTGTTAATCTTTTTAGAAATAGTTTCTTTTCATCCACAAGAGTTATATGAAATGGCACTTGTATTAATAACATGAAATTTTCCGTGATTCTCAAAGATCTGTAATAGGCCCCGATGTCGATAATGTAACTTGCGTTGCTTTTACACTTTTTGGAGGTGACAATAATTTAGTAACCGTTTGCGTTGTCGTTACACTTCCATTTTTTGGCTGAGAATGCTCAATGGTGCTTATCTTTCGCTTGACATCACCACCATTTATTTGGATCTGAAGTTGGTGCTGTTGAGGCTGATGAAATTCTGATTGCAATGAATTTTTATTAGCGCTATTATTTGTATTATTTTTTGTTGTGGGATGATGATGTGTGTTAGTTTGCTGGGATGGAGATTTTAATGATGTTACCATATGTTCTAGACTACAATCAAAGGGTATTGAATCAGGGATGCAAGCCATGGGATATTAAAAGCATACATTAAGTTTTTTGTTTGTTTTTTTGTTAATCATTCCACCAATGTTTGTTAATTATTTTGAATGTGTGTGTGTTTGTATGACGAACAAAAAATGTAAATAATAATTTCAAGGAGGGTAACCCAATTAATCGTATGGGAGGATACGAAGTAGAATGAAAAAAAGAAGAGATAATGGTGATAAAGTTAGTATGACTACATTTATACCAAAAATAAATAATAGAATGATGATGAGAAACTATACATACGCTATAATTCTACTCTCTGCGTGCTTCTTGCTTGCAATAGCATCTTGCAAATCTCGTCTTAACTTAAGCGTGTCCTTTTCTAATTGAATTACGTGCGATTTATCAAAAGAATCTTCATCATTTTCATTCAACGATGTATCGTGTCGTTTTGGCGGTGATGGATGTCGATGTTGATGGAAATTTGATGGCTGATCATCAAATTGGAAATTATCACCTGTACTATTAATTACACCATAATTTAAGCTCAAATTACTATTTCGTTTAGTTTGATCATTAATGGCAAGATTGGAATTATTTGGCGGTGTTGTAAAATGTGAGTATTGTTGGAATGGATTATTGTTTACACCTAGGAATGCTTTCATCGTTCTCACTTCGTCCTCCAGCTTTAAAAGTCTTTCGTTCGTTGTTTGACGTTCCAATTTAACATTGTGCAAGTGAACCTTAAATGGGAGGAAAATTCGTGTCATTATTAACGGTACTTTAATATTTGAACTTTAGCGGTTATTTAACATTTGAACTTTAATTTCAAAATTAGAACTGACGTTTGCGTTAATTAGCAGGAGACGCAACAAAAAATTGTCATTTTAACAAACAGCATGTCATAAAGTAAACAAAACGGTTTGTTTAAGTGAAATTTTCGCATTATAGAAATGTCAAGAAAGAAATGATATTTTAGTCATCTTAATTTTCTTACTTTTACTTCTTCGAGCTCACGCAATACTCTCATGTTTGTCTCATTATGCGACCATGACTTTTCTTCAATTAAGGCTTTCACACGATTCATTAGCGACTCATCTCGAACTCTTCCCGCGTCTCGTACCTCTCGAATTAAGTCAGTGACGATACCAGGCGTGTAATTTCCACCTAAGAAACGAAGAAATGTAGGAGAAATGTCATAGAAGTAAAAAATAATTGTCTATATTCACTGCTGCATGTCACAATCTGTCTGTTATCCAAAAGATAGCAAAAAAAAAGCTATTAATAATTACCTTGCGAATGGTATGTGGGTGCTGGACTTGCGATTCCAGCAGCATAACCAAATGGTTGACTATGAACACTCAAGCCACTCACGCTATCTCTACGGTGTCTCAAATTCCAACTTGGTGAATATTTTAGTGCTTCCATTTCAACTAATATACAAATGGATTTCTTATATCATTTTAAGGCGAATTATTTTGATATTATATTATTATTGAGAAAAACAATCATAAAAAATGAATTTTAAATTAATTTTTGCGAAACTGCACACACAAAGAGAGAGACTGAAGGAAATAAACACACAACTAATTTGCCACTTTTCTACAAAGAAACTAATAGTATTCAGCAACGGTAACGCAAAAATCAGAGAATACTTCACAATCAAATACACAAGAATTGACCCGAGCGGCACAAGCAACTAATAGTATCCAACATTCAGCTTAAAACATGACTAAAAGAACTTTTAGTCAAAACTGCTGTTGGAAAATTTTTTGTTGGCCTATTAACGGCTAGTTTCAACAAGTGCAGCTCGGATCAAAGACTTTTGGATGTAAAACTAACACAAAAAAATTTGAATATTATGAAAAATCACCCACATACCTTTTGTCTCATGTAAACTTCGAAATAATTTGGAATTTGTTTCGTGTAAAAGGTGGATTTGCTTGAGTAACGTTCGGAAAATATTTCGATTGTTCAAGTCATTGCTACTTGCACCATTTTCTAATTTCTGTTGCTTGTCATTATCCTCATCCGTTTGTCCTTCCTCGTCTAAATCATCTTCCGCACTAGATTCATTTGGACGTGTGCTATTCATATTACTATGAGGTGTGTCGTCGATCAGTAAATCATTAAAACTGAAAGTTGAGGCAAAAAGGGAGAAGAAATAAAAATAAAATAAAATTATTTGATGAGCACGGGAATTGAGCAAAGAAGCAGCACATTCAGCAATGAAATGGCATTTTTCGTGAGCACATTGCGTGCAGAGATTCATTTTTCGATTACACATTATGGCAAATGGAAAAATATTGTAAGTAAATTGAGAGAAAGGAGAATAGCCGCTATAAACATTATGAGTCAATTTTCCAATCTGTTATTATGATTGATTTCAGACAAGCCATAAAGTTGAAACATAGGAAAGAAGTTGTGTATTGCACGATATCAATCGGCTATGTATGGATGCAAGATTTTTTCGACTTTTTGTTTTTTTTTTTGAAGGCACTGCATAGTCTCCGTAATTAAATTCTACATTTTTGGATGTCTTTGCCTTAAAATAAAATTATACACAGACACACAATTTCATTGCTTATTGTTTCTTGTCGTGTTATGCAAGCAAACAGCACTTTGCAACAGCCACAACAATAAATAGTTTCACTTTTTTAAAGGTAGAAACATTCTTCTTTACCGTTTTGATTGATTAATGACATCATTGAGCTTTTCTTGATCGGTGGACGGAATTTTGTCGATTTTTGTTGAGCCAAATGTTGGAAGACTATAGAAATCAGGTTGAGTACTGAGTGATGTGAGCGGATCATTGCTGATTGGCGAGGCAGACTGTTGACGTTGTATCAAATGTGGATATTGTTGTCGGAATTGTGTATTGAAATTCATAAAGGCTGATATGGATGGACTTGAATCTAAATTCTGTAATAAATATAAAACTTTATAGTTTACGCAGCTGTCCATTAAACAGAGAAATTAACAATTTAATTTCCCAACCAGTAAAAAAATGCCGAATTAAGTGAGATGCTATAAATTATTCATTAAAGTACAACAAAATACAAAACTTACAATGTGCTGTGGTAACGAAATGGGATCAGCCGAGCTATACTGTAGGTGGTTGCCTTTACGGTTCGTTGCACCACTACTAGAGTTCATTATCGGCCAGTTACCATCGAAATTATTATAGTCAAAATTCATTTTCGATGCGTTTTCAAGCCACTTTTCTAAATGATGCTCGTAACTTGAATTCAAATTTGGTTGTTGGCCATTTCTTGAAGGCTTTTTCGTGACTTTCTTGCGACTCGTTACATTTGTATTGGTTGTTTTGGGTACTGATGATGATAAGTTATCTAGTTTAGCGAGAGAAAATAGAAGAAAATAGTCACACATTAGATAAGAATGTATCTTATCTATTTTTATGCCTTTCCTGCGTCAATAAAAAAATATTTCCTCAGGTATTTCTTTTTGGACAGACACCAAAATATTTTGGTCTTTGCTTGGGGGAAATAATGTAATGTAACCATGACTCATTGATATTCCTCTATCTACGTGAATCGTCTCTCCTTTTTACACTCCTAACAAGACGTCTTTAATCGAATTAATTCGTAATTTACCGCTAATAGAGACATTGTTATGCAATAAAGACCTTGTTAAGGCCACTGTTTTCACTTCTTTTCGTTTTTGTTATTATTTCTGTTTTTTTTGCGTCGTTAGACATGATTTTTGAGCATATACATAAGTATGATATTATCACACGAGACAAAAAATTTGTAATATTGTATTTAAAATTAACACATAAATATATGTGACTAATTGGATTCGATTCTTCCGTAGTTGTTAAGTGTGCGATCACTTTACTTACCATTAATTGATTTTTCGTTGTTTTCATTATTGCTGTTATTTGTACTCATTTTCTCAGCTATTTTAAGCTCAGCGTTAATACTTGGGAAGATTAACCGAATAATTGCTTGTCTATCACTTATCTTCTTGTGTCTCTTTTATGTCGCTTCTTGTGTATTCTTTATATTTTTTGTCACAACAATTTTCGAATTACTTTAAGACAAGCAACAATGATTTTCTGTATTAAATTATTACGTTATTACATATTCTGCTGTTTCACTTCACAGTTTATATTCATGAGATAATGTATGAACTCTCTAAAAGGTTGTAATTAATACAATAATAGTAAGAAAAATGTTATAACACATTCAGACAATAAATCAACAGCGGAAGATATGAAATAAAGAATTATTTTCTTAGGGTAATTCCATGAGTGAAAAAAATTTTAGTGCTCCAATTTTTCAAAAATATTTCCTTAACTAAGAACTTTGTACTCCAAATTGTAACTTTATTATGTTTATTAACACAATATTTATCTCCATATGTGAGAGTTTCACATCAGAAATATGTCTAATTCTTGTTTTTTTAATAAAAGTAAAATTAATCGGTCAAGTTTTCGAAAAATCGTTTTCTAAACATTTCCTAATATTTACTTAAATACACACTTCTATGTTCTAAAGTTACTTTTAACATATTAGATATTAGCCAGGCTTTTGTTTTATGTATAATTTGCATTCCTTAATGCTTTAATTAAGAAGAAAAATCAAAAAAACTAGCATTAATCGGTCAATTTTTGACCGATTATTGCAAAACAGAACACTGAAAAAATTTCAAATTCACAAAAACCATTAGATTTTCTTGATTTTACTTGTAAGTTTATTACATTTATTTGATTTAATTGAGCAAGTAACTAAAGTTTCAAAACATTAAAGATCATGTATATTTGAACCATCTCTCTTTGATGGTATTGCGGCTAATTCACTCGAATAAACAACAAAACGTTTAGAAATTATAACGGTTTTGGGAAATTTGAATTTTTACAAGTAGAGAAATATTGCATAGTGCTTTTTCACAGTTCTCATTACTCATGGAATTACCCCTTAATGAAATTCACAGAGAACGAGTTAAAATCTTCATTTCTTTCCAAGGTATTTGCGAGACATTCTTTCTACTTTACGACTTGCTTTTTTTCTCATGAGTTTGAACTTGTTTGTTTGGTTCACACACTCAATTATACATTTGCAACTCTGATTCTTTATATTTTTAATGAATTTCAGTATTGGAAAAAATTATTATGCAAATTTTAATCACGGAGATTATTATTTTTTCTATAATTCCATGCTCATTCAAATCACTTTAAATATCTAATAACACCCGAATAAAGCTTAATATCTAGCCTCTCGATATGTAATGTTAAAATTGTAAAAACTATGTTGTATGCACGAAAGTTTAAAAACTAATGTTGAACTAATGAAATAAACAGTTTGAGGATTTAGGGAAAAATATTTAAAATGCATCACTTACGTGGATTTTAAATTTTTGAAAACCGTTACAATCAAATTTTTCTTTTTTCATGGTTTATTTAAATGCATACGCAAATTTAATCGATAGAAATAATTGCTTGCATGTTGAAATATAATTACTAATCCATTAATATTATGTCAACGTTTCTCGTTTTAGAAATCAATGAGTTTCCATCAAAAATTCCGTTACACAAACATTTTGTAATTTTCTTGCGGCTGTGCTGCAGCTGAAATTTATTTAAAAATATTTTAACCGTTTGAGAAAGAAGAAAATTCAAATAATTCAACACGGCATGCTCAACGAACTCACATTGTCATTTATTAATAGATTAAAGAAATATTTATTTATTTAAGCTAGACATACCTAATTAATATTCTCAAAATATACAAAAAAGAGAACAATTCAGATGCCACACAAACAAAAAACATTTAAAATTAATCATTCTTAAGTAAAATATTTCGTAGATCTCGAGAGCACTTAAGATAAATTTTGTAGTAATTTTTTAAGAGGTTGTTAAGGAAATCCACTAAATCATGATTTGAACTATCGTAAGTCACTTGATGAAAACAACTCGAGAAATTTTGTCCCAAATACATAAGATATGTATTAGCACCTTGCTCACTAGCATATTGTTCCTTAAAATTGGTCGTTAATTTAAATTGTGCTGCCTCTGACACAGAATCGATCATTCGGTCAACTTCACTCTGTGTCACTACTGTACGATGAACTGTATCGAGTCTCCTCTGATTTTCCTTAATTATATGATTTCGGTCACTTGTGAACTTCCCCAACAAGAATCCAAAAATTAATGCAATAAATGCAATGGACATAGTGAGACTTATACATGTTCTCTTGCTAATATATTGACGAATATCAAAACCGCTAAAAAGTAATAAAAAGTGAAATTTATGATGCTATAAATGACAACGACTTGATGTTGAGAGATATCTCACCTTGTGTCGGCTGAATTTGCTCTTATTGCTGTTTGGTATGACAATACTCTGTCCATCATCTCTTTAAGCTATTTTTAATGGTATATTAATCATATATATTGTGGATGTCTCACACAATAAACTCCAGAAAATGAAATAAATAGTCAACGCGTGCCACACCACGCTACGAATGAATGAAGAATAGAAAATAAAAGAAAATTAGGAAAAGCATAAAAGAAAAGAATGCAGGCTAGTTTTAAAGTGTTTGACGATTAATGTCCAAAGCGCATTATCTTCACTTTTTGAATAAATTTTTTCATCGAAAGGGCTTTAATCCTCAAACATGGGGGTAAGAGGGGGTTACCATGGGCACGGAACAGATCAATCAGGTTTTGATGATTTACTATGATTTTGAATCATTTTGATCAGTTTCGAACCTTCTGGTTTGATCTTTGTACCCTCAATGCCTATATAGAAGAGCTTTGTTCACAATACTCAAATTAATATTTTTTGCTTTTTTATTGAAATTTCATGCTTAAACAAGCTTTACACTAATAATAATATTGATCTTTCTATGCTAAACAACATCAATTATGAAAATGCTTAGAACCAGAGCTGTATTACCGAGTAAAATCATGAAAATTCTTGAAATTTTTTTATTTTGTTGCTACTTAAAGACATAACTGTAAGAATCAAAGAGATGTACCAAATTCAAATTCTGTTCTGCAACTAAAAAATAACGTATTTATCACGTGATCTAGTCTATAGACTTAAAAAAACTTGCGAATAGTTTCATTAGGGGCCGTTCACTTATTACGTTACGCAAAAACACGACTTTTTTCACCCCCCCCCCCCCCCCCCCCTGAACGTTCATAATTTACAATATACAAAATACTGTTTTGATTGATACTATTAGTATTCTCGTGAATTATATTGGATTGTGATATAAAGCAAAAATTTGTTTTTTTTTTGAAGAAAATTCAAAAATTTGCCCGATCGAATTTTGGAAAATTCAATCTACTTTGAATGTTAATATCACAATGATGGGATCATATTAATCATCATATGAATGACAGATTTAGAGAGATTTACTTTTAAACTTATGATTGATTTAATTTTGAAATTTTCGACAAATTATGATTGTATTTTTAAGTCATGTAAACCAGTTTTCTATTGATTTGTTACTTTATAAAACAACTAGTGTATCGGGTAGAAACGCAATGCGGATATATTCACACCGTACAAAAACACTTAGTTTGAATTTTGTCATCCTCGGGAACACTATGAACCAGTATAGCTGATTTTGGTCCAAATCTCGGCCATACTTCACACTTATTTGAACCACATTTTCTCGTAAATGTTAAAATATTATTAAAAAGTAATTAATCCTGAATTATGTCGCTATAATGTCAAGTGTTTTAAGATAAAGAATTTGTTTTTTGGTTTCCACAGTGAAGAGTATGAACAAAATTCAGATGGGGTAGTCGAAATTTTAGATTTTGTTTTTTTTAAGCTATGCATTACAAAAAGTAATATTGGTATGTGATTTATGTCAGAATTATGTCAATTCAAATAAAACATCCAAAAATTTTTTTTGACCAAAGTACATCATAGAAAATCAATTTTCAATTTTGGACTAGGGGCGACCCTAGTCAAAATCAATTTTGTCACTTTTTTCTTCGAGGGTTTATCCAAATGGATTGAAACTTTGCATAAATATTCTAGTGCTTAAAACAAATACAAATAAAACATCCTAAAATTTTTTTGAGCAAAGAACGAAGTAGGAAATACAATTTCAATTTTGGACTAGGGGCGACCCTAGTCAAAATCAATTTTGCCACTTTTTTCTTCGAGGGTTTATACAAATGGATTGAAACTTTGCATAAATATTCTAGTGCTTAAAACAAATACAAATAAAACATCCTAAAATTTTTTGAGCAAAGAACGAAGTAGGAAATACATTTTCAATTTTGGACTAGGGGCGACCCTAGTCAAAATCAATTTTGCCACTTTTTTCTTTGAGGGTTTATCCAAATGGATTAAAACTTTGCATAAATATTACAGTGCTTAAAACAAATACAAATAAAACATCCTAAAATTTTTTTGAGCAAAGAACGAAGTAGGAAATACATTTTCAATTTTGGACTAGGGGCGACCCTAGTCAAAATCAATTTTGTCACTTTTTTCTTTGAGGGATTATCCAAATGGATTGAAACTTTGCATAAATATTTGAGTGCTTAAAACAAATACAAATAAAACATCCTAAAAATTTTTTGAGCAAAAAACCAAGTGGGATTCTAATCCTCAGGTCACACATTTCTGAATTAATAAAAATCATTTTTTGGACAAAATTTTAATTCACGTTGTTTTTGAATGTACAACCAAATTTATAAAATTTAGGTCTGACGACATATAGAATACATTTCTTGCTTTAGATATTTAAAACTGTTTTGAATAAATATTAGAATACTCACACAAAGTTTCACTGTAATTGGATAAACCTTCGAAGAAAAAAAGTGAAAAACTAGATTTTGACTAGACCTGTCCCAAGTTCATAATTGAAAATGTATTTCCTACTTGGTTCTTTGCTCAAAAAAAATTTTTTATCCAAAGTTGAATTTTATAAAAATCATAGTCAACTTTTGTTTTAAAAATATCGTAAGAAAGGAAAGTTTTTTGCTATTTCTGAAGCAACGGCTGTTCCTACCTTGCCCAAAAACAATACAGCTCTTCTATATAGCAGCACGGATCAAATGTAAAAAACTAGAAGTCTCTACGATGTCTCGTTATTGAGATTTCTTGCTGCTTAACTTGCTTGCTTGCTTGCTTACAGAAAGCATATTTTGCGATTTTCTCAGCAATGCCGCAACCAATTTGAAATCTGTTTTTTTCAAAAGATGTGAAATTCAAGGCACAAACTTTTCATCTCTGAACATTTTAAGCTATCTCGCTCCATATCCTCACAAAATTCAAAAAACTGATTTTTCAATCTGAACAAAACCAATAGATTCACACGTGAAAACGGTGTGAATATAAAAACTATGTATTGCTTAGCTATCAAAAGTGATCTGGACATTCATAAATCATTAAAAAGGTAGAAAATTTAAAAAAATGTTTTTGGTGTGAATTTGCAAACAAATTTTTTTCGTGAACTTTTTTTTAAAAGACAGACGACAATTAGAACGTTACCTACTTCTTGACCCCCTCCCCCCCCCCTTGTTACAATATGTTACAACTCGCAACCCCCCCCCCCCCCTCCTGAACGTTCATAATTCAAATTTTTTTCGTGAACTTTTTTTTAAAAGACAGACGACAGTTAGAACGTTACATTCTTCTTGACACCCCCCCCCCCCCCCTATGTTACATTTTGTTACAATTTTTCAAACCCCCCCTCCCCCCTAAAGTGCGAACGTAATAAGTGAACGGCCCCTTACAAATGCGCTGAAATTAGCCATTGAATTTCATTTTCTTTTGACCGTCATTTTCACTTCCAATGACTACATAGAAAATCACCTTGAATCTCCTGTCGCACACACAATTTACTATTAAAAATAACACATGAGGATTTTTCTCTTTTTCATAATAATTTTTTTTTGTTCTTCTAAATTCCCTTTGTACTCTTGTACGTATTTATTTGTGTATTATAATAGAGCGTTTACCGCACAAAACAGTCAACAAGCTATAAATTTTTCTTTTTATTCTTTTGTTGAACGGAAAGGTTCGAGAAAAATATTTCTCACAAAAAAAAAAAATATTTTCACTGTCGTCGACTTGAATCTATGTGTGGAATGACTTCTTCATATAGAAGAGAAAAGTCACTAATATTTTTAGAAGTAAATGAGGAAATGAGAGTCACAAAATGCGATTCCTTCCAGCTTGCATGTCTACACGAGACTAAATATTTCATATATTTGTTTTGATTACACACCGCGATTAATGTACTGATCAACAGTCATTAAATTCGTGCTTGCTTTTTGTCGTAAACAGGCCAATCATGTAATTACACAAATTCTGTGGAACCGAAATGAGCCTGAACTAAAACTATATAAACTCGGTAAATTTTAATCCTCGAAAAATGTTTAACAACATAACTCGTTGAATAGCTTTTGCGGACTGAGCGAATATTTTTCTTTTTTTATTTTTCTATACTATAAAATAATTTTCTTTCTTTTTTCCTGCCTTTCATTCTGTCGATTGCAATCAACTCTCCTAAAAATTTTCTCTCACTATTCATTCATATTTAAGAGTCTATTCAGACACGGGATATAATGTGCATTATTTATGACATGTTAAAAAAAAACATCCATTTAAATCTTGGATTAATTATTATGAGTGCGAAACTTTGGATTATAAGATGTATAACGCATTATTAAATCCATCCATTACTCAACTCATATCCATCATTTTAGGCTCTAAAGGGATCGTTATTAAATGATATCTTTTAATATATTTATACAATAGACCGATTGGATCATTCGAAAGTGATGTCAAAAAATAAATATTATTTTTTAAAAGTTAACCAACTTCCTTTCCTGCCTTTTAAGTTATAAGTAACGAAAAATTATTAAAATGTTTATTTTTAGATTAATGACCACCTTCACCACCCCCCCCACCCCCCCTAATATGAATAGGTCAACTAACGATGAGGTCTCGTTCATCTGATATAAACTTAATCCCAACAAGGCAAAGGTTTATTTTAGTTCCACTCATCAACAACCCTTGCTAATAAGTGAATGTAAGACATAATATTTGTATAGCCCCAAAAGCAAAGAACGTAGCATGAAAAAAATACTTTAAAAACATTTGAGGAATTTGAGTTTGCATGAAAAGTTGATCAGAAAAACTCACTTTAAAGGTGAAAAGAATATGGAAAGAATGAGGCCAAGAACACTATAAATAAGAGAGTGAGTTCAAATAGAAAAATTTAATGTTTCTTTTTTCTTCTTCCTTAAATAGCCTTTGACTATATAACTAAAATTCTCCTTCCGCTTATTTTATTTCTCTTTTGTTTTGACTAATTCTAGTATTGGATATTTTATCATCAGCATCGACAAGGCGCATATTTTGATGGAATTGCTTCAATTTTACTTCGTTTTATTAAAAACTCTTTCATGCTGACAGTAATATTTATGCATCAAAATGATATCCCTTGTGGCTTACAAAGTAATGTGCTTTGACGACAGTAAACTGTCTGCATAACATTATTGGATATTTGTTTGATTAAAAATTTAAATCCACTGTCATCACCTATGCTTGGGTTTTTCCATTGCTTCCATTCCTTTTAATGCAGCTTATAAGCTGTACAAAGCTTAATTTGAGAAATTTTGATTTTTGTAGGATTTTCCTTAATTGTTATAGTTCTGGATCAGTCAAAAACCCAAATTTAAGTAATCAGCACAATGAAAGCACAAAGCTTGTTCTTATGTAAAGGTTTACGGAACACAAAATTTAAAAATTTAAGATTGCTTGTAAACAAAGATTTTAAAGCTCAAATTGAAAGCACTTCTTTTTCTCTCATTATAAGCAATAAATTCCAACAATTCTAGGTAATTAGACCAAAATAAATGCATAAAAGCTCTAATAAGCTCAAAGTATTAAGCAAAATTCCACGTAAATCAAAAACATGCTCACGAAAAAAAGCACAAAAAAGGAAACAAGAAATAAAAAGTTTTATGTCTACCTGAAAAAAATGAAATAAATAGAAGCAGACCTAGTCCAGGCATAATGGCTGCAATTTATAACGTGGAAAAATTACTTTCTACTAAACGCTTAGTCGAGTTATTTATTAATACTTAATGAGTAAAAAAACAATTGCGATTTATGCATAAAGCAGAGGTGCATATATGAATACCTTAATGAGTTTCATAAATGCGCAACAAACGATTCTATATTTATAGAGTATTTATTGTTATTATTGAAGGACGTTCTGGTAAGCAAAGGCTCAAATTGTGTTCATAGAAAGTGAATGAGAATAATTATGAGCAGGATTCATGCTTGAATAACATGACCATAAGATACCTTGAAATAAAAAAAAAAGTAATAATCTTGACCTTTAATGTATGTCACATTTAGTAATCCATAGAACGTGCTGTGCATCAAATTTCAACTCTTCACGAAAAAAAATGCTCGTTTGTAAAATTTGAAAGGCTTCTCAAGCCTAAATCGATGACTAATTGCCGGTAGAAAATGTATTTTAATAAGGAATTCCATCAATACGTAAATTAAAATATTTATTTTCTATTCTGTCTACTCGATTCCTTTCATAACAATGACACATTTGGCACATGTAGGACACAGAGTTGGAATGGATATGGTTGCAATAGTATTGAGCATATTGAATGTCATCAGCATGATTAGTACACTGTTCCATGTGTAAAACTGCATCCTGAGATCACATAAAGAAGAACCCAACCATAGTAGATAGTCCAGCATGCGACTAAATATTGTTCTGACCAACTCTGGTCCCAGCATAGCAAAAACATTTAATCCACAAGAATGAAAAGGCAATGAAATAATTCAACTAATTTAATTAGATATATTTCAGCTTTCGAGTTAGCTTCTTCAAGTCCACCTTCCTCAGTTATTGTCGAGACTTTAACCGTTAACAACCGGAAGGAAAAGGAAGAAAGAAAATAATAGTGGAAGTAGAGCAAAAAAATTCTTAGCCTTTTCCTATAAATGAAATTTCGAGAGCAAAATTAAGGTGTGAAAATTATTTTCCGATAAAGGAAACGACGAAATTCTTGGAACAAAAATTGTGCTTAATGTTGAGAAAATTTCTGATTGCGTAACTTCCTTGCCAGTTCCTATCAACTTAATTATGGAGATTTATTGTTTGATTGAGAGAAATGTCAAAAGTACACGGAGCAATTTTCTATGATTAACATTTTCTTAAGAATCAAAATTTGTAGCTGAAACTTGATAAAATTCACAATAAGTCATGAAAAATTATTTCACTTCCAATTTCTTATGTAACTAATTTAATTATACGATTTTATTGTTGGAGAGCATTTCCTTAATTTACTATATTTGAAAAATGTGAAGTCATACGAATGTTTTGTGTCTAGTTGTGCTATATCCTAAGCCAAAATGGAATTACTAATCACAAAATTGAAATTTGGGAATTGATGTTATGGAATGTAACGGCTGGTGTGATGATAAGTGATATTTTTGTAAAAATGAGGCATAAAACATGAAATAAGCTTTTTTTAATCACCACGTGTGACACTCAGGATTAAAATCTCTTCTGAAAATCGAATGAAACAAGTTGATGATCTCCTATCATCCCTATAATTCCAAGCAACAAAAATCAGGCTAGACCAGACTGATATTGCTGATGCAGCTGTATTGAATTTTGAGTTAACGGGACCGGATCGGATAGCAGTAAAAACAGGTCTTAGGTTCACAACCTTTCAGGAATTTCCGAACATGTCTAATAAGACACAAAAACTTTAATTCTAGGCTGCTTATTGTCTTACCTCTTCAATATTTTTTATGGATTTTCATCGAAACAATAGCGACAATAAATCCATTTAACATAAATCGAAGGACACTGTAATGCAAACAACCTTCAACAAATACAAATCGCCAATAATTACATAAGCAAGAAGAACTAAACGAATTTGAATGAATCAGCATTGCATGGTCGTAAAATATTACTTCCAATTCTAGTACATTTAAACATACAGAATTAAAGAATGAAGTTATGCAATTTACATCGTATATATTTTGTAATCCTGAGGGTAGCTAAGGGTTTTAAAAATATTCAATCAACACCTGTTTGGACATTGTCCATTCATGACAATAAATTGACTCGTTCAAGTCAAAAGCAGCAAGTTCTTAATTTTCTTATGTCATCATATAGAACAGCTGCTCAAATTAAGCTATCCCCAAATAATTATCAATAGAATCTAAAAAGACATGTTATTTAATCGATAGCCCACGACTGCCTGAATATCACTTTTCCGCCAAAAAAAAAAACAGGAAGTTTCTCTAAATTTATAGGTCAAATAAGCTTATTGCCTCCGCATTTTATTGTATGTTGGTTCCATTAATTCCATAAATATACTCAATTCACTTCCGAGCATTTACAAACCTTTTTTTTCCGTAGTAGCTATAATATTTTGGGCAATTCAATTTAATATTATGTCCATTGTCATTCATCAAAATGTGATGGATATTTACAATCCTGTAATATGATACATGTCATGTATGTCCTCATAATTTTAATCTTCTTTTATTATTATTTCAAATTAAATCGATTTCCACTTCATATCGTCAAAGGAACTGACTCATTACATTCGCAATTTAACATATGCAGCGTCTGACATAACGAGTTAAAAGTATTAAAAAAATTTAAAAGAACTAAAAGGATTAAATTGTATAATTCATGCCAGTGGAATAATCGACGACTAGAACTAACCGTGAATTACAGTGAAAGACATGTGAAGTGCTTAAAAAAGTGAGAAAAAGATGAAGTCAGAATCGAAAGAAAATTTAGTAAATTCCCAAAGTCCATCTGAAAATAATTTGAATCAAATGACAATTGAGGAAGGAAGTGCAAAAACTGAAGATGATGATGATCTTAATGCCATAAATGACATTGTGCTGACAAATGTCGAGAAAAAATTTCTTTTGAGTGCTGAACGTGGTGACTGCGCGACAGTCCGAAAATTGATTGCAGAGAATAAAGATCGTCCGGAGGAGCTGAATATTGATTGTGTAGATCCACTTCAAAGATCAGCACTGATTGCAGCAATTGAGAATGAAAATATTGAATTGATTACTTTATTATTGGAAGCTGGCATTCAAGTTAAGGATGCACTGCTGCATGCTATAAAGGAAGAGTATATTGAAGCTGTTGATACATTGCTGCAATGGGAAGAAGAAAATCATAATGCAGGCGATCCTTACAGTTGGGAATCCGTTGATAGAAGTAGTTCAAGTTTTACTCAAGACATTACACCTTTAATTCTTGCTGCCCATAAAAATAATTACGAAATTCTCAAGATTTTATTGGACAGAGGAGCTAGCCTTCCTATGCCGCATGATGTTCGGTATGTCATGTGAATCATTATTGGAATAACAATTAACATCTTAATATGTCTACTTCACAGGTGTGGATGCGACGAGTGTGTATTGTCCAGCGAAACAGATTCATTACGACACTCTCAGGTGACCTTAATGGCATTTTATCATAAGCATGACATTTGACGATAAAATATTATTATTACATTGTTGTATCATTTTCATTAATACAGTCACGCATAAATGCTTACAAAGCCTTATCAGCAAGCTCTCTGATTGCATTGAGTTCACGGGATCCAATATTAACTGCATTTGAACTAAGCTGGGAATTGAGACGATTAAGTCGTATGGAAACGGAGTTTCGTTTTGAGTATAATAACATGCGGAAGAATGTCCAAGAATTTTCAACATCATTATTAGATCATGCAAGAACAAGTAATGAGCTAGAAATTATGCTCAATTATAATCCGACTGGAGAGAATTGGGAACCTGGCGAGAGACAAACTTTGGATCGTTTAAAACTAGCTATCAAGTATAAGCAGAAGAAGGTTAATTATTGTGATACTCGACATGGGGATTGTGATTAATTTTGGTCTTCTAATTTTAACAGTTTGTAGCTCATCCAAATGTCCAACAGTTGCTTGCAAAAATTTGGTATGACGAGAGTCAATGACATTACTGTTAAAAATATTAATTTGTGTCACTTTTAAGGTACGAAGGACTTCCAGGATTTAGACGGAAAGGAATGGTTGGGCAACTATTGCAAGTAATAAAACTCGCGTCTTGCTTCCCGCTATACTGTACGATTTATATGCTTGCACCAAACTCGGAAATTGGAAAATTTATGAAAAAACCTTTTGTTAAGTTCATCACTCATTCGGCCAGTTACGTCTGCTTCTTAAGTAAGTACTGACAACATCTGTGAGTATTTTAAGACTGACTGAAATTATTAATTTAAGCTCTTCTCGGTGCTGCATCCCAACGTGTTGAATTTCTGCTTCTTGAATGGTTTGGAAACTCGTGGATACATTCACTGCTTGATGAATGGAAGAGACATGAACGCGGAGCATTACCGGGAATAGCTGAGAGCGCATGTATGGTCTACATAGTTAGTAAGTATATGTCGTGTCTCTAACAATAGAAATTTAATTATATTGTCATGATTTTTATTATTATCCACCTTTAGGCTTAATATGGGGAGAAATTCGCTCGCTTTATTCGGAAGGACTGATGGACTACATCTCGGATTTATGGAATATTGTTGACTTTATATCCAATTCATTTTATGTTGCTTGGATAAGTCTCCGCTTAACGTCATGGTATACTGTTCATCGCGACGCTAATGCAGGACTAAATCCATGGTATCCACGAGAAGAATGGTCTCCATATGATCCAATGCTTTTATCCGAGGGCGCTTTTGCAGCTGGCATGATTTTCTCATTCTTAAAACTTGTTCATATATTCTCAATTAATCCTCATCTCGGACCACTTCAAGTCAGTTTAGGACGAATGATAATTGATATTATAAAGTTCTTCTTTATTTACACATTAGTGCTATTTGCATTTGGTTGCGGATTAAATCAACTCATGTGGTATTATGCTGATTTAGAGAAAAATAAATGTTATCATTTACCCAGTGGACTTCCTGATTTTGATAATAACGAGAAGGCGTGTGGTATATGGAGGCGATTTGCAAAGTATGTAGTTTATGAAAGTGATTGGACATAAATAAGCTTTTAAAACTGAAACTTCTATTTCAGTCTTTTTGAGACATCTCAATCACTGTTTTGGGCTTCTTTTGGTTTAGTCGATCTGATGGCATTTGATTTGACTGGAATTAAAAGTTTTACAAGATTTTGGGCGTTGCTTATGTTTGGAAGCTACAGTGTCATCAAGTAAGTGAATATTGATGCCTAAATTGAAACATTTTACTTATATTGGTTCTCTATCAGCATCATCGTACTCCTAAATATGCTTATTGCCATGATGTCCAACTCCTACCAAATAATATCTGAAAGAAGTGATTCTGAATGGAAGTTTGCACGCTCCAAATTATGGATAAGTTATTTCGATGATGGAACCACACTTCCAGCACCATTCAATCTATTTCCAACAGTAAAATTATTCAAGTGTGGCAGGGGAAAGTTTTCATCGACAAGTACAATCGTAAGTTGATTTAAAACTTATTTTCTGTAGAGAGTATGTTGGGTATAATGTAATTTGTTTTGCACCTTCTGGCATTTTTGTGATTCCAAAACTTTTTTTTATCTTCTTCAATCTCATCAACAGAAACGTTCTCGTGATAAAGCTCGCCTACGTCACGATAATGTCATGAAATTATTAGTGCGTCGCTATGTATGTGATGAACAAAGGAAGCGCGATGATTTTGGTATTACCGAAGATGATGTAATGGAGATTCGACAGGATATTAGTACATTGAGATATGAGTTGATTGACATATTTAAACAAAATGGAATGAAGACACCAAGAGTTTCTAAGGATGATAGTCAAGGTAGCAAGGTTTAACGATTCAAAGAATTACTTCATTTAATTAAATTTAAACTTCCAGTTTCGGGCAAGAAAGGAAAAATCATGGAGAGAAGAATCTTAAAAGACTTTCAGATTGGAATCGTTGAAGGAATTCTTAATGCATCTTTACAAAATGCTAAGGAGCCCAAGGATGTTTTCAGTACAATCGCTAAAGTTATTGGGAGACGAACAAGTTCCAAAAAGTAAATTAAATTATTTATTTTTGAAAGTTGTTCCTTATAACCCACATTTCCGCTTACTTAACTTTCACAGCAAACAAGAAGATTGGAATGCAATTGTACGTAAAAATACTGTTATCAGAAATCCAATCGGTTCAAAATCGGAAGCATTATCTCGTCAACAATCACGTCAGAGTTTGCGAAGGCATATTATGAATGCACAGACTGAAGGATTGATGATGGATACAGATAATTTGCTTCAATATAATCCAAAACTGGCTGATGTTAGCCATACAACACGAATTGCATATGCTAAGTTTATGACAGCGAAAATCAAGAAGGAAATCAAGTTTGAAGATGAACAAACTGAAGGTGAAAAGGTCAGGATTGAAAACGAATTGGAAAGAACAAGAGGTGCTAGAGCTCTCAACAGATTCAAAGCAAATGCTGGAATTTTAAAGAAATCAGTTGCTCCAAAGAATCCAGAAGTTATTTTACAAAATGGAGATTTAACAGTCGTTGAAGTCGAAAAATCATCAACAGTATCTCCTGTGACATCAGTCGAACGAGATTTTCGTGCTAGAACTCCAATTGAAGAAGAAAATGAGACGCCATCTGACTTACCATCTTCTCCCAGGAGTAGTCTGGATGTTCCAGACTCAAAAATACTTTCTCCAAAAAATACATCACCTTTGTCTTCATCATCATCTCCAGCTAAATCTCCTAAAATTAGTTTTGATTCAGAAGAATCGCCACAGAAAGAACAGTCGGCAGCTTCAACATCCAGATCAAATTCTCCATCATGTGCCAATATACCTGAAATCATAATTCCAGAACCATCAGAATCAAATGTGTCAAAAGAACGTAAAAGTTCTCAGGATTCTTCTGGACGTCTCTCTCCACGACCACCACCAAGTCCAGCTATGAGTATTTCAGGAAGTGACAAAGGAAAGTCAAAAATAACTGGCAAAACATTGACAGGATGGTTGTAGATGACTACTAATCATTATATTTATAATCGATATTTTAAGCAGAATCTTATTAATCTACAAAAGAAAATTATTCATTCAAAGTTTAAAGGTGGATAAGGAAAATACGAACTCAATAGAAGATTAATTAAACTTTTTAAGCATCATTTAAAAACGAGAGAAGAAAAATAAAAAGCAATAAAACATTTACAAACATTTTAATTAAACATTGAATTTAAGAAAAAATGTTGAAGATTAACAAATTAGGAAATTTATCTTTCAGTATATGCGTCACAGTAAGGAAGGAAAGAAAAACATCAAGTAGAATTTACATGAAAAACATTTTCTGTCTAATTTTTGTTGTTCTTACTCTGGCAGTTACTAATTTAAATACTTTTTTTTGTTTTGTGCTAAATGCTAATGATTCCGGTGACGGATCCATTTCAAAATATCTTTATTTAATTTATTGGTTTTCAATATTTAGCTCTTAATCAAAAAACGTCTGATCTAGCATACTACAATAGGATAGGAAGCGATTCCACAATGATTCTTCCTATTCCTTGCCATTAATCCGTATCCTTAATAAATATGGAATAAATATTAAGCTAAAAAGTCAACAAATAAGTTTTTTGAGGTTTTAAAGTCAATCCTGACCTTAATATGTTAATTGTCATCAAATAGATAACTTCAACTTGATAAAAGGAAAATATTATTTTAAAGATCACACATATATATTTACCTTTCATGCCCCAATTTTCACCCTGTTTAAAATCGTGTCGCAATTAGTATTTTGAAGATGCTTGAGAAAGCTTCAAACTTACCCATGAGTTTCTGAAAAATAATATTCAATGCAATTTAAAAATTTTAATTTAAGTAAATCGCCATTTAATTATTTACCTTATAATCCAATAATCCTTTCCTTTACCATCTGAACCATATCCCACAATAGTCTGAATAAATTAAATGTTAGATCTTTTTGATACATATTTGTTAATAAGTTCACAAGTTACCACAGCATGATCAACTGCATTTGATGGACATAATTTATCATAAAAAATTCCACGACTATAGCTTGTAAAACCATCAGTTGTTCCTATGCAGGCAATAACAGGTTTAATATTCACCAATTGCCTTAGTTTTTCTTCATCGCCGTCTATGTCATAAGTACAGACATCATCAATTGTAAAAATCGATGGGAATTCATCTTTCATGCAAGTATCATTATATGCTTTATAGACATAAGTAGATCCGTCTGAAATACCATAATCACGAACATACGCAAGTCCATTTCCAGGCCAACCACCTGTTTGAAAGTAAATTTTCTAATACAAGTTAAAAGATATGATTTAAAGTTACCTTCACATCCACCATCGCCCATATCACAGTCAATTAAACATTGCTCAGAATAGAAATCACTTCCGTTATTCTTCCTAGAAATGTACTCTAAAAGTGATACAGAAGTAAAAGCCCAACAAGCTCCGCAATAACCTTGATCTTAAAAGTAAATCGTTTGGAAGGGTTGATTAAAAAAGTTTTATAATATTTGGAAATATCTGATTCCTTTGTTACCTTTTACAGGCGGAAATAGATCGGTGTAATTAACCTGACCTGCTCAAAAAACAATCAAAATAGAATTTAAGGTTTTTGAAAATGTATATCAAAATTTACTTTTTCTGGAATTTCTAGGAAAATTTGGTAATGGAACCACTTTTTGATTAAACAATTCCTTTTTCAATCCCATTCTAAATTCCTTTTTTTCATCAAATGTCAAATCTGAATGAGCTTGAAGATTTCTTAGATATGATTCATTTGATTTTAAATTATGGATCTTAATTTCATTGTAATTCGTCCAAAAATCTTGAGCTGCTTCACTTTCTGATTTTAAATAGTCATCGTAAGATTTGTTGTAATGTTTCTGAAAAGTTTAAGAAAGTTGTGAGCTATAACTTTGTTTAGTTTTTTGGAAAACTCTTAGAAAAATTATAAACTTACAGCCCATGAGTTAAATTCTTTGTCTCTAGTATGCTTCACTCTCTTTGTTGGTTTGCTGGTTGTTTTAATAATTTTGGTAGGTTTAATGGTTGTCTTGGAAGTTGATCTGTTGACTCTCCTTGTTGTTTTGGTAGTTGACAACTTACTTCTCGCATTTTCAGCATAATTAATGAATAAAACCAGAATAATAAAAGTAAGCAATCCAATTCTTAAAAACATTCCAGCTTCGTATAATTTGACAATTTTTGTTTAAAATATTGAATTTAAAATTTTTTAAGTTTGAATTTTGAAAATTCTCTGTTTTAACTTAAAAACAATGTCAACAATATACCGCTAGACATGTTGAATTGGTTCCAATGTTTATAAAAAACCTCAAAATATCTTGTTAACATTTCCGATATACTGTAAATTACTCAACAACACCTGTAAATTTACCAAAATTTTACTAAATCATACGACAGTCCAATTCGTACCTTTTAACAATTTTATTTATAGAAACAGATTAATGGCATTTTTGTCGACGCATTTACAAATTGCTAAATTTACAAGTCATCAAAATTCCAACAAAGTTTCCAGCATCATTAATTGGATATAACAGCAGCAAATTAAATTAGCAACACAAGCCAATGTTTTTATGAGTATTGATTTGACTTAAATCCTTGTTGGAACTTTCTTGCATCGAAAATTTTGCGATCTATTCATTTATTGTCAGCACGAGATGGCAATTTATATTCTGATGACTTTTCTTTGCGTCATAAAAAACAAAGTTACAGGAGGAACGTCAGGAGAGAAAACAAAATGGACACATTTTTAGAATTTAAATAAAAATCACATTTTGACACCTTCGATAGAGAAAAGTAATGAAAGTAAAAACTTTAAATGACATATGGTCGACATGATAGATTGTAGGCCTCCGTTTGGAAATGAGAACTACGTAAAAGATTCTTCTTGTTTACTGATGATTTTATGTTCATGTTTTGGTACGAAGTTAATCGAATATTTTTAATCAAAACATAAAATTTATTTTGTGTAGCCCAAATGTTTTTAAAGTTTTTAATGTTTTATATATAGGTATTTTAAAGGGAAAATTAATAGCCATAGTTCTTGCCATGAAAATCAAACTTTCCCAAAGTGTTAAAGCTATAAATAGCATTTGGTAAATCTACAGAATCTTTAAACTCACTTTTTTTCAACGCAGTCAGTGAGAAAGCAACATAATGAATACATGAAGCCTGATACAAGACCACTTTGTTCTAAATACAGCAAGATAATATCGAAAAAACTTAGTAGTTTTGTGGTAGATGATCTGCAGTTCAATTTATTGGGCCTCGACGTTTTTTTAAGGATTTTTGATTAACGGAAAAAAATAATTTGAATTTTTCACTAACACTATCATACAAAACATCAAAAATTAAATTCTCAAAATTCTTAATTATTCAATCATTAATCCCAAATATTATGATTTGAATACGAAAAGTAGATGATGCATTAGCTGTTCCGACTATTTTAAGACCTTTTACATCATTATTGAGTGATATTTTCGTGACTTTTCAAATTTCATTTTCGATTTTGTTTGTAAACAAATAAATTACAACCGAAAAATTTCAAACAAGTTAAAACCGTTAAAACTTTTTTAACTTAATTTTGTCCATTTGGGTATGTTAATGCAGCAATTTTAAATTTTTTATAAATTCAAAAAAAAACAGAATTGAATTTGGGATCTAAAAAACTACATTTGGAGATATATCAATAAACAATAATGAAGATATAGCAAAATTCCCAAAAATTGTACGTGAGTGACGCTTAGTTAAAGTGATTTTTTCGAGTAACTGTAAACATTCATGAAGTAAATTGTCAACAATAGATGGGGATTTTAATTCTCTTTTCAAAAAAAGTAACTCTTAAATTTATCACTTTTAAGGATATGGAGATAATCAAGAATAACAAAGCGTCACTCACGTACAATTTTTTTTGTGACGAGGCCCATTATAATCTGAAGTTCCTTGGTAACCGAGTCTGTAAATTCGGTTTTAAATAAATTTTGTTTTCAATATTGGTAAAGGTATAATTGAATCTCGTCATTAGACGTATAAAGCTTGAACCTAATAACTAACCCACATTTCTTTGCACTGAGCTTTATTTTAAATCATACATATTTGAAAGTTCTATTCAACTATTGATCTAAATTTTAAATTGATCAAAATATAAATATAAAGCAACAAAATTAGAAAATAGTACCTAAAAACATAAAGGAAGCTTAAAATTTAATTAAAAATTGAACTTTTGGGAGAAATTCAACTCATTTTATTTACAATAAATTTATATTCTATTTTTAAATCCTTAGGAAACAAAAAAGTATTTCAAAATTCACCTTTGCATGCAGTTTGAAATGAGAAAAATAAATGCAGGCACACAATATTTTTCAGTTTACTTAAGAATTAAAATCAAATAACTCTTTGGGTCATACAATTTAAAAAAGTGTGAAAAATCACATGAGTACAGACATCAATCAAGAGATTCACAGTGAGCAATAGATTACCATCATTGGTTTTCAGTCTTCGGTCTTTTTTTTATATTAAAAAAATACGAAACTCTTTCTCATCAATCTTTCTTACTTCAACTTCGTGGTGGGCGATAAGAGGACGACCTGCGCGTACGATTCTCTTAACAGTATGTATCTTATCACATCGAATGCTGCAGAGATTGTATAAAAGCAGCATAAACTCAACAGTAAGATGTTAAAGTAAATTCAGACATTCAACAAGTGATAATAAGCAAGAAGGAATAGAAAATTCATGTTTTGTGATAAAACAAACCTGAAGAATTATTATTAATTGTTATCATTTTGTGAAATCTGTAGAAATTATTTCCGTACTTCCAATTTATCTCGCAAAAAAAACAAATAAGTTTTAAAAAAATTATTTAGAAAATATGAAAATGAATCGTGAAGTGAAAACTATGGAATTGTTCTCTTATGCTGTTCTTCTGTTGGTCTTAACAGCTAAATTGTGTAGTGCTGATGAAGGTAAAGAATTGCTCTTTGGATCTTGTTCAAGTAAAATTATACTTATAAGAACTGTTTAAAGATTAAGTTTTGGAAGTAAAACCGAGAAAGGAATTAAAAACAAAAAATAAGTAATCGAAAAAGTATTAAAAATTCTTCAACAACCTGCAGAATCTCTAAAGGCAGAGAAAAAAAATCAATAAAAAGATATTAAACTCTCGTAGCTTCTTAACTGACAAAATATTTTTTTATAAAATTCAGAAACTCTAAGAAATTCAAAGTTTCAAGAATCATTACTATTAAACTAAGCTTTCAATCTCCAAAACATCAATTTTTGGATTAAAAATAAACGAAAATAAATTTTTCAACCGAAGCTTCTTACCAAATTAATCATGAATGCATGTGAAGCAATTTAAACTAATATTAAAGCTTCTTATTTTTATGTTCTTAATGGATTTTTTAAAGTAAAGTTTTGCAAAACATGATGTGTTAAATATTTAATAGTCAAGTTCTTATCAAAATAAGTCAGTTTAAAAAAAGTCAAGATGCAAAAGATTCATGTATCAGATTCAAAAACTTTGAATTTTAAACAATAATATTAAAAGAAGCTTCAGAAATTGTTTTTAATCTTATTTTAAGCTACAGGTCTTAAATATTGTGCAAAATGCTTATTATAGCTCTCCATATGCTAACAAAACAGACCTTGCGATAAGTTTTATAATGAAAATCGTTATGAATCAAAACTTTTTTATGTCCTCTTCCTGAGATTCGTAGTAAGGCAATCTGTGCTTGTGAGTTCTATAATGTATTTAAAATAAGCAAGCATGACATCACTAAATGTCAACCAAACCCAAAAAATTATTTTTTCCAAGACATCCTTGAAATCACCTAATAATACTGATTAAGTTTTCAATAAAGTCATCACATGAGCACATGCAGCATGTCAAATTAAATTTTTGACTAATTTCATTCAAGTCTAATAAAATAGGTTAAAATTTCGAGGATGATTGTCAATTTTCTGTTACACAAGAGTTGATGTAAAGTCTAAATTTAGTGTGCGACATCCGTATCTTACAAGAAGAGCAACATAATTGGAAAATAATTAAGAATGAAGGGTGAAATATTGATAGAAAATTTTGATTATTGCCTTATTGAGCATCGACTTGTGATTGAGTTGGGAACACGAAAATTTTAAAGGGTTGATTATTTTTCTTTAAGTTGAGCATCTGTAAGGCTGCTTACGTATTGAGCTTTTTTTTTGAAAAATAAGTCTTTAATATTGCCCTTCAGGAAATTATAAACAAAGAACAAAAACAAAACAGAGAAACTTTTGGATCTTTATACTTTTTTTTAACATGTAGATACTTCCAACTATGATTCTTTAATGTTTAATAATTGGAAAAAATGAGAGAATAATTAGTTGTGTTCATAAAAGATTTTTATATCCTCTGGCTTTAAATGTGAAAACAATAACTGAGAAATGTATAATGAAAATATTGGAAAAACTATGTACTTCTGGTAATTATTCAAGGTGTGGATACTTACTTGCAAGATTTTATTGGAATTTTGTGGTTTCCTTGTTTCTATTTCCTTCAATTTATTATAGAAAAGAAATGAAATCAATAACTTCAAACAATTTCAAAAGCTTACTTGATTTGCTGGTTTTCTTGAGAACTTCAAAATTTTGAAAATTCATTGAACTTGCAAAGCTCACCGATTATCGATGCTATAACGTTTGATCCATTGTTAATACCAATATTAACATCAACAGCAGTAATTTACAAAACTCAAAAGCTTCTGATAATTTTTGAAGGAATAATACTTGCTTTAAAATTTCTTTTGATGAATATAATCGGAAATGCTCGTTAAGGTCAAAGTCTAATGTTGATTAGAACATTGTAGCTACATATTCTAATGATTTGTACAACACAATATTTCTATTATTTGTTATTTACATAGCAATAACGAAAATAATTTACATTTTACAGATTTCGAAGGAGCACAGAAACGTGCCAGCGGTAGTGTCGGATTATTTCCATTTCCGAGAGTTGGCAGAAGCGATCCAGATTTGCAGCCCGAATGGAATTCATACAATTCATTTGAAAATTATGATGGTAATTTAAATCTAAGTGCTACGTGCTGATTCGTAAATTATTGACAAAGGACTTTTAATTCCAAAACAGATTTAGGACGACATGAACAGAAACGACAAGGATTAGTTCCGTTTCCAAGAGTAGGAAGAAGTGGCGGATATAATCAGAGACTTTACCAACAGTATTCAGATTTTAATAAGCGAAGTCAAGCAGGAAATCCACATTGGTAAGATCTTGAGTCTTTCATTGTTGACTGTTTAAAATTTATTCAATCCTACAGGTTCGGACCTCGTCTTGGACGTGCTCGCCCTGATCAAGGTGAACTTAATTAAACACCAAACCAATAATTGTTCAAAAGTTCTAGCAATGTCGAGAGATTCTAATGCTATCATTTTGAATTCATCCTCATTGCAAGTCCTTTCCAAATGATACTTTTTTGGTGCTTGATGATGTCATTTCTTAAAAAAAGAGTGAAAACTTTTTAAACAGCATATGGTTTGATTATTTCCAGTGAGATTTATATCTTGTTTGAGTTGAGTTGTAATTTTAATATAAAAGTGAAATTTTGTTTGTGCATGAAAAAGTTTGGCGTTTGAAGATTTTGAGCAGCAATAGGATTTTTCATAAAATTTATCATCATTTCAACCATCCATAAAGTCCACTATATAATTTTATAGATGATTCTTTAGTATTGAGTCATAAAGTCCGCCATTAAAGGATGAAACAGTAAAACTTTCGGTTCCAATACAAGTTTTAGATTAGATCCAATTGAATTTAAATCGGTACCCAAAATATATTATCCCTAAGGCATAAAATAACTTTTTTCATACTTATTTCTGCTCGAAATTTTCCACCACGCAAGAAAGTCAAGTGAACATAAAAAAAAATTATTTATTAAAGCAAGGCAAGAAGTTACTTTTTTATGACTATTATGTATTTTTGAGTCTCTGTTGATTTTTGAGTGAAATTTTCTTTTTCTTGTTGAAGTTCATGTAGCACTAAACGTTAATGACGCAATAAGGAGGATAAAAGGAAGTATTTAAAGAGTGAAGGAATGCTTCAAAGCGTGTCGAGTGTGTATTTTTACTTCTGATCCATGAACGAATCGTGTCAATTAAACGAACTCATTTTAAACTTTTTTTTTCCATTTTCTTTTTTGTTTCTTTAAAAAAAATTGTAAAAAAAAATATTAATAGAGAATGAAGTCTTTACGCCTAGACTTGGAAGAAGTAGCTTCATAAACTCAGAAAAAGTGGATAAAGATTTTCGAAAGAACTTATTCATTTAAAGCATTTGAATTTAAGATAACGACACGGATATGTGAAATGTTGGTGAATGAATAGCTTTATTGGTGGCTTAAAAAATCATCGTGCTTTTATTGAGGCTGGTGGAAATTTAGAGACACAAAAAGAGAAAACTTTTTCCCTCTTCTTTTCGAAAAGAAATTCCCGAGCAACACAAAAAATTTATTTTGATGTCAAAGCGACTTGTAGATGGATTTTGGGATATTTTAAACAATGCTCATAATCCATCGAAAAGAAGCCATAACGGTGTTGCTGCATTGTTTAGTAGAAAAGCAATACTTTGACTAATAAATAACTTTTTGTCGGCAAACTTTGATTCCATTGCTCGGGATATGATAAAACTTTGAATAACTGTTGAAAATGTTCATTTTCCAAGTCTATATATGTACAGGAAGTACACTAAGTCTTCAATTTTCAAGAGCAAAGTATCATAAAGTCTGAAAGAATCACACGAGGAAGAAGAATCAAGAAGGAAAAAGTCACTCTTTAAAACAAAGTAAATTTTCATGATAAAAGAATGATGATCTTGTACATACAGACAGCCATAAAGCAAAAGTACAACATTTCACAAAGGATATAAAAAAAAATCTACAGAAACTTAATTATTTTCTTACCTACATTTTCCTTCTTTGATTTTCATCATCAACTTCTGATACACAGATTTGAGCTGTATCCGAAACAAAGAGCATAGTTTTGTAAACAATTAAAGAATCAACATGTTTATGCTCAACGTCAAAGAAAACAAACTACTATATAATGAAAGTAACTGAATGTAAATTAAAATACACTCAACAAGAGATTTTAAAAATAGAGGAATGGAAGATACAGAAATCATCCGACTCTTTATCCTTATTAGATTGCTAATTGAATTACTTACTGTAAAATGTTTAAATATAGACAAGAAACTCAATGAAAAATAAATGAGAAATCATTGATGATGCACATTATAAAGAGTCTTTTGTTGATTACTTCTTTAATATTTCAGAATTATGCAAGATCCAGTCAATTATTTTTGATGTTCAAGCGACAAACTATGCTGTTACTTTACTCCTTTATATCATGTTCTAGCTCTAAAAAATAATTCTGGAACAAACAGAACCTCCTCGAGCAAATCAGAGCATTGTTTTTCTTCTATTAAGATTTATTTTCTTTCATAATTTTTAATTGCATCCTTAATGGATGCATTTCTACAATTTATCAAAACGAATCCTCAAATTAAATCTTTTTAATTTCTAAAACCTTAATTAATTTATGCTGAAGAAAGTGGAAACTATCTTAAGTAAATATTGTGAAAAGATTTACATAGGAATTTCTTTATGGCAGTTGAGTTCACTTCTCATCGCTTATTCTCTTTAATTCTTTTTGAATGGCATCAATAATAGGACTTGCTGACATTGCTCGACTTCTATCAACCTTCAGATGATCATCATTTGTTGAACATGGTTTGTGGTAAATTCCTGCACTCATTGGACGAACTAAAGCTGATCCACTGCCTGATGTCCAAGCATGAATTGGGGTAATTGGATTTTGAGTTTGATTTACAGAATGATCTGCTGTTTTCGGTCGTGTTGTATGAAAATCTGTTCTTGATAATAATCCTGATGTTCGTGACGTTAATCTAAAATGAGGAATCAACTATGGCTTAATGGATTAAGCACAAAATCATGTAATGCTTACCTTATTGTTGCTGCAGATTTACCACGAGCTTCTTTTGACCTTATTACACCAGGCATCTGACCCAATTGATCATCATCCTGCTGATTTACTAACGAATGACAATTTGAGTAACTGGAACTGCCATATAGTTTCATTGCACCTTCTAAAAGACCCTCAAAGCGATTTCGTGTCACATGCGGATCACGTAATGGACTACTCAATGAATTTGTGGATACATCTAATCCTTTTTTATGCATTTCCCATACTATCGGACCCACAAATCCTGGATCAGCACCATCACTTTGTGTACATTGAGCGTCTCGTTCATTTTCGACATCAATGTCATCCGAATCGAGACTTTTCTGAGAGTTCATCATTCTGTAATTCTTTATTGTATCATAATCAGCATCAGAATGATCTAAATGGGTCACACTTACTGGCTCTAGCACGCGACTAAGAGGCTCAGGAACTGAACATCTAAAAAATAATAAAATTAAGTCAAAACGCTTAGCAAAAATTAAAATTAAAACTTCATACTTAGGAAAGCTTCTAATTGAAGCCATTGAAAGGAATGAGCCGATACTGTTTGTATCACCGGACGTTGCACCACGTTGATGCAACAACTCTTGGTTTACTGCTTCAGCACTTTTACTCGGTTTCGTCGATTTTCCTCTTCCCGTTGTCTGCTTTCGTTCACTTTCGATTACTGTAAAAGTTTTATCTGCCATTAATTTATTGGCATTATACTGTGACACATGGGGATTAAAAGCTTCGTTGTGCTTTAAGGAATCATTATTGTATCCAATATCGACATCACTTTGGTATTCGCTTCTATTAATTTGCTCTAATGAGCCCACGCGATTATCTCCACGATATTTACGACGATTACGATGCTTATGGACTTTATTTGAGTCTTTGCGTATGGAAAGTTTAGATGCTGAATTTTTGAGCTTTGCATAAATATCATCGGCATTTCCACCTTTTTCTTCTATTAGATCCTGAATGCTGTTGAAGTTATATCGACGCTTTGGATAATAAACTGACGAATCAGATGTTGTACTTGAGCTTGATGATGGACGGTAAGCAGGTGGAAGTGGAAAGTTTAGAATTGGAGGTTCCTTCCTCTGCATTCCATCACTTCCTTTCATTTCCCTCTCCTTTTCAAATGCTAAATTTTCCACACCAACATCATCCAGTGAATTCGATCGAATCGTGTTAATATCGTCGTCGACATTAATTTTTTGAACAAGTGCTTGAGTTGCACTTTGCCGTTTTGCCTCGATTGCAAGACGTCGCTTTGATCGTCCATACAGCAGTAAAGTGAGTAGTAATAGAACAAATAAAATAAATGCAAGTGTTATTAATGCAATTAGCAATGGATTCTGATTGACGTAGGTTTCCATTACACCAGACTCGTTTCTCATTTGTGGTGGAACTAAAGGTGTTGCTAATGGTTCCTTTAAATATGCTGGAAAAGATTTAAATTGTTTAATAAATGAATTTGGTTTAGACAGGAATTTAAGATTTTTTTTTGTATTGCTGGAAGTTGTTCATGTACCCAAGACAATAATAATACTCACGTTCAGCTTTCAGAAGAATATTGTTCTCCATAATTCGAATGACTTCATCAGTTGAGACTAGTTCCATGTCTTCAGCAGCTGTTATCGCAAGAACTGGCTTTCCTCGAACAGTAACGGAGTAGATAAGTTCAGTTTGATTGGACATGTGTGACAAATCAATTTTATTAGATGGAACGCTATCGTCATCTCCATGAGTAATGTTATGAATCCTGACAGAAACATCCCGCATGAAATTATTTCCAGCTTTAAGCTTCTTACTCTTACTTTTATCGTCATTCCTGTAAATTATTTCATATGGCGGTGGAACTTTTAAATGAATCGGTGGTGAAGTCGGCAGATCGCGTTTTGCTGAAACATGCTGACGTTTCATTCTCAACATTTGACGTTCATAAACATACTTGTTGATTTTAAAACTTTGTGTACGTATTGGCTCAGAGCCATTTACGAGAGTCTTTGTCGGTGAAATTTTCACCACTTTATTATTTTTGCTTGCAACTGAACGTTTCTTGCGTGCAGAATGCTCATCTACAGTTTCTTTTATTGTCGAATTTCCATTAGTAATGCCAAGATGTTTTGCTTGTTGCCTCAAAAATGCAATTCTATAAAGCTTTGCGAGCTTTTCCTCGAGAATTGGAAAATCATTTTTATTAAAAAGTCCCGTAATGACTGTCAACAGCCAATAACGTCGATCTGTTGATGGAATCTGATCAAATGACTCAACAATTCCACTTCCGTCAGGTTTTTTGTCACAATCGTAGACACAAAGTGGATCAAATTCATCAAAATTTCCATCGATGAAGATTGTTGCTAATATTGTAGCAGTTCTGACAACTGTGTTTGGATATTTAGTTCCAACGGATGATGGATCCTTTGGTTTTATATAGTTCGGACCATCACCCGAGCCCGTCCAAAAGAAATCTTGTAAAGGCACATCCTGTTCTGAAGGTTGAACTGAATTTTCTTCTAAATACCCAACTGGAATTACAAAAGAGAGTCAATGACACATTCATTCATGAAACTTTTTATGTCCCACTATTTTTATTTATCGATAAATCAGAAATTGTCTACAAAATAATGCCTACATGTTATTCCTATTTCCACAACAACAAAAATAATAAAAACAAAAAAATTAAGTACGTTAAGTCATTCAATAGAAACCAACCAGACAAATATTATACTTTTCGTGTATTTTTCAACAGCAACCGTCAACTGTAAGTCATTTTTGGGGGTAAATTATTTTATCGATATTTCTCGACATTAGATACAATCCAATTATATCAACATAACTCATCGGCTCATTAGTATTAAACCTACATTAACATAATTTAGTTTTGAATAGATAATTTTGCAAAATTATCAAAAGATTTGGATTGAATGATTACGCGGACTTATTATTGTGTTCATTAATTAGAATAGCACTAGTAAATTTTGATGTAAAAATAATTCATAGTCGGCATTTTGCTGGGTTATTATAACAGTACGATGTAAGTGAGGATAATTGTAGCTACTTCCTCAACTTTTCCATTCAATATTAAGTTAAACGAATCGACTTCGAGCTTTGTAAAACCAGTTTCTGGGGCTCTATAAGACAAATAGCTTTCTCGGGACGGAAATTCTTTTAAAGTGCTAAGGATGTAGCCAAAGATTTTTGAAAAAGAGTTCGAACTGCCTAGAAAATGAATTTTTGCATTAACATTGAATTGTTAAGTCTGAATTTTCAGTTTTTGTGTCGTAGCACAGAGTTTTAGAACGACTGTAATTTTTACGTTTTGGATATTGTGCTCCTCTAGTGCATTAAATTTTGCAAAAGTTAATCATCCAGCTAAATTTTATATGAGTTAAAAATTATTTAAAACTATGACTTACAGAGTTCGAATCTTTGAAGTTTTAAAACTGTTGTATAATAAATTCTTTTTTTTTCGGACACATTGTTAAATGTAGAGTTGACAGCTTATTATTATATTCACACCATTTTCACGTGTGAATCTATTGGTTTTGTTCAGATTGAAAAATCAGTTTTTCGCATTTTGTGAGAAAACAAAGCAAAATTGGTTATAAAAGGTCACAGAAGAAAAGTTTGTGCCTGAAATTTTACATCATTTTCAAAAAACAGATTTCAAATTGGTTGTGGCATTGCTGAGAAAATCGCAAAATACGCTTTCTGTAAGCAAACAAGCAAGCAAGTTAATCAGCAAGAAATCTCAATAACGAGACATCGTAGAGACTTCTAGTTTTTTACATTTGATACGTGCTGCTTTATAGCAGAGCTGTATTGTTTTTGGGCATGGTAGGAACAGCCGTTGCTTCAGAAAAAGCAAAAAAACTTTCCTTTCTTACGAATTTTTCAAATTAAAAGTTCACTGTGATTTTTTTTATTTTAAATTAAACTTTGGATGAAAAAAATTTTTTTGAGCAAAGAACCAAGTAGGAAATACATTTTCAATTATGAACTTGGGACATGTCCAGTCAAAATCAAGTTTTTCACTTTTTTTCTTCGAAGGTATATCCAATTACAGTGGAATTTTGTGTGAGTATACTAATATTTATACAAAACAGTTTTAAAGAAGCAGTTAAGTGCCTTGCTGGTCGAATAGGTAAGGCGCTTGGCTCAAATTTGGGATGGTAACTCGAAGGTCGTCGGTTCGAATCCAGCCATTTCCAAATTTGTTCTTTTTCGGAAGTTTAGATACTTCGACTGCTTAATGTACGAGATCAAGCCATAATTGGGCATTTGGGCAACGTTGGATTAAGGAACGGGTCAGGAACTTGAAGTGTAGCGGGAGAAATAGGAACGAGAGCTACAAGATTACCCACGAATGGAATATTGATAGAACGGACCTGAAAAGTATCACGTAACGCCTACAGAAGATCGAAACGAGAGCCTTAGTTTATTTGAAACCTAGATATGAAGATTAGAAGTTTGATCCTACATAATACTAATTTATATGAATACAAATACAAAAAAGTGTAAAATGTGAATTATTTCCGGACAGTATGTCGTCAATAAATGCAATAAAGTGCAATTAAAATGGAAAAAAAAAATCTAAAGCAAGAAATGTATTCTATATGTTGTTTGACCCAAATTTTATAAATTTGGTTGTACATTCAAAAACAACGTGACTTAAAATTTTGTCCAAAAATATGATTTTTATTATTTCAGAAATGTGTGACCTGAAAATTAGAATACTCATACAAAGTTTTACTGTATTTAGATTTATCCTCGAAGAAAAAAGTGAAAAACTAGATTTTGACTGGACCTGTCCCAAGTTCATAATTGAAAATGTATTTCCTACTTGGTTCTTTGCTCAAAAAAATTTTAGGATGTTTTATTTGTATTTGTTTTAAGCACTAGAATATTTATGCAAAGTTTCAATCCATTTGGATAAACCCTCGAAGAAAAAAGTGACAAAATTGATTTTGACTAGGGTCGCCCCTAGTCCAAAATTGAAAATGTATTTCCTACTTGGTTCTTTGCTCAAAAAAATTTTAGGATGTTTTATTTGTATTTGTTTTAAGCACTAGAATATTTATGCAAAGTTTCAATCCATTTGGATAAACCCTCGAAGAAAAAAGTGACAAAATTGATTTTGACTAGGGTCGCCCCTAGTCCAAAATTGAAAATGTATTTCCTACTTGGTTCTTTGCTCAAAAAAATTTTAGGATGTTTTATTTGTATTTGTTTTAAGCACTAGAATATTTATGCAAAGTTTCAATCCATTTGGATAAACCCTCGAAGAAAAAAGTGACAAAATTGATTTTGACTAGGGTCGCCCCTAGTCCAAAATTGAAAATGTATTTCCTACTTGGTTCTTTGCTCAAAAAAATTTTAGGATGTTTTATTTGTATTTGTTTTAAGCACTAGAATATTTATGCAAAGTTTCAATCCATTTGGATAAACCCTCGAAGAAAAAAGTGACAAAATTGATTTTGACTAGGGTCGCCCCTAGTCCAAAATTGAAAATTGATTTTCTATGGTTTACTTTGGTCAAAAACATTTTTTGGATGTTTCATTTGTATTTGTTTTAAGCACTAGAATATTTATGCAAAGTTTCAATCCATTTGGATAAACCCTCGAAGAAAAAAGTGACAAAATTGATTTTGACTAGGGTCGCCCCTAGTCCAAAATTGAAAATGTATTTCCTACTTGGTTCTTTGCTCAAAAAAATTTTAGGATGTTTTATTTGTATTTGTTTTAAGCACTAGAATATTTATGCAAAGTTTCAATCCATTTGGATAAACCCTCGAAGAAAAAAGTGACAAAATTGATTTTGACTAGGGTCGCCCCTAGTCCAAAATTGAAAATGTATTTCCTACTTGGTTCTTTGCTCAAAAAAATTTAGGATGTTTTATTTGTATTTGTTTTAAGCACTAGAATATTTATGCAAAGTTTCAATCCATTTGGATAAACCCTCGAAGAAAAAAGTGACAAAATTGATTTTGACTAGGGTCGCCCCTAGTCCAAAATTGAAAATTGATTTTCTATGGTTTACTTTGGTCAAAAACATTTTTTGGATGTTTCATTTGTATTTGTTTTAAGCACTAGAATATTTATGCAAAGTTTCAATCCATTTGAATAAACCCTCGAAGAAAAAAGTGACAAAATTGATTTTGACTAGGGTCGCCCCTAGTCCAAAATTGAAAATGTATTTCCTACTTGGTTCTTTGCTCAAAAAAATTTTAGGATGTTTTATTTGTATTTGTTTTAAGCACTAGAATATTTATGCAAAGTTTCAATCCATTTGGATAAACCCTCGAAGAAAAAAGTGACAAAATTGATTTTGACTAGGGTCGCCCCTAGTCCAAAATTGAAAATGTATTTCCTACTTGGTTCTTTGCTCAAAAAAATTTAGGATGTTTTATTTGTATTTGTTTTAAGCACTAGAATATTTATGCAAAGTTTCAATCCATTTGGATAAACCCTCGAAGAAAAAAGTGACAAAATTGATTTTGACTAGGGTCGCCCCTAGTCCAAAATTGAAAATTGATTTTCTATGGTTTACTTTGGTCAAAAACATTTTTTGGATGTTTCATTTGTATTTGTTTTAAGCACTAGAATATTTATGCAAAGTTTCAATCCATTTGGATAAACCCTCGAAGAAAAAAGTGACAAAATTGATTTTGACTAGGGTCGCCCCTAGTCCAAAATTGAAAATTGATTTTCTATGGTTTACTTTGGTCAAAAACATTTTTTGGATGTTTCATTTGAATTGACATAATTCTGACATAAATCACATACCATTATTACTTTTTGTAATGCATAGCTTTAAAAAAAACGAAATCTAAAATTTCGACTACCCCATCTGAATTTTGTTCATACTCTTCACTGTGGAAACCAAAAAACAAATTCTTTATCTTAAAACACTTGACAATATAGCGACATAATTCAGGATTAATTACTTTTTAATAATATTTTAACATTTACGAGAAAATGTGGTTCAAATAAGTGTGAAGTATGGCCGAGATTTGGACCAAAATCAGCTATACTGGTTCATAGTGTTCCCGAGGGTGACAAACTTCAAACTAAGTGTTTTTGTAGCTGACATAATTATAACATAAATTAGGTATAACTTTTGAACTGTGTCGATATGGGTCTCGGTCGTACTTCACGCCCACCCTTCAAACTTATGCTGAGCAAATCTTGGTCTATCCATAAGACTTTTGATGGTACGGTGTGAATATATCCGCATTGGGTTTCTACCCGATACACTAGTTAAATATTAATTTCTCAGTTCCAAACCCTCCTCAAACCACAAAAGGAAAATAATAAAACTAAAGCGCTTCTAGTTCAAAAAATATTTAAACTCACATTTGGGCAAATCCACGAAACAAAAAATTTTTTTTAACAAAATTTTTCAATTCAAAGTAATTATTTCTCTCTTATGTCACATTATTCAAAAAGATTGAATGTTTTAATAAATGCAATGATGTGAATAGAAGAACATAAAAAAAATTTGCTTCTCTATAATCGTTAATTAAAGAGAAATTTGACTTTTTGTAAATCTTCCTGAGTCACATTTTAGCGGAAAACATCGAAAAATTCAATTATCTCAAAAAATATAAGTTTTTAAGCGACATTGATCATCAAGATCTGTTCTTTTCATGTTGTAGCATTAGATAATTTAGCAAAATGTAAATGCTTAGTGGAAATTTGCTGATAAATTAATTAATTTCCTGAAAATTTTCTTCCTGAGTCACACAAAACGCTTTGCCACAGAAATATACTAGTTCAAATTTTTCATAACCGTTAAAATATTTGAATTGCAAATTTCCGTTAAATTTTGTTGACATATTCGAGCTCAAATCTTATTCAATTTTCGATAATTAATTAAATTTTAATTAAATAGATGTTCCCGATGTCTTTTAATGACTTTTAAATAATATTAACTGTGCTTTAAATTATTTTTTAGATTATTTTCAACAAAAAGATAAACAAATAATAACGGTTTTCTATTTTTCAAAAAAACTTTAAGCAAGTAGAGGAATAATTACAATGCGATTTTTTGTAATTCCACAGCTTCGTGGATTTGCCCATTTGCTATACAAAAATTGTCATTAGTGGAAGTAACAATTGTATCTATTCCACATATTTATTGTTAATAATACACGTGAAGTTAATCTTCTTTTATTCAATGTTCGTCCATTCTATTACCTTTGGCATTAAATGAGGATATGTAAACATTAATTTTCCCTTTCACTATTCACCAATGGTGATTTATCGGCTCACCGATGCCCTACATTACGGCAGCATATACTTGAATTTAATGTAAATGGTAAAGCTAGTAAAGAAAATTACTGACAGATGTTAAAGATTATGCCTATGGCTTGTGAATTTACTGACCTATGACCTATTAAAGTTCTACCAATTTTCACGGTTTTAGGCTCAAAAAATTGATTCGTTGTTCTGTGACTATATAATATTTATTTTTAGCTCATCAATGAAGGATATACTCATTGAAAATGTTTCTAGTTTTTCGGATCATTGTCGAGTCTTTAGATTATGCTGATATAGATCTAGAACATTAATGTATGTCTAGCATTTATTTTATTTTATTTATTTATTTACGTGTTTTTGTAGAAATGAGGAATTGCATTGAAAAATCACGTAATAAACTTCTTATTGCTTAGGGGTCGTTAATAAATGATGTTCAAATACTATTTTCTGACCTCCAGCTCTTGTGACACAAACTGGTTCATACTGACTCATAAAAAAATAATTAAGAGTCACATATTGTATTACTACATCATTTATGAACGACCCCTTATGAAAAATATGGAAATAAATGAGGTGCACGCTGTCTTAGAACATAAAACTAAGGAGGAAAGTAAAGAAATCAATCCTTGATTCCCGCTTCCTGAGAAATTCCTAAAAATAATATTGTATATATTACATTGCGTGATATTCTGTGCCTGTCACGACTATTTATTCGGGATTGAAGTAAATTTGAATTGTGCTTCAATTTCTTAAAAGTGAGCTTCCGCATTCTTACTCTCTAGTGGTATGAGTGAAGTCATTGATAGTTCTATGTTGGATTAGAACGCATTTTTGGATTAATTTGAAGTTGCAAACAGATGCAAGCTGTTATAAAGTAAATCATGAATGATCTCTCGATGATCAAATAAAGTTTAAGAAAGAAAACTCTTTAAAGAATGACATTTTAAGTTATTATCTTTCCTAACCTACTTAATTGTGCAATTCAGCTTAACTCAAACGGAAGTTCATTCCAAATTTTGAATTTAATACTTGACTTTTAGATCAAAAAAGCTTGATTAAATCTTAAAATTAAATGAATTAATAAATTTTAATATTCTGCTCGTTTCATTCGAACTGGATCTTTATATTATCAAACTTTGAGCTACTTAGCATAGGTTTCTATTATATTTATGATGAACACAAGCTTCCAGTAATGAAACTTTTTATTAAAGTCAAAAATTGAAAGTTTTTAAAAGTTTTCAAACAAAGTTTTCAGAACCTTTATTTGATTCATTTAAAAAGGTTTTTAACTCAAAATAACAAAGCTGTGACTAAAATTTAAATCCTTAAATCAGTATGTGGATAACCAGACATAAAAGATCAAATTTTATGACATTTATCGACCATGCGTCTATGTATTGTATGTATGTATGATTTATTAAACCTTTTCGGTTGACGAATTTAATTCCTTTTTTCTCTCTTCTCTCCTTTAGAAAAGGAAAAAGCCTCCTCAAACAATACTTAAACTGTCTGGTTTTTATTCAGACATCTTATCAAGTGTTTCACTCGAAGATGTTTTAGATTTTCAAAAATCTTAAAAAACTATCTGCAGCGCCATCAATAAATCAATTAAGACATCATGAGCTGCACGTGAACTATTGAACACAGTAATTCCAAAAAATCATGCTAACGAGTGTCAATAAAAGTTCAATGGACAAGAAATAATGAAGTTACACATGCTGATAACAAAAGTGATCTATAGAGATTTATCTAACTGTAACTGACACTTTATTCTATAATAATTTCCCAATTGTTTCCGCTCATTTAAGTTACACAAAAAAAATAGTAAAAAAATGAAGAATTCACGTGTATTACAAATAGACAGACAAGCATCAACAAAAGAATAAATTTCTCATTTATTTAAAATATAAATAAAATTGACCCATCTGAGGGACATTAGCCAATTCAAAGATTAATTTTGAAACTTATTTTTTTAAATATATTCTATGACAGTTTTGTTGCTGGATATAAATAATACAGAAAAAAAAATAAAAATAAAATGAAAAATTGAATGGAATGCGCTGATGTGCTGATGCTATTAGCTTATTGTTTGGTTTTGTCCAAGCAGATTTTTTTAGTAGTGCTTTTTGAACCGGAAACAAAAAAATAAGTTAAAAAATAAGTGACGCATGTCGTCAGACGAGGTCAGCAAATAAATTATTACGCGAAATGTGATAAGATTTATGACTAAGTCACTTGATCATACCTGACTGGCGATAATGTCTAGTGCTATCAAAATCCAATAGTAATCCACTCCTTAATAAATTTGCAATAAAAATTAATTGTGTAATTTTAAAAATCATTTTCTTTTATTTCTTTTGGGTATCAAAAAAGGTCACTTTTGAACTTGACTTGAAAATTCCTTTAAACTTTCACATTTTTCATTTTCATTTAAACTTCCAGTTCATATTCACAATTTAACTGCATTTGCATTGAATTCCCGAAATTCTTGTATTCCATCCGATCAGCACAAATTTAATTTCACAACTGAATGCAAAAAATATTTTACTAAAATAATTTAGAACTTTTTTTTTATATTTTATTCTATATCCAGAAACATTAATGGCACAGGTGTGTTAGTTGAATTCACGTTGCCATAGTAGCGATCAACTTTTTATTATTTCAAGTAAAAATGTGGAAAATACTCACCACAGCACTTTAATTTACTACATCCATATGTGTCACATGTTTTATTAGGAACAATTGTGTTTTAGGGAATTTTTGAAGGATATTGTGCATCCAGAAAGTCCTATACAGAGTTGTCACCTATCGAATTCCTATCAAAGGCCAAAATCTATCCCAGGCATTACCTTTGTATAGACAGAAATTTTTGCCTTTGCCTACACATGCCTAGTCAAAGGCAATACCTAGCCAAAGGCATTACCTAGAAATAGGTGTGCCTAGCCAAAGGCAAAAATGTGTGGTTAGTCAAAGGCAATACCTAGCCAAAGGCAATACCTAGCCAAAGGCACTGCTTTTGAAAAATTAAATCTTCTATAGGAATTGCCTTTTACCTTTAGTCTTACTCGTTGCGTTTTTTTTTAAATTTAAAACACCTTTTTTTCTTAATTTGAATTTATTTGAGCATAATAGTGAATCATACCTTCTTTTAAACCTTTAATTTGCTACGTCAAAAATTTAAAAAATTTAATTTGTCGTTATCAAAAATTTTGTCGCCTTGGATAAATCAAAATTCGGCGTTTCAGTCATTTGGAGGGGGTCTGTAGTTTTTCAATGGTTCAAACAAAAGAAATTTTGCATTATTGTTCAAAAACTCCACGAGTAAGTCTAAAGGTAAAAGGCAATTTCTATCGTAGATTTAATCTTACAAAGGCAGTGCCTTTAGCTAGATATTGCCTTTGACTAGGCACACTTTTTTGCCTTTAGCTAGGCTTGCCTATACCTAGACTATGTTAAACTAAAGCTGCATTGAAAAAGGGGCCGTTCACTTATTACGTTCGCATTTTAGGGGGGAGGGGAGGTTTGAAAAATTGTAACAAAATGTAACATAGGGGGGGGGGGGGTGTCAAGAAGAATGTAACGTTCTAACTGTCGTCTGTCTTTTTTAAAAAAGTTTACGAAAAAAATTTCGGGGTTGCGAGTTGTAACATGTTGTAACAAGGGGGGGGGGTGAAAAAAGTCGGTTTTTTGCGTAACGTAATAAGTGAACGGCCCCAAACTATGTTAAAGATATTAGAAATATATCAACGGGTTTTTGAGATTCAAATACTTTTTTTTGAACTTTAGCAGTATAAATTCTGAACTTTGATTTAACGGCTATCTGAAATTTGAATAAATTTTTTGAACTTTAGTAAAACGTTTTTTTTTTTAAATTTGAAGAAAACAAATTGAACCTTATTTTAACGGCTTTTCAGAACTGAATTTTCAAATCACAAGAAACCGTAAAAATCTCTAAAATTTAATTCAATTATAATTTCAAACTCAATTGACCTCCAATGACAGCAATAATAATTGCAACGTAGCTGAAAGATAAGAGCGAGTGTGACAAAATTCACAAGAAGAATAATTAGGAACACATGAATGTTTTATTCATATCAGCAAACTGACACACATTTTCTCGAGTTTATTAGAACATTTTTCTAAGTTTACTTCTTGACATGCATGCACGATAATTTGGTAGACATGAAAGTTGAATTGTTATCCAAAAAAAAAGTTTTTTTTATTCGTCTATTTACAAATTTTTGAATTGAAATTTTTTCCGTAATTTCAATAAAAAGTTCAATTAAAGAATCGATTTACTAAAAAATAAAATGAAAGTTCTTTTTCAATAAAATAGTTAATTTAACTAATAAAATATAGAAGCGTTTCTCATTTTTTCTTCTTCCTTCTTCTCTCATCTAAACTTTGTTATAAATGAAAAATCTTAAATTTTGTGGTGTTTTTTTTTCTTCTGGGAACTGTTGATCATTTCTAACGTCAAACTTTTAATCCGCAAAATGTTTGGTATATTTTGTGTTATGTATTAAAATTCGTATAGAATATGGCTGTAAGTTTATCGGAATAGTCGACAAAAGTCCTGAAGCTCGTGTAAAATTTGACGTGTACTAACGCCACTCCTGAAAATAAATAAAACACATAATTATTAGCAAAAAGTATATAGTTAAAATATGATAATCAACTTACTTAGTGACATTCAAGAAGAAGGCATTCATCTGCTCATCAGTTGCTGTTACTGATCCACCGGCGTTTTTTCGTGGCAATTGATTCAACGATTTCTTTAATGCATCATTAAATGTCTCACAATTAATGCTTTTCATTTCCATCATTACATCCACAACATCAGAGAGCATATCCGAATGTAGATAAAATATTGATGCATAAAGTAAATTTCCAACAATTCCTTCACCATGGGTTTGGACGATGTGATGAACAAAAGGCCGAATTGAGGGATCTCCATTGATTTTACCGTGTGATAATAAATTTGTAAGGAACTTCATAACAGACGTGTTGGCATCTCGGTGATCTAAAGTGCATGCTAATGTCGCACATTGAATAATTGGCGTAACAAGTTGACTTTGGAGGAAATTTAATGGCATTCTTTGAATGAATCGAACAACAAGTCTGAAGAAGTCATCAACTGTATCAGGATTATTCTTCAAACCATTTTCAGCTTGGAGTAAATTGAATGTTGGTTCAATGAAAGCCTCCAACATATGCAAAAGTCCATTAATGCATCGACCATCTTTTCCAAATTCATCGACTAGAATACTACCAAGATACAATAAGCAGCTATGCTTGTGTGATGTATAAACATTCACCATTTGTGTTACTAAGGATTCAAGAATTGGCAAAGCATCATGTGATATGCATCGAATGCCATAACGAATACACCTTACAATCCTTTCAATAATTTTTTCAGCATCTTTATAATGATCGAGCATTTTCGACAAAACTGGCCAATTATCTCTAGTTATCACGATTGTTGCTGGATTTGTTTCATTCTCACCAATTTTCGGTATCATATATCGATAAATTGCAGCTAGTCTATCAATCCATGGTGATGGATCCTTCTTTGTTGTACTTTCCATTAGCATGCATAGATGAGTAACTTGATAATTACATAATTGTCTCATAACTTCCGTAACTCGTTCATTTGGTAAACGACTAACCGTTGTTGATATTCCTTTTAATAATGCTATTGCCGCATCGTCTTGCACTTCAAACATTTCCAAGCATCGAGCAATTTCAAGCAATCCACTCACATGATTAATCATTTCCCTATGACATGATGTACATATTAATTGAAGTGATTGAGCAGCTGCTGATGCAAGTCCTGCTTTTCGCTGAAGTGCTGCTAATAAAAAGTTCAATACAGCTTCCAATGTTGATGGATGTGCTGATATCCAGTCACATAATTGTCCTAATATATTTACAGATGTATAACGAATAGCAATATGACAAGTTTCGGGTAGATTCAATATAGCTTCAATGACTTTTGGAACAATTTTTTCCTCTTTCACGTCGAGATTGCGTGCTACACATTCCATAATAAATAGAGCTGCCTCTGTCGCTTCCCATGTCACGCCGGGATTTTGTAAAATATTAAACATGTGTTGAAAACACTTTTTGCTCCTCACGATAAATGAGACGTCCTTTATAAGTTCTAATACTTTAAAGCGGAAGTCCTAAAATAAATAAAATATTGAAAACGTTTAGAAAGTTAACGGTAAATAATTATTTGAAATTTTGAACTTGTTCTAGTAAAACTGAATGATTTTTGAAAATAAAAATAACGGAAATACTTACATAGAAAGAGTCCTCCTTATTGATTAGTCCTTCGTGATCAGCATCCAGTTGACAATGCTTAAATAGTGCTTCGATGAGTCTCTCAATGTAGCTCTCGAATATTGCAGTGTGTGCATCATCATTTTTGTGATAAAGATCTTCACTAAGTCGGTACCATAAAGTGAATGTTATCTGTGCGAGTTCAAAGTCGAAATGTCCAACGCAAAGGATAAGCATGTCTAAGGCTTTAATTGAGTAGTGAGGATTGGCTGGTGTACTAGAGTTTACAATACGTGGCAAAAATGTTTCTGCTAACACAGTAAAAATTCGACACAACACCATGCACTTATCAGCATCTTCATTCATGACTGCATTTTGATAAGCACTTTCTAGTTGCAGGACTCCCATAAATATATTCTTTTCTAATTCATCTGATGTACGTTCTAAAATTATTGCTTCTAAAATAGCACAAACACAATCGGATGCCACTTCTAATTGCTTCTCATTCGTTAATCCAGATGGATCGGCTAGAATTTTAAAAGCATAAAGGAACACAGCTGAATTTGCGGCATCATCCAATTTGATACAATCCATCTTAATCCAAGAATTAAAACATTGAATAATATCGACATAAATGTGTTGCAGGACATTCGCATCACCAATCATGATACACGATTGAAGGAAATTGAGTATTATTGGTGAACTTGTATCGAGCTCATTGAGAATTTGTTTTCGTCTATTTTCACCGAGCCTTAGATAGCGTGCATCTACTTCCTCGGGTAAAAATGTGAGCAACATCAAGAGTGGCTGGAGGGAATCTGAGTTGTGTGAAAACTTTTCAACTAGATTTGATACAGGCTTTTGCCATGAAGCCATCAAAAGTACTAAATCAGCTAGTGCCAAGCACAGTTGTTTTGCTATCGTTGGATTTGTGTTAACTGTAATATGCTCAATGTGTGATATTATAGAATCTCGTAATGATGCATAATCGGATTCGTGTAGTTCGTGAAACGAATGTTGAATTTTACTCCTTAATGTCTGTGCTGCATAATAGCATGAATGAATATCCCGCTTTTCCGCTAATAAACGATCCGAAATTTTCCATGAATAAATCTACGAAAAATTATGAAATTGAAGAAAATTAGAAAATCGATTTTACACTATAATACTAATGATAGACTTACCGAATCTTGTAGTTTTGCTAGATATTTAGATGCTCCTTCCTTTTTTGTGACGTCTGGATTTCCATACAGGTCATAAATATTCTTTAAAACATCCTCAATTTTTGGTTCTTCTTCCATTTTTTTCTATTTACACTTTTTCCGCTTTACACAAGTTATTAAATGTTGATTCCTACTTAAACATATGCCAATTTTATCCTTAGTACGTCCAATATATTTGAAACTCTTCCTATGTTAATAGAGAGTTTTTTAATTCAATTTTTCAATTTTTTTTTAACTTCTACGTTTGAACTTAAATGAGACGAACTTTGCTTTCTGATTATTTTTTGAATTTTTTACGTCAGTTGACTTTGATCTTCTGTTTTCTGTACTAATGCCAAGCTTATATCTTCTACAATCTTATATACTCATTTTAGTCAGGTAGAAAAAGGATGTTTGCACAATAATCTTATGCAAATCAGCTTGTAATTCTCAAAATAACGACAATTTTGTGCAATTCACAATATTCGCATGGAAGTCAGGTACAGAAAAAAAGTTTATCGTTAAAAGCTCATTGTATCTTTTATTGACACATTTGTTTAAAGACTTATTTGAATATTTATTGAAATTAAAGAAGTAAACTCTAAAATAGATAGTAATTATGTATAAAAAGTTTCAAAAAAATAACGAACAAAATGAAATTTAAATATCGTGAATGCGTTTGGTAAGGTAGATGTATTTGAATAAAAAAATAACCGTCAATAACTGAAAAAAAGAGTGTGTTCAGTGAACAATAGAATTTTGAATTTTGGAGATTGCACATAAATCGTGTTGTTAATTAAAAATCTAAATTTTAAAGCGGATAAATTACTATTATTAAGTTACATGCAACATTGCTGAAGGGATTACTAGCTAGTACATCATAAAAACCATGGAAAGCTGTAAAATAGAAGTCGGAAATAGTGTAAATATCAAAAGAAGTGATGGTGAGTAGAAAAAAAAATTATTTTTTTCCGATCTTTCTTTTTCAATTCTAAATGACAAAACGGGTTCTTCTGACGAAACTCTAATTATCTCGAAAGTCAATTTCCTCTATGGCGTAAGAAGTGAGTCATACAAAAGCCCACGAATGGCATTACTGAATGCAAATTGCAAAAGTTGAAACAAACATCTTGCAAGAATATTAAGAAGAGGAAAAAACACAAGAAAAAAAAATATAAAGTATTCAGGCCAGTAAACCCGACTAGCATAAATCAGAAGAGAAAAATTTACATAGAAAATAGTTTTTCGATTACCAATTACCTTACCTATATATTTCCCTTTCGTTTACACGACAAATCTCTGTGACAAATTGTTGTATACGCGAATGATGTTGGGATGATGACGAAAGAAGTGGAAAAAGTAATCTTTTTTTGGAAATGGCATGTATCATCGTTTTATAGCGTAATTGCATTTATAAATACAAAATCTCTTTCACTCTAATTTTTTATTTTCAATAGTCATTACTACTTCCATAAAAAGTAGCAATAATGAGTTTTGTGGTTGTGTTTAGTGCATTATCATGCAATCCTTGCCTTCACTCATGTCTGTTGAGTTGTTTTTTGTGTAACATGAAAAGATACAGCCCATCCAAAAAATTTTGCATCACATGCTTAGTCTTTCTTCTTACTTAATCTCTTGCTGAATTAAGTTGGGTGTCTAACATCTATTTTTTTTATGACAGTTCATGCAATAAGGCACAAAGCATACGATAATGAATACTTCTATCCATTGACGTTTTTTTTCGCCCCACAAACATGTAAATTATTCATTAAATCCAAACTACTGGCTTTGGTGTAAATAAATTACACTGCTTTTGATTCAATCAGTAACGTTATGTGAAGGAGCTCCAAATTTTCTTCTCTCCTTCCTTTTTCTTTGCTCTATGTGCAAAGCTATTTTCTTTCATTATTATTCTTCTTCGTCGTCCGTTTATTGCAATGAGTTAATGCCTTAGCCCTATGATTACGACTTGTTAATCGACATTGTGCGAGGAATCAATCTAAATACTGTTTGGGAGTCGTTTGCTAATTACGTCGCGTAATATATAAAGTATCTTAATACTTCTACATTGTTAATGTGTATGAAGTGTTGATCTTTTATGCCGGACCATTTAAAGTGCAATTTAAGCTTTTTGTATGCTTTGCGCAAATCATAAGTGCCAGGTTTTAAGACTTGTTCCCTATAAAACAAATCCTGAGTATTACATTGCTTTACACTACCAAATACTCTCTAGTATAGGACTTCTGTTGAACTTTTAATAGAAATCATGTGTGAATTTCTCCTCATTTTATGCAAATCAGTGTATTATTACCTCAAAATTGTCGCATGGGTCAATAACATACAATAAAGAGCTTGATTTGATCTGATTTGTTTTTTCCTCTATGTGATTAACAAGATGAGAATTGATATGCATGCATAGAATGTGCATTTCTAAATAGAAAGAATGGCAAAAGGATTGGATATAAATAAAAATGTATCGTAAGCGACCGCATGTTTAAGTGATTTTACAAATACAATTAAAGCCAGCCCAGAAGTAGTGAAACGAATTTAACATGCATGATACAGTCAATATCTCCATATTTTTAATATTGTATACTGTATGTATATTATAAGCATCGACGACGACGACAACAACAAGCGAACGAGCAAGCCAAGAAAACTGTTTAGACAATCGATAATCTTGAGCATAACCAAAAAAGGAATTTATACACCTCCAACAACCAACTGTAGCAAAAATACAACACACATGATGCTGTCATACAATCACGTATATCTCGTGTGTAGAAATGAATTTAACTATAAATTTTTGTGTCTGCTTCATACTCAGGCCTTAAGAGTTTGACTCATCTGAAGGCTTCTATTAAGGGTTGGTTGATAAATGACGTCAAGCAAAAGGGAATAGTGAGTTTGATGCTGCATAGCATTAAAGCTTGATGATAGGATAAATAGAGTTTTCAAGAATACAATTTTCAAATAGACATAACTTGTGAATCACCCCTAACGTCCCAAAAAAATATTTATTATTATTTATATGAATAGTTTTTGATGTCATTTGCCGCAAGGTTCTCTTTTTGTCTCTTAAAAAAGTAAAATTAAATGGCCAACGATCACCAAAAAATATTTTCAACAGACTTGCTGTTTATTTATTTACTCTTCTTTCACTTCTCTTTCGCACATATTTTTAACTGTCTCCTACAAACATAAGAATATATTCTTATTCTTCACATGCTGCTCCACATACTACTTATTTTTTATTTTTTTTTAAACGAGCGAACAAAAAAGCGAGCAATTTTTTTTACTAATTGAATGTTAATTCCATATACAAACAGAAATGGATTTTCTAAAGATATAAAAAAATAAAATCTGATTCACGTATGTGCTTTATGGAGAAATGAGCTATTAAATTTCGTTAGTTTGCGTTATCTATTGTTACGAGGCAAAATTTAACTAAGTGAGAAGCGCAGCAGTTGGTATGATTCGGATAACGTTCTCTTCATTTCCCTTTCGATCCCCTGAAATTGTTGCTTATAAAATCAATTTTCGTATGTATTTAAATTTTGTTGAGTGATTTACGACTAGAGCGCATATCTATTTTGGGTAAGCATATTTAATGCTGGAGATTTAGTAAAATGAGATTTAATTTTTAAGCTTGAGTTTTAACGGATTTATTGAATTTGAATTTTATACCGTGAGTTTTTGAACTTCGACGGTTAATGGGCGATTCTACGAATGATTTTTTCTACAAATTTGTCTCCAAATCTATATTTCTTTTTATCAGTTGCATTACTCCCCATGTTTCATGTATTTAATAGTAGATTTTACCGAGATCTACATATTGTTCTCACCCAAACATATTAAAAATGGTTAATTAAAGAATTATTTACATTCTACGAAAAATTACTCTGTTTCACATGAATTTTTTCGCCCAAATTTCCAAAATTTTTTCATTAATATCTTTAAGGTGGTAAAATTTCCAGTAATACTAAGTATACAAAATTATAGCTTAAAGTAAAAGCTTCAAAATGGTGTCAAAATCATATTTATGGAAGCCTTAATTAAGCTGCAATTTGGATTCTACGAAAAATTTCATAAGTGAAACAGAGTAATTTAGAGACAATTTCAAGCCATAAGTAATTTGAGTGCAGATGTAATCATAATTCACAGTTTAACCAATAGAAAAGGAAATGAGAATTAGATTTTTGAAAAACTATTTATTTTCATGAAACCTTTTTGTAGAATTGCCTTTATCGATAAATTCAAATTTTTGAACTTCAACTGTTTTTCTACAAATTTTTTGAGTGTTTTGTATTTTCCCGAAAAGCAAAATAACGAAAAACCATTTTTAAGAATTTTCAATTTTTTGCATGTACATTTTTACGAAAACTTTTATAGCAAAAACTTATAGGATACTATGGTACGCCAACGAGTCCTTATTTTCGATATTGAATTTTTTTGGGACCTTATTTTCGAGCATAAGTTCAAATTTTTTTCACACGCTAAATTATTAATGTCTAATATCTCTAATTAATAGTTTAAATATTTGTTTTTCATCATCAAAATGTTAAACGAATCCACTCAAATGTAATGAATCATTACTGATTTACTAAACAATTAGTGCAAGTGAATTAATAACATTTTTATTTCCAATGTAAACAACAAAAAAAATTTATAATATTTTTGAAAAAAAAGCATTTTAAACTAATGTTTGCTGCATTTATCACCGATTAGACGATTAAATTAGTGTTAAAAGACATAGTAGAATGATTTAATTCTGTAATCATAAGTAAATTAAGTCAAAAATTGCGAAAAATTGAAATTTTCATAAAAAAAAGTTTTTCGAAATTGCGAAATTTTGTTCGAAAAACATTCGAAACGAGTTTGAATTTATTTCGAATCAACGTTGACAACGTCTCTTGGCACATCATAGATAGGATAAAATTTGAATCTCAAAAAACTGTTGGATAAAATCAAATATTAGGACAATCAAAACTAATTTCATCATTTAAATGCGATTAGACATGATAATAATTAATAATAATTAATGAAATACAGGGTGGTTATAAATAGAATCTGGCCTTTTTTAAAAATATGTTCACGTGTACAATGTGTGGCAGAATTCATATGTTGGCAGATAATATATGTCACACATTGCATATGTGCACATATTTTATGTGTGATGTGTGCACATGTTTGATGTGTGACACATTATTTTGTGTCACATATGAAAATGTGTGATGTGTGACACATATTTTTTTTTTATATAAAAAATTAATAAATATGTGCAGATTTTGCATGTTCACACATGATATCTACACACAACAATATGTGTCACACATCACACATTTTCATATGTGACACAAAATAATGTGTCATACATCAAATATGTGCACACATCACACATAAAATATGTGCACATATGCAATGTGTGACATATATTATCTGCCAACATATGAATTCTGCCACATTGTACACATGAACATGCAAAATGTGTTGGATATATGTACATATTCTGTAAAATAGAATATGTGTTAACAATCCTGATGAAATATAAAGGATTAATATAACTGCAAAAAAGATTTGTATTTATTTGAATGTGAAATATTTTTTCTATAAAAATTTTATTTTGCTATAATTTTTTTTCATGGAATTACCCAAAAAATAAGAAAATATATTACACATTTAAATAAATGCAAATCTTTTTGTAGTTCTATTAATCCTTCATCTTATAATAACTATTATATCATATCTAATCGCATTTAAATGATGAAATTAATGTTAATTGTCGTTTAATGTTTGATTTAATTAACGGTTTTTTGAGATTCAAATTATATCCTATAAGTTTTTACCATAAAAATTTTCGTAAAAATGTACATTCGTAAATTTGTAATTCGTAATAACGGTTATTCGTTATTTTGCTCTTCGGGAAAATACAAAACACTCAAATTTTTTAATTATTTAAAATTCTTGAAAAACTAAAACAGGCAGCATTGCACTCAATATGACATTCAATCAGAAAAGAGTACATTAATTTATTTGTTTACAAAATCGAGGTGTCTAAGAACTTGAAATACTAACACGTATCTTTGAAAAGCTAGCAGAATTTATAAAACACAAAATCGAGACAATTTTGACACAAATAAAAATAAAACAATAAGTTACGAGATATTCTATGAATGAAAAGAAAACAAAATTGCATAAATAATATTTTAAAATCGATTTTATTATTTCTATTTTCATTTATTTCTCGCTGCAGTTTGAAATAAAAAAGATCACACACAAGTTTGAAAAAATAAAAATAAATAATCCAAATTACATCATTCTACTTCTATTGGATGGAACGAGAGACAAGATACTAACAAAGCGTAATTTATTGAATGATGAGTAATTACAATTGAGTCATTTATAAGGCAGGTGCATGTATCCAATGCAATTTAATTTTAATTTATAACGATTTGATGCTTCTGCCGCAATACCATGGGAGATTTTCACATGATTTGTGCATAAATTGAATAATTGAAAATTGAATTTAATTGCATCGATCAAGATCATGCGAGACAGAGATGGAAAGTTTATAAAGATTAAATGCTGCTACGGTTCTAATCGACAAATATTTTCTTTTAATTAGATTTCAGTTCCGTCAATTAATTTTCATTTATATTTTTAATTATATTTGACCATACTTAGTTAAGGCTTTTTAATAATATAATAATACATACTGTGGTGTATGTGCGAGAGAGAAAAGGATGGAAAGTGTAGGAGTAAGCACTGGAAGTAAAAATAAATGCTCGTTGTGACTCAGATAGAGATCTTGGAAAACAATAAAGAAAGAAGTGGAATTGAGGGATGCGTGCAACAGTGACGTCATTATTAATTCATAAAATAAAGTTGTTACATCGGAAATGCCCAAATAGGCATGATAAATATCATTCATAATGCATCGTGGTCTCATTTTTTTGGATGGTTTTGTCGAAGCATGCTCGTTGTCATTATTTTGTCGCTTTAACATCTTCTAGAAGTAATTTTCTTTGTTCTAAATGTGTGACTTCACTGCAGACTAGAATTGAAAAAGATCCTTTACTGGAACTGACTGCAATCTCAAAAAATGATCGTTATTTTACTGTTCAAAATTTAATACCAAGTCTGGAAAATGCGTTTCCATGAATCATGAAATACAACGTCTACGCTATTTTTACTGTGCATTAACTACATTTTCCGATAATAAACGACAAATAATTCCCAATAATTATAACAGCAAATTCTCTATTGAATTTCTTCTCTGCTCACTGCCGGTGCTGTATTTTTATTGTTTTTTTCTTCCTCACTATTTTTTTTTCAAGAAAAAATCAACTGAAAACGGGCTCGACACATTCAAGCGTATGGTATACACGAAAAAGCATAACTTTTTATTGATCAAACAGCCAAAAAGCACGAAACAAGCGCGAGGTGCACAACTCACTAGACTGTTGAGAATTTAACAAAAAAAAAGTTTTTTTTTTATATTTTTAAGTTTAGTTGATTTTTTCTGAATGAATCGAGTGGAAAATTAGGGCTGTTTCATGCCTGTCTATCTAAGAGAATAAGGAATAATAATAAGAGACAATCCTTTGGGAACATAATAATAATAATAAAATAGCAACAGAGAATTAAATCCGTTTGTGTTGATTATTGTTATTATTGTTTTGTTGTTGAATAATTCCTAATTGTTAGTGCTATATATTTATTTTTGTTAATTATGCCATTATGGTTCAAGAAATATTTCTCATGTGTTCCCGGTCGAAAAGACAAAAAGAGTCCGCAACCCGTTCAGCCGACAATTCAAGTTCAAAATTCAAAAAGAAAGAATTTAAGTGTGTTTTTCAAAAATAAAAAAAAAAATGTAAATTAATTAAAAAATATTAATCATGTTTATTCATTTTCAGGCCGTGTACATTCAGCAATGGTTTCAAAATTGAATCCAGCTCAGCGATCTGTTACCGTTGAATGGTATGAGCGAGGTGAAACCAAAGGCAAAGAGGTCGAACTAGACATGCTGCTACAACTCAATCCAGAACTAATGCAGACAACAAGACAAACGTTTGCAGTTCCAGTTCCGCCACAAAACACAACTTTACAAGCTCCAGTAAATTTGCAACGAGTAAGTAATCGTGAATCCTTTATTAAGGCTCTCTCAATTTATGCAAAAATAGACTCGAAGCTCCGCATATGTGTAGTATAGAAGTCAATGAACAATCAGATTTTATGGTTGAGACTATAATAAGTTGTTTCAAGTTATTCGGGGTCGTTGTGAGGAAAATAAAGGCTCACACATTGAAATCATGTTAACATCGTTGCTATAGGAATTGGAAAATTTTGTTTATTTTATTAATATTCTTTTCCTTATGCATCGCCCGACTCATCGTCATAATTCTTTGACACACTATAAACGAGATCATCGCATAAATTAGAATATTTTGCAAATTTTAAGCTACAAATATTTTTAGTGCTTCTATCGGACGATATAAAAACATAGCTTTAAAGTTCCGCAATATTCACAGTGATAATAATTCAGTTAATTCAATTAGAATCAATTTTCAATCTTCTTTTTTATGTTTTCGATTTTTATACATCTGTGCAATGATGATCTTAAAGCTAAAAAGAAGAAGGTAGATAATAGAATCATTTGTGCTATTCACAACGTATCTACAAAATTCATTGTTGCATATTAATAATCCTCATTGATATTCATGTCGTCTCACAAACTTTTCTTAGCGCATTTTTGCATTTAGTCAAATTTGAATTTACATGCACTTTGTCTTCTTTTGTTTCTGCTAATTTACTTTAATTTAAAATTTTGTGTGAAATAGTGCTTAAAAAACTTTTAAAATTTAACGGGTTTCTAAAATTCAAATTTTTTAACGGGTTTCAAAAATTCAAATATTACGGTTTTCAAAAGTTTGAATTGTCTTATTCAATAGTTTTGAATTTTTGAAAACCGTTAATTTAAATTGTTTTACAAAAAAATTTAACAACCAAATTAAGTCATCAAAAATGCGCTAGCGTAATTTCCGTCTTCATTGAATCTTTCTCCAGTCCATCAATTTATAGCATTCGTTACTTCTTTCGTTAGCTTCAAGCTAAAACAAAATTTTAAAATATTTTTCGCACATTTTGTTTAATTTCGCTAAATGAAATCTTAATTTGAAAAGGAATCATCTGACTCATCAATTGACGATGATGGATATTTGGATGAGCAAGAAGATCCAATGACTGATCAACAAAATCAAAATAACAATCAAAACCCATCTGAACAGACAAGTGGTGGCAATAATACACTGCCTATTAAATCAACGGGAAATACGACGCGATCGGTAATTTTCACTCTTCCCATCATTTCTTAATTCTTTTTTGTTGTTGTTGCCAAGCTTTGATTATTGTGGATTGATGAAGATAATTTGTGTCTATGGAAGCAAAGTTTTTGAGTTTGTTCCTATTTTCGTGCATTAAAAATGAAGGATTGAGGTCAAGGATGTTCTCTATCATTTATTTTTGCACGAAGATATTCAAACTTTCAAGTTTTTAGACTTTCATAGCTCACAGCTCACCATCGATTTTTTTTTTAAATATTTTTCTTTTGGTTCTGTTTAAAATTTTATCCATCTGACTAGCTAGCTGGCTTGTGTGTTATTTTATAACTTTATATATATATTTTTTAATCATTCGATGTTCAACACAATTATTTTTCTTCTTGGCTGCTATTTCATGTATCATTTTCTATATTTTCACTTCCGGTTGTATTTGTACATATTCAACATAAGTGATTATCTCTCTTTACATGATGTTATTTTTGCGTATGATTTACTCTTGCACCTTTAAATATGTTTTTTTTGCAATTGCTGTTCTTATTTTCTCTTTCTCTCGTTCATCATTATTTGGATTTTTACTGCTATTTCTCTATTATTTGAGGAAAATATATGTTTTTTCATTCCACACCACAAAATAATGTGTAAATATCAAGAGAAGCACTATTGAATGGATTTGGAAGCTATTCTGAAAAGTTTTGGTAGCACTAAAGTAGTTTAGCGGGTCTGAGATACCTAATTTTTTTAGAAGTGGATAATAAGATAGACTTTATGTTCGTTAAATTAGGAATTTAATACAAAAGTGACATTCACCATTTAAGGTTGGGGTTCTGAGATTATGCGATCACTTTAAAGCAATTTATAGTCTCAAAATCCCATTTATATAGACATAATATATAAATAGACCCTAATCTGTGACATCAAATATCTAAGATTCCCGAGAACAGCCTCACAAACTGCCGTTAAAGAAATCCACAACCGTAAATTACCCACTTTAGTGAAATCAACGCCTTTTATATTTATTTCTTTATTTTTTGATGTATTTCTGAGTAATGGAAGTCATTATGAGTTGATTGTCGATATTCATGAGTTCATCAGCACCATCATAATGATACTTTGCAATCGGCTTTTATTATTTATTATTTTACAGATTTATTTTTAATTTGTAGATCACGTAACTTTATATTTTTTTTTGTTCAAAATTGGTGTCATAATTTAATGTATAGAGACATGAAGCCATAGATCTTAATCAATTTATATTAATTTCATTCTCTTTTATCCCATTTAATTCCGCTTTATAGAATCCAACACAAGGGAATATTCAGCGACTTACAAGAGCAAATAATGCTTCAAGTGCAGCTTTAAATGGTGAGTAATGAAAGGAAGAGACACAAGTTGACTAACTTTATGACGATATTAAACAAAGGAAGTTCAATGTACAATTTATAGATTGATTCTAAGCAATCGAATGAGGGGAATTTTCCCTAGAAATAATCGACACACATATCAAGTCTTGAAATATTTACATTCTCATAACAATTAAATGAGCCGTTTCACCTCACATGTCCAAACAAAGTTCATGAATAATGAGCCAACAATAAATGTGATGGCAACACGAAATTTATATTTGATGAAATTATCATACATTGTGACCAAGACCATAAAATATGAATCGGAAAGGACTGTGACATTGTTTTGTAGCTTTAATTTTTTTCTCCAATGAGCCATTTACATGAGATTTGATTGATAAAAAATGAATTGGAGGTGACCAATGTAAATTGGGGAGTCAAAATGTTAGCTTGAGTGGCTGTTCATTGAAAAATTTATTTGAGCGCACTTACTGTCTGTAAATATTTGAAATATAAGCGTCAAAAAATATTTAAAATATAACGGTCAAAAAATGTTATAAAAATAACGGTGAAAAAACAGTTAAAATTTGAATTGAATCCAACGATTAATTTTAAGCTCACATTTAATTCTTGGATTTAGCTTTAATCTAATTCAAAGTTGAAGGATTTAATTTCAAAATCAAACTACAAGACAAACCTAATTCAATGCCATATCATTCACTACAAATTGCGCTATTAAAAGGAGTTTGAGGGTTGGTGAACAAAAAAATGAAAATAATTTTAATTGTATTGGCATTTTTGTGTTACCACGGCCACCGATATGTAGATACAAAGATATTTTCCATTCGTCTCTCTCTCCCCGATTCATATTATTATTTTTAATACCAAAAGAACAGTGAATGAGAACCTTGCCAATCACTAATAGCTGGAAAAAAGGAAAACAAAACTTTTCAAACGCGAGAAAGCTTTCAATTGAACAGGTTGGTGTTGTTCTTCGCACCTTTGAGAGTCTAATTATTTTTGTCAGAATAATAAAGCCTTCCTACACAACAATACAAGTCAATAATTGTAATGAACCTGCATGAACATTGATTTTTCGTTCAAATGGTTGAAAATAAATTGCAAGTTGTGATTAGTCCGAAAAAAGGTAAAAGAACTTGATTGGCGCGGGATGTTATATTGTGCAAAGTTTCTTTTGTTTGACAATTGTTGATTTTTTTTTTAAATGTTGCATGATAATTAATGAATTTTTTAATTATTATAATAGGAAATAGAATCTCAAAAATCGCAACATCAACAGCTATTCATAACGGACAAGATCAATCTGAGAACGTTCCTCCGCAAGCTAAAAAGGTTTGTATATTTGAAAATATTATCGATTTAATTAAAATGGAAATTTTCTACAACATGAAAACAATTTTTTAAAAAATTACTAGGTAACAAACAATCGAATGTCACTTACGACTACACAGCAGACAAATCAACAACAACAAGCTATGTCAAATGCGGCAGCTGGACGACGCTCTTATGTTGTTAAGGAGGTAGAGAGGCTAAAAGAGAATCGTGAGAAACGACGTGCACGTCAGTTGGAGATTAAAGAGGAAAAGAATGCGCTAATGAACATGGATCCTGGTAATCCAAATTGGGAGCTTGCTGCAATGATTAGGTAATTGCTGTTTATAATTTTGTTTTATTTTGTGCTTAATGACTGCCTATTTTTGTAGAGAATATCAATCGACAATTGATTTTCGACCACTGATTGATGGTTTAGCAATTGAGGATCATCAAATTACAGTCTGCGTTAGAAAGCGACCATTATCAAGGAAGGAAATAATGAAGAAAGAACTAGACGTTATTTCGGTTCCAACAAAAGACACACTTATCGTACACGAACCAAAATCAAAAGTCGACCTCACAAAGTTCCTGGAGAATCATAATTTTAGATATGATTACGCCTTTGACGATAGCTGTAATAATGATTTGGTCTACAAGTATACGGCAAAGCCTCTTGTGCATACAATCTTTGAAGGTGGAATGGCAACATGTTTTGCATATGGTCAAACCGGTTCTGGAAAGGTTAGTTTCAATTATTCATGCATAATTTACATGCAAATTAACTTCCTGCATTTATCGATGTCCTTTGATTTCCATGCTTTTAGTCATTTTACATTGAAATGTCTTTTGATAAAAACATTTCAAAAATTAACGGATTTATGAAATTTGAGTTCCTTTTTTGAACCATTTTGAACTTTTTAAATTAGTGTAAAAAGGAAGTTTAAATCTCCTAAAACGGTTATAATTTTAAAAATTCATCAAAAAATGTTCGTGCTGATAATTGAAAGTAAACTTTTATATTTATATCCTTTAGACACATACGATGGGAGGTGATTTCAATGGAAAAGTACAAGATTGTAAAACAGGCATTTACGCGATGGCAGCAAAGGATGTTTTTATGTTTTTGAGAGGTCAAAAATATCGCAACTTAAACTTGGCAGTGTCTGCATCATTTTTTGAGATTTATAGTGGAAAAGTGTTCGATTTACTGTCCGAAAAGAATAAGCTTCGTGTATTGGAAGATGGAAAGCAGCAAGTTCAAATTGTCGGATTGACTGAACGTGTTGTGGACAATGTCGAGGAAGTATTAAAATTAATTCAACTTGGAAATGTTACAAGAACATCAGGACAGACATCAGCCAATGCAAATTCGTCTCGTTCACATGCTGTGTTTCAGCTTGTCTTACGCCCAGTTGGTTCAGCGAAAATTCATGGAAAATTTTCGTTCATCGATCTGGCTGGTAATGAACGTGGTGCTGATACAAATTCAGCAAATCGACAGACACGTATGGAAGGTGCTGAAATCAACAAGTCATTGCTTGCATTAAAGGAATGTATTCGAGCATTAGGGAGACAGAACGCACATTTGCCATTCCGTGTTAGTAAATTAACACAAGTTTTAAGAGACTCATTTATTGGAGAAAAGAGTAGAACATGTATGATTGCCATGATTAGTCCTGGATTGTCATCATGCGAACATACACTAAATACACTTAGATATGCAAATCGTGTTAAAGAACTAGTGGCAATTGATCCATCAGAAAGAAATGGAATGTTGGATGATGAAGAGCCAATGGATATGCAGGAACCCAATGAACAAAATGGAAATGGAAAAAATATGGATTTGTCTCAGTTGCGCTCACTAAATGTACGTTAACTTCGTCGTCAATAAAATATCTTTATTTTGAATATAATTTTAAGTTTTTTGAACATTAAATTTCAAATATTTTATGACCGTTATTTTTCAAATATTTTTGATCACTTGATAACGATTATTCACGTCTTTATTTAGTATCTAATTGTATTTAATTAACTTTTTATAGCCTTTCGAAGAGCACGACATTAGTGTGGAACTTTTCAATCAGCACACAGCCATTTCTGAATTGCAACAAGTAGAAGATGAGACGATCGATCAATTGAAATTACTCGCTGAATTTAATACTAAATTTGGACCAGAGTTAATGGAATTATGCAGAATGACAAACAATCCTGATTACGATACGGATGGTTAGTATAATTTATCAATTGATGATCAATTAAGTGCTTAATTGAATGACTTATTAATTACAGCCTTTTGTAAACGCGGTAATGAATTATTACGACAGCTATTCTGTTATGCTCAGCCATGTGCAGACTTGTTAGCCGACTTTAAATCAAAATTGGAAAAGGAGGAAATGATATCACACAAAATGATGCCCGGAAAACGCTAATGTGTCTACGAAAGGACTTCTATTTTATTTTTTTTCATTTTCTTCGTACGTAACTCTTTATTTATACAGAAAAATCCCAGTTATACAAAATTCTCCTTAATTCTTTCCGTTTAATTCTTTTAATTTTCTTTATACTTTATTATGTACTCTCTCTCTTTGTTTCGATTGTCTTATTGATTATTGCATGATTTTGAAAGAAAATTGAGATTACTCACCAAAGAAACGCTTTGGAGCTCAACTCAGTGTGCCCAAAAAGTTTTTTTTCCCGACTTCCTTAAAAATGTTTGATTTATTTTCAAAATCGTTCGATAACTTTTAAAATGTCATTAAAGATTAAAAATTATCTCAAAAATAATAATTATTAAGAAAAAGTTCTTTTTATACCTAATTATTAATTAATTAAATTAAACAAGATGAAGAAAAAATTGTCAAGTCAAGAAAGAAAATTTTTGTAAATTAATTAACCCGTACCGAAGATCCAGCTATTCAGCATTCATATATTTAGCTTTAGATATGATATCAAGTAAAGCTCTGAATCAGCTTATTTGCCAGATAAATTAAGAGTCAATTTCAATGATGTGGATGACTATGGAGTAAAGTCTAGCTTTGGCATATCTGAGAAACCAAGTTGTTCGTTTTGAAAACATTGGATTAATTCAAAATTGACTTTTTAATCCCAGGATTAAATCTTACCTGAGTTTTCGGATTAATATTAAATCCTACAGATCAATCCACATCAACAGAAGTCAGACTCACATTTCCATCATCCCTTTTATCGTCTTTGCCTGAACTGTATATTGCGACATATCAACAATGTATGGCAATTTTTGTGTATTTTTTTCCGTTCCCAAAGCAGATGTAATAAATTAATAAGAAACTTTGGGTACGAGAAAATGTTTAATTTTTGAAAAGCACACGCAAAAGTTTTCTGGAATCAACTGAAAGCTCAAAATTAAAATTTTTTTTAGAGAAGTGATATAAAAAGTTGTAATTGATAGGATTTACTAATTTTTGCTTTTATTAACTTTTATACATTTTAGTTCTGTTTTTGCATTTCTTTTTCTAATGATAATTTTGAGTGACTTTTGTTGATAAATGACAGTAAGCTATTCCATAAATGCATAGACTCTAAATGGTGTCACAAAAGGGGATTATTCATATTTATGATGTCTATCTATAAGGATTAGTGAGAGTTATGAGTTTTCAAATGATGTCTGAAATCCCATTTTTTTGAATAGACGTCATATGCGAATAACCCCAAATTTATATCTGAGATTTCTACAAACTCGAAACTTTGAATGACGCAAGTGCGTATGTCCTTGAATTAAAACAGCTTAGAATTAAAAAATTAATCAATGAAATTTAAAACAAAACTTAAGTCACCCCTCATATCCCTCTTAACTGAGCATAATTCACAGAGCCATTCAAGTTTCTAGTGATGTACATTAATCAAGGAACAACAACATTAATCCTGAATAATAAATTAAAAAATTATTAATTCTATTGATTATTATGAAATTATATTTTTTTATAAGAAGTAATAACTTGAAATCAGAAATTGGAAAGACTAATTTCATTAAGGCATAAAATATATGAACACAATTTTTGTCTATGTATCAAAAAGATATTTAACATCTACAAAAAAAGATTTATTAGAGAAGATTATGTGAAGCTTTTACTTTTTTGTTCACTTTGCGGTTTTTCTTATCAAAAAAAAAAAAAAAAAAACTGTGAATAAAAATTCATATACCAAGAATATTTTGAGGACCTTTTGATTGATTTACAGATTTTTGAAAACTTTTCACATCGATCATAGCAATTCATGACTTTTTTCTAATCATTGAATTTTTAAAATCAATTCAAAAATGGAGCTCCAGCATTTAATTGATATATTTACTATTCCTGATCGAACCGTCCGAGAAGATCAGCTCCGATGCGTTTCTAAGCATCAAAAAACTGTAAATTCAATCAGGAACATCATTTAAAATTACATAATTTATTAATTTCCTTAATTTCCAGATATTTTGTACAATGTTGGTTAGCGATCTTGTAGCCAATGCATATCCAATACTTCCCTCCATAACAATCAATTACGTCGACCACTGCTTTATTGATCTTTCCAAAAAAATTGACTTAAATGTAGCACTTGAATGCATTAAGGCTGTTACTGGATGGATTAAAAATCGGAAAGTTTCCTTTGATGCTGTCATTAATTCAATTGAAGCATGTTGGGCATATCAAATCATAATATTTAATGACTCAAGTGATGCTGCATTTCAAGTTGCCGGTGAATTCCTTAAAATGACAGCTCTGCTGCTTGATATGAAAGCATTCAACTCACGACAATTCATCAAACAAATTTCAGACCTGGAACTTCTCTTTGCTTCCAACATTAGTCTTGAAAAAGCTAAAGTTCTCACAAAAATATTCGTAGCTTTAGCTGACAAAGTTTTTCAATGGTCTTCAGAGTATCCAAATGAGATTAACAGACGTTCGGAAGAAAAAGATCGAATTATAACGATTCTCATAAAATGTGCCAGTTCTAAAGCATGCTGTGAACTGGAGCTTCCATTTTGGAAGAAACTTCCTACATACTTAAAGTCCAGTAAAGTTTATGGACGATTCATCGAAGAGCTTATTTTGTATTTTGCACTGCATTGCAAGATTGTTGACGGCATTGAAATGGAAACTAATATTAATAGTGGATTGATGGTATGCTATTGGATCTAATGGATATGGCACCTCCATCTAACATTATCCATCCTTTTTTATTCCCAGACTTTCCGTGAATCAGTAATAGAAGTAATTCAGCAATTGACATCAATCATGAACACACAAAATCTCATAGACTTTTTCTTTAACATGATGCCATTAAGTTCTGCAACTGATTTTGAAGTTTGTCTATTTATCATCTCATCGGTAGCTTGGAAAATTGAAATTAATGATAATAGAAATGTCCAAAGTATCATTGAGTATGTCCTGCAAGTTGACATTAATTCTCATGCCTCAATTTTGGCAATAGCTGCAAAACTTTTAAACAATTTTGATCGCTGGATATCCTATTTTCATCAGACATATCTTCTTAGAACTTTAACTTTTTTGGTGGACATAATTAGAAGGGGAACAATCGCAAGTTCAGAAGCAGCAACAGCATTAGGACGAATTTTTTCAGAATGCAGAACTAAAATGGAACCGTACCTGAATGAAATGATTTTAATCTTCCAAAACCTTAATTTTTATTTTGTTCATTCCAAAGCCAAATTGGAAATCACGAAAGGAATTACTCGCATCGGTTGCAGCTTAAAGGAACCAAAAAGAACTGAATTTTTGATGCTATTCAGTGACATTCAATTAAATAGAGTTTTTGAGGCACGAACGACTGGAAATTTTATTATTCATCAATTAGACTGCTTGACTGAAATTTATCATAACATTCATGTTTGTACAGTTCATAATGAAGTCAATCCAATGGACTTAATTCTCGTCAATCACTGGCCCCACATTTGTAGCGTACTTGATGCTTATCAAGCTGATTGTGAAGTTATGCCTAAAATTAGTGAAGTAATCGAGTGCAGCATACCAAATGTTAGCTTATCAGCACTTCCGCTGTTGGATCAAATAACAAAACAATTCATGCTTTATTTTGGTATATCGAAATGCCCTTTACTGTTGAGACCGTTGAATGCGATTGTTGATAAACTTGGCAAATACGAGAAATTTACAGATGGACTGTTGACTGTTTTTGAAGGAACTACTTTGCTGGTGTTGAATGCTTTACATGACGAAATGAAGCTTAAACTTGTTGATGAATATTTCTACTTGGCAGCTGCTTACTTTAAGAAATTGGCAGTAAAGTTGTTGAAGAGTCCGATGATTATTAAAGTCATTGAGCTGTCCATAGAATTGTGTAAAATTAATGATAAATCCTCGAATGGATATGTTCTTGACTTCCTGATATGCATCTTTACTTGCAATGAAATTCATCCAGACATCAAGCTTTGCGTAGAGCAAGCAATGACTGTATTTGGTGATCGAATTATTGGAACTTTATTGGAATCGGCAGTTTATGTCTTTGATATCACCTTGATTGTAAAGGTTGTAAACATTTTTGATGCCTTCAAGACTAAAAGTAATGCTGGATTTAAAGAATTGATGGTCGTGGCACTTAAAAAAATTTCAAATAAGAGCTCAACAGGGATTTTGAAGATTCAAGAATCGGATGTGACTAAATTTTTGGATTTAATGACAAGGTTTGTTGATATTTGTATGACTTTATATGCTTATTGTATGCTGAGAATATAGAGCTAGTATAAAATTCTACGGTAATGTCATTAAGTCAGCAAAGCTTAATAAATTTCTATTTTTCAGAGAGAAAATGTCAAAATCGGAAATGATAAATGGAATCACAGAGTTTCGGAAATTGATGCGTGGATAAATCAGACAAATACAAATTATTAAAGTAAATAGATTATTATCTATATTAGCATTTTTTATCATTTATAATACCTAGATAAGTTTTAAAATGCAATTTAAAGCATTTTCGGTTTCGATCATAGTAGGTTCTTTTCAAAAAAATATCGATTTTATATCTAAATTAGCAATTTTTATCATTTATAATACCTAGATATGTTTTAAAATGCAATTTAAAGCATTTTTGGTTTGGATCATAGTAGGCTCTTTCCAAAAAAATATCGATTTTATATCTATATTAGCATTTTTTATCATTTATAATACCTAGATAAGTTTTAAAATGCAATTTAAAGCATTTTCGGTTTTGATCATAGTAGGCTTTTTTCAAAAAAAATATCGATTTTATATCTATATTAGCATTTTTCATCATTTAAAATACCTAGATATGTTTTAAAATGCAATTTAAAGCATTTTTGGTTTCAATCATAGTAGGTTTTTTCAAAAAAAAAATATCGATTTTATATCTATATTAGCATTCTTTATCATTTATAATACCAAGATTAGTTTTTAAATGCAATTTAAAGCATTTTTGGTTTGGATCATAGTAGGCTATTTTCAAAAAAATATCGATTTTATATCTATATTAGCATTCCTTATCATTTAAAATACCTAGATAAGTTTTTAAATGCAATTTAAAGCATTTTTGGTTTCGATCATAGTAGGCTATTTTCAAAAAAATATCGATTTTATATCTATATTAGCATTCCTTATCATTTAAAATACCTAGATTAGTTTTTAAATGCAATTTAAAGCATTTTTGGTTTCGATCATAGTAGGCTATTTTCAAAAAAATATCGATTTTATATCTATATTAGCATTTTTTATCATTTATAATACCTAGCTAAGTTTTAAAATGCAATTTAAAGCATTTTCGGTTTTGATCATAGTAGGCTTTTTTCAAAAAAAATATCGATTTTATATCTATATTAGCATTCCTTATCATTTAAAATACCTAGATTAGTTTTTAAATGCAATTTAAAGCATTTTTGGTTTCGATCATAGTAGGCTATTTTCAAAAAAATATCGATTTTATATCTATATTAGCATTCCTTGTCATTTAAAATACCTAGATAAGTTTTTAAATGCAATTTAAAGCATTTTTGGTTTCGATCATAGTAGGCTATTTTCAAAAAAATTACAGAAGTCCTCGTGTTATTGATCGAGGGACTTAAGCGCATTTTTGTGTTAGCGATCAGTATTTGATTATGTAATTATTTTGCGTTCATTTACAGATCATGAGAAGATTAGAAGATCATTAATTTTAGTGTAATTAACAAAAAGTTACAATGAATGCTTATATAGAAAGGATTATTATTTAACGGTCAATAAATAATTTGAAATTTTGCCGTTAAAAGTTGCACTAAAAAAACATTAATTATAGTATAATTAGATAATTTGTTGCAATGAATTTCCATACAGAAAGAGTTTATCATTTAACGGTTTCTTGTAATTCAAATTTTCTAACGGTCAATATAATAATAATTTGAAATTTTCCCGCTATAAGTTGCACTACGAAAAAATTAATTATAGTATAATTAAATAATTTGTTGCAATGAATTTTCATACAGAAAGGGTTTATCATTTAACATTTTTTTGTAATTCAAATTTTCTAACGGTCAATAAATAGTTTGAAATTTTCCCGCTATAAGTTGCACTACGAAAAAATTAATTATAGTATAATTAAATAATTTGTTCCAATGAATTTCCATACAAAAAAAGTTTATCATTTAACGGTTTTTTGAAATTCAAATTTTACAACGGCTAGAAAAATTTAACGGTCAATAAATAATTTGAAATTTTGCCGTTAAAAGTTGCACTAAAAAAACATTAATTATAGTATAATTAGATAATTTGTTGCAATGAATTTCCATACAGAAAGAGTTTATCATTTAACGGTTTCTTGTAATTCAAATTTTCTAACGGTCAATATAATAATAATTTGAAATTTTCCCGCTATAAGTTGCACTACGAAAAAATTAATTATAGTATAATTAAATAATTTGTTGCAATGAATTTTCATACAGAAAGGGTTTATCATTTAACATTTTTTTGTAATTCAAATTTTCTAACGGTCAATAAATAGTTTGAAATTTTCCCGCTATAAGTTGCACTACGAAAAAATTAATTATAGTATAATTAAATAATTTGTTCCAATGAATTTCCATACAAAAAAAGTTTATCATTTAACGGTTTTTTGAAATTCAAATTTTACAACGGCTAGAAATTTTTTGAAATTATAGAGGTAATATTGAAATTATGGAGGTAAAATAAAATTTGAGCAGGTTACACTGAAAACAAAACAAAAATTCATTAATTATAGCATAAATACACTGTTTTAAGATTTTTAAATGTCCGGCGGGCCAATAACTCGATATAACGGAACTAATGCAAAAAACTAGAACTCTCTACGATGTCTAGATTAAAAGTTTTTCTTAGCAGCCGACCAGCCAGCCGACCAGCCGACCAGCCGAACAAAGTGCGTTATTAAGCTACCTTTTTGAAACAAGTTTCAAAAATGCGCTAAAAATATCCGGCCTGTTTCACTAAAGTGGATTATCCTCGATTTCGGATTATCCATTCCAGTTTTTTGTAAATATCTTAAACTTTATGGGAGGTGTGGTATTTCTAATTTTGGATTATAAAAGAGTAAAGTATGCCTGAAATTTCTGTACACTTTAAACTTTTACTTTTCATTAAGAAGTATTAATTATTCAATTTTCCAGCCAAATCTAGAAGATTAACTTCAATTTTTGCTATAATTCTCAAACTAATGAAGATATAAATATTCTTAGTATATGTTAATTTAAGTAGCAAAGTACTTTAACGAGATCACACTTCAGATCTCTTAATAACCTTAAGCATCTGGAGATATTTCCGAAAAACTGAAGTTGATAATCCGAAATCGAGGATAATCCACTTTAGTGAAACAGGCCGATCGATTTTATATCTATATTAGCATTCTTTATCATTTATAATACCAATATAAGTTTTAAAATGCAATTTAAAGCATTTTTGGTTTGGATCATAGTAAGCTCTTTTCAAAAAAAAATATCGATTTTATATCTATATTAGCATTCTTTATCATTTATAATACCAAGATAAGTTTTTAAATGCAATTTAAAGCATTTTTGGTTTCGATCATAGTAGGCTATTTTCAAAAAAATATCGATTTTATATCTATATTAGCATTCCTTATCATTTAAAATACCTAGATAAGTTTTTAAATGCAATTTAAAGCATTTTTGGTTTCGATCATAGTAGGTTTTTTTCAAAAAAATATCGATTTTATATCTATATTAGCATTCCTTATCATTTAAAATACCTAGATAAGTTTTTAAATGCAATTTAAAGCATTTTTGGTTTCGATCATAGTAGGCTATTTTCAAAAAAATATCGATTTTATATCTATATTAGCATTCCTTATCATTTAAAATACCTAGATTAGTTTTTAAATGCAATTTAAAGCATTTTTGGTTTCGATCATAGTAGGCTATTTTCAAAAAAATATCGATTTTATATCTATATTAGCATTCCTTATCATTTAAAATACCTAGATAAGTTTTTAAATGCAATTTAAAGCATTTTTGGTTTCGATCATAGTAGGCTATTTTCAAAAAAATATCGATTTTATATCTATATTAGCATTCGTTATCATTTATAATACCTAGATTAGTTTTTAAATGCAATTTAAAGCATTTTTGGTTTCGATCATAGTAGGCTATTTTCAAAAAAATATCGATTTTATATCTATATTAGCATTCTTTGTCATTTATAATACCTAGATTAGTTTTTAAATGCAATTAAAAGCATTTTTGGTTTCGATCATAGTAGGCTATTTTCAAAAAAATATCGATTTTATATCTATATTAGCATTCCTTATCATTTAAAATACCTAGATTAGTTTTTAAATGCAATTTAAAGCATTTTTGGTTTCGATCATAGTAGGCTATTTTCAAAAAAATATCGATTTTATATCTATATTAGCATTCCTTATCATTTAAAATACCTAGATAAGTTTTTAAATGCAATTTAAAGCATTTTTGGTTTCGATCATAGTAGGCTATTTTCAAAAAAATATCGATTTTATATCTATATTAGCATTCCTTATCATTTAAAATACCAAGATAAGTTTTTAAATGCAATTTAAAGCATTTTTGGTTTCGATCATAGTAGGCTATTTTCAAAAAAATATCGATTTTATATCTATATTAGCATTCCTTATCATTTAAAATACCTAGATAAGTTTTTAAATGCAATTTAAAGCATTTTTGGTTTCGATCATAGTAGGCTATTTTCAAAAAAATATCGATTTTATATCTATATTAGCATTCCTTATCATTTAAAATACCTAGATAAGTTTTTAAATGCAATTTAAAGCATTTTTGGTTTCGATCATAGTAGGCTATTTTCAAAAAAATATCGATTTTATATCTATATTAGCATTCCTTATCATTTAAAATACCTAGATAAGTTTTTAAATGCAATTTAAAGCATTTTTGGTTTCGATCATAGTAGGCTATTTTCAAAAAAATATCGATTTTATATCTATATTAGCATTTCTTATCATTTAAAATACCTAGATTAGTTTTTAAATGCAATCTAAAGCATTTTTGGTTTCGATCATAGTAGGCTATTTTCAAAAAAATATCAATTTTATATCTATATTAGCATTTCTTATCATTTAAAATACCTAGATTAGTTTTTAAATGCAATCTAAAGCATTTTTAGTTTCGATCATAGTAGGCTATTTTCAAAAAAATATCGATTTTATATCTATATTAGCATTTCTTATCATTTAAAATACCTAGATTAGTTTTTAAATGCAATTTAAAGCATTTTTGGTTTCGATCATAGTAGGCTATTTTCAAAAAAATATCGATTTTATATCTATATTAGCATTCCTTATCATTTAAAATACCTAGATTAGTTTTTAAATGCAATCTAAAGCATTTTTGGTTTCGATCATAGTAGGCTATTTTCAAAAAAATATCAATTTTATATCTATATTAGCATTCCTTATCATTTAAAATA